TTTGATTCTTTCACACTTTTCTGCCTACTGGCAGTAGACCCACCGCCCACGCGAGAAAGCGAGTAACTTCCATATTTATTTTTGGTCTATCAAATAAAGAACATTATATAAACCTACATTCCGTGTAAACAAAAGAGATGCATATATTAATAGTTAAGCGCTGACTGGTCACGTAAGAAATCGTTGCGGCGCGTTACATGCCCCCCCACAGGGAGGTCAAAAATCTTCAAAATTTGCATTACGTTTTTAATACGGTATCTTGGAGTCAAAAATATCTAAGTACTGCATTAGATTATTTGTCTGTGATTTTGCCGCTACCTTCATCGTACATGAAATGTGATTAAATATTTACATTAACTAATGTAAGTTATGTACCACTTAATCGCGAATCATAATTAGGAAGTAAATTATGCACTTACCACTTAATTCTAATTCATATTACGTTAACTAACATTTCTAGATGTGACACTGTCACTTTAAAAGCGATGGGTAGCATCTTCTATGCACAAAGTATGATAAGTAATTATGGTTTAACTTAAAGTAAAAATAAAACTGATTCTGATTGTTTTTTGTATTGGTAAGCTAAGCATCGTAATAGGGTATTTGACAAGTTTTAGAAAACGATCTCACGTTATTGACTGATGTGTATGGAGTCCGTAAAAAGTGGATATTTATCATTCTGTTGTATATTTCAGTAAAAATAACCAAATCAAAAACTCCATTTTCAAGTTGCCGCCTAAACGTTTCTCCAGACAATATGGCGTCTCACTGCTGTGTGACGTCACACGACTGTTATTTAAATGTCAAACGATACAATGTAATGTCACTTTAACCGTAAGTTTACTTGCTTGTGACGTCATTTTAGGCTCGGCCAATCCCAAGCGTTTTGGGTCACGTGACAATAGATAAGAAAACTATTATCTTTTTCCTGGGTTTTTAGTAAAATTATGAATATTTTTTCTGTAAAAATCCCTGCCAATATTCATTCTAAACACAGATGCTAAAAATTGGCACTTTATTTTTAATACTGTCAAATACCCTATTAATAATGAATAAACAAATATTTACATGCTGTCTTATATTAACAAATGGAGATTAATGTCTTTCACTATGAATGCTGCAAGTTTACAAAAACAAAAAAAAAGATAAAAGCGCTCTCATTTAACTTTCATATTAATTGCAAAATAAGCTGTTTAATACATTGTCTTTTGTAAACTATGTATTACAATTATTTTTCTTTGTCTTAGTAGTCTAATATATCGGCTAGACCAGGGATGGTTAAACTACGACGACCTCCGTGGCCCAGTGGTTTGTACGCCGGGTTTCATGGTGTCGCCAACAGGAGAGGTCCCGGGTTCGAATCCCGGTGGCATATGTTTGTGTGGTGAATAGGAGCATTTGTGCTCCATCATGGACGCTTAATATGTATTTCTATATAAATATACTTATTTAGGTACTGTATATGTATTCTATCCGTTACCCTAGTATCCCACAACACAAGCCTTACAGTGTTAACTTTGGAGCTAGGCTAATTGGAGTGAGTGTTGGAAATATTTATTTATTGACGACCAGCTCCGGCCCTCGAATGGAAAAAGTCCGCACGCGACCATCAAACAAAAATCGAAGTTTCTCACCAAAAACTACCATCATTCACATGTTCCGACAAGGTCCACTCTACTGCCGAATCTGTAACCCACCTAACTAACCTACACTAGTCATCACTAAAATCGACCTACCTCGGTAAAATAAATTTACACGAAATCTCACGTTTTAATATTTTTAATGAATTAATTTGTATTATATTCGTAATTTTGACTAAAAAACTCTTTTTTACAAATTAATCAAAAATTTGATCATCTTAATGATCAAATTTTAACAAAAAAATAAGAAATCGCAATTTTAACCCTACTTTTAGGTTCGTGTTGATATTAGGTGTTCTCCCTTCTTTCTCTAATCACTACCGCCTACGCCTACTACGCCTTTTCATTGAGCTTATTAAAATGATGACGCTTCCTTGAGGAATTCGGTCCCATTCTTCATTCAAGATACATTCTTGGCCCGCCACAGATTCTGCTAGTAAATATTGGCACGATAAGGAAAAAGTTTGCCCATCCCGGGGCTAAACCAACAGAACAGTTAATTCTTTTATAGTATACTAGGCATGATAAAACGCAAAATATAAACAAAATGGACTTACCTGACTCTTAATAACCTAATGAAGTAAAGTAAGAGCTACTCTCCCATAGTTTTTAACTAAGATTCTCTCGAGTAGCTAATGTAATAAACTGGCTGAGAGTTATTTAAAGATAATCACTTTAAGCTACGTCGAGAACTTTTCTAATTACTTATCTACTGAAAAACGGATTCAATATAGCTATATTATACACAAGACAATATTTTCATACTTAAGACATGCAAATCATTAACGGTGAATGCACAAACGACACGTACGTACATAGGACAGATAGATAGAAATAAAATTATCTTTATTCAGTTAACATATTGTATATTTTTTTGGAAATATAATTAAGGCGCAATGGCGAAAGCTAAATACTTTAAATTTTATTTATTTTAATACATATTAAATGTATCATACATATAAGCACCCACCTTTTTAAGAATATTATCTAGTTTTGCATCCATTATTCAAGTGACATTTTGGAAAAATTGCTACTTAATTTACTTAACCTGGCATCACTTAGATGTCAACTGAGGCGTGAGTAGCCGTAGTAAGTAGAGTGACCTAAAAGCGGCCGACAAGGTGTCGTCTGAGCGTCTTTTCATCGTCTGTGCCTGAAATAGACACTGGCCAAAGAACAATATAGCCGGCATTGCGTAGCCGTATAGTATCGATGTAGCTTGTTTTGAGACATGAATTACTTTATTAATTAATTAGTTATTTAAACTACGAACTTTATAAGTAAACTACAGTGTGTGACCTAAATATTACTAATTTATCTGGCTTCACCTTTAATATTCTGTTAACTTCGTAAGAAATATGCAATGCTTGACGACCTCCGTGACGGGAGTGGTATGTACACCTCCGGGTTTCTAAGTGTCGCCCACACAGAGGTCATGGGTTCTAATCCGGGCGCGGAATTTGTATGATGAATACGAGTGTTAGTACCCAAGTCATACATGTTTATATGCCTAGATAAATGTACTTACTTTTATATGTATCATTATATGTATTCCCATCCGTTATCCTAGTGTCCCAAGCCTTACAGTGTTTTTTTTGGGGCTAGGCTAATTATAATTGGTATAAATGTAAAAAAAATATCTGTTTATATAGGGTTATATAGGTGTGAATGCAATATCTCTGTTTATGTAGATAGGTATGTGTTATTTAAAAGGGTCATTTCTGTTGTTGCAGCTGATTAAATAGTCGAGATGAAGTCGTGGGGCGAGTCGATAGGGCGCGGTGCTTCCGCGCACTTCTCTCGCGTCGGTCGCTTGCGCCGCGCGCTCGTGGTGCTCGCTGCTGCCGCTTGCACCGCCGCCGCGCTACTTTACTGGCGGCAGCAGAGCAATGACTTGACACATCGACCCATGCACAACATGTACGCGTGAGTCCTGACGCATCTTTTTAGTCTCCTTAAAAAAATGCAACACCCTGAAGTGTACGCAGCAACAGCCTGCACCTAGCGAAGACTGAAACTCTTTCTCGTACTGCTCGTTGCAACCGCCTGCGTGACAGCAGAGCAACTAACTATCTGACTCATCGACCAATATGTACATATTTGACATACATAAGTGAGTCCTGACGCATAATATATTTACCTAAATCTAGAACCTTGAAAAATTGCACCTCTCCCTTGCTTTTGATACTTGCAGCAGAAGCCGACACGAAGCCGCTGTAAGTACTGACGACGGCATAGCAACGACCTCACGCACCGATCCATGCACAACATGTACGTGAGTCCTGAAGCATCTTTAATCTCCTTAGAAAATTACAAGACTCTTGCAGTGCCCGCAGCAGGAGCCTGCACCAAGCTGCTGTGAGTACTGGCAACAGCAGAGCAACGATTTGACACATCGACCCAAACACAAAATGTACGCGTGAGTCCTGACGAATCTTTTTAGTCTCCTTAAAAAATTGCAACACCCTTGCAGTGTACGCAGCAACACCCTGCACCTAGCGAAGTTTGAAACTCTTTCTCGTACTGCTCGTTGCAACCGCCTGCGCGACAGCAGAGCAACTAACTATCTGACGCATCGACCAATACATATTTACAAGTGAGTCCTGACGCATATTTTATTTACTTAAATCTAGAACCTTGGATAATTGCATCTCTCCCTTGCTTTTGATGCTTGCAGCAGAAGCCGACACTAAGCCTATGTAAGTACTGACAACAGCATAGCAACGACCTCACGCACCGACCCATGCACAACATGTATGCGTGAGTCCTGACGCATTTAATCTCCCATTTAGAAAATTGCAACTCTCTAACAGTGTATGTAGCAAGGATTGAAACGATTTATTATTACCTGCCTATCTAATTTTGAAAAAAAATAGATAGGCAGGTTCTAATTTTTTTCAAAATTAGATTTAAAGAAAAATCAAGCAATTTTTTATATTTTTATCATTAAGTTAGAAGGCAGTTCATTTATTAAGTTTAGTATTATGTAGTTAAGTGTACTTTTTCCATAAGTATTGATGAAGTCTAGCAAACAATAGGAGAACAATAGATAATAGTTATTGCTGTACTGTTTTTTTATCTTTGCTGGTACTAAAAATATTTAGATATGTACTATCTATGTAATATTTTTTATTTACATGATATATAATCTATCCTTGAAAGATTGAAACGCTCTCTCGTAGAGCTCAGAGCAGCCATTTACACTAAGCTACTGTAAACACAGCAAAGCAACGACTTGACTTACTTCACTCCATGTAAAATATGTACGTGCGAGTTCTTACGCATCTTTGAATAACCAACCCGGGTTCCTGACATTCTTTGAAAGCATGAAAATGGCAATCGAAAACATAAAATATATTTCTTGTTTTTCAGAGGTACGGATCCACAATGGACATGGATTTGTCGGAACGACCGCTGCGAGCGGCTACAAGCATCAGAAACATCGACACTACAATCGCTACAGACTTGCAACATGCTCTGTGCGTCCACACAATTGTGGCCGCAGCCGACGGGCCCTGTTAGCCTCGCCACTGCCGCCACCCCCGTCAAATCAGGCTCCTTTTTCCTCAAGGTCATCAGCTCTCCATCAATTGAAGTCACCCAACATCTCAACGACGCCTTCGCTCTAATGCGGGAAGACATGAAATCTCTTGAAAAGAGCGTCAACAGCGAAATCCGACGCAGTGACATCGGCACCCCGCGGTCCGTCCACGTGCGCGTCGCAATCAATGGCACAGGAGATCCACGCATGCGACTCAACACGGACGAAAGCTACAAACTTACTCTCCGGCCCGTAGGAAACTCCTTGACAGTAGACATAACCGCTCGTTCTTTCTGCGGCGCACGACACGGCTTCGAAACACTGTCGCAACTCGTATGGCTCGACCCGTATGCAAATTCGCTACTGATTCTCGAAGCTGCTACCGTGGAGGACGCACCACGATTTAGTTTTAGAGGCCTGCTGCTCGACACCGCGCGAAATTTTTTCCCGGTCGCCGATTTAATAAGAACTATAGACGCGATGGCCGCCTGCAAATTGAACACGTTTCACTGGCACGTGAGCGACTCGCAGTCATTTCCGTTGAGATTAAACAGTGTACCGCAGTTAGCACAGCACGGTGCTTATGGACCGGGCGCTATATACACCATGGAAGATGTGAAGGCAGTAGTGCACCGAGCGAGACTTCGTGGCATAAGAGTGTTGTTGGAGGTAGATGCCCCCGCGCACGTCGGTCGAGCCTGGAGCTGGGGCCCCGCCGCCGGGCTCGGCCACCTGGCCTACTGCATCGAGGTGGAACCGTGGGGCGCCTTCTGCGGCGAACCTCCCTGTGGCCAGCTGAACCCTCGTAACCCTCACGTGTACGACCTTCTCGAGCGCATATACGCTGAGATCATTCAAGTCACCGGTGTCGACGATCTCTTTCATCTCGGAGGTGACGAGGTTTCCGAACGCTGTTGGTCGCAACACTTCAACGACACCGACCCAATGGAACTGTGGCTCGAATTCACACGACGCGCCATGGCAGCCCTAGAACGGGCGAACGGTGGAAAAATTCCAGAATTGACGCTACTCTGGTCGTCGCGTCTCACGCGTTCTCCGTACCTGGAACAACTAGATTCTAAAAACCTGGGCGTGCAAGTGTGGGGTGCGTCCCGTTGGCCCGAATCGCGAGCGGTGCTGGACGCCGGCTTCCGATCGGTGATATCGCACGTGGACGCGTGGTACCTCGACTGCGGGTTCGGCTCGTGGCGGGACAGCAGCGACGGCCACTGCGGGCCGTACCGGTCCTGGCAACAGATGTACGAGCACAGGCCGTGGGTGGAAGAGGGAAGCACGGGAGAGGGGCTGGCATGGCGGGTGGACGGGGGCGCCGCGTGCCAGTGGACCGAGCAGTTGAGTCCGGGCGGGCTGGACGCGCGCATGTGGCCGCGGACTGCGGCTCTGGCGGAGAGGCTGTGGTCGGACCGTGCGGAAGGCGCGGCGGCAGACGTGTACCTGAGACTGAACACGCAGCGCGCGCGGCTGGTGGAGCGCGGGGTGCGGGCGGCGCCGTTGTGGCCGCAGTGGTGCTCACACAACCCTCACGCGTGCCTCTAGCCGACTCCCGCCCCTGTTCAAACTGTTCGACCCGAAGTTGACGCTCGTGTTAGAGCCCCGAGCGCGCTAGGCGTGATCCGAGGCTGATACGACAGTCGCACCGAACACGTGACTGGTATTGAACTATTCATATCGTTCGAAGATGCGACTCAATCGGCGTGAGGATGTGATTTAAATGAGATTCGCTGCGAGTTCGCTCGCTTTTGTTTGCTTGATCGCAGCAAAAGTACTTTCGTTACATAATAAACGGTCTGTAATATTGTTTAGAGTAAGAGTAGATAGAAATTTGTACAGGCCTTTTAGTTTTAATGGGCTAGATTTGACTGTTGAAATCCAATAACTAACTTTACCTACCTATTTAATCATCACAAACGTATACTTTTAATCGAAATTAGTTTACATAAGCCTAAAGCCTTGTTATATAAGTACTATTGTAGTAAAATTTATCATTACCTACTTGTATATTTATCTGGATTTCAATAGTACAGTTAGCGAATCGCCTATGAATTGTTTGATATTTGATAATATAATGGTATAGCTTATTTAAAAAGGAATGTCATTATATACATTCATAGCGCAAGAATGCAGTACCGTCATTCAATACGACCAGCTAAACGAGCAGAGTAGCCCTCAGACAGACCCGTAATTTAATAGAGGAATGGAAACGCACTAGTTACCTTAATACGAAACTGCTGTAGTATACACAACCGTCAATAAAAACAGTTTAACTAATTTTACTGGGACAGTTTACACTAAGCGATTAGTCACCAAAAAGGCATTTCAATTTTATTAAGCGAACTTCTGCAGCCTGTAACCGACAACAACATTTAATTATAAATATTTTCAGGGTGACTAAGGTTCTTACGTAACTTGACCTGCAAATATTTATTATTTATTCAGCGACTTTAAATAATGATTTCAAAGACTCCTGATGAAATAATCGAAAAAATAAGTATATACCTAGTCAGGTCATAAATTCTGTCACATGTTTAATATAAAATAATTAAAACAAGTTTATTCATTATGTAACCATTTATATACTAAAATGAACTTAACAAAACATAGATTCTTATGACAATTAAGACAATAAAGTTTATTCAAAATGACCTCCGTGATTTTGTATACAGGCCTCCAATCTGCGCGGCCAGTCGTCTATCGTAGCACGAACGAGGTCCATTTCAATATCGGCGGCTGCCTTAATCAAAGATGTCTTGAGTGATTGGAATGAGGCTTTGAGCACGCCTTTTTCTTCAAGTGTTGCCATATCTCGTAATCTAACGGACTCAAACCTGGACTGGAGGAGGGCCAGTCTTCGTGTCGGATGAAGTCGATTTCACGATTTCACAGCCAGTCTTGTGTGCTCTTCGCTCTATGAGCTGGCGCCGAATCTTGTTGGAATACCCAGTGCCTGTTATTGAACATGGTATGCGAAACAGGTTCCACAAGGTTCGTCAGGACTGTATTTTGATACACAACTGCATTCGTTTTTACACCTTTCTCACAAAAATGTACCTCTGTTAAGCCCCAATAAGAAACTCCCAACCATACCATGAGCGAGGATGGATAATGACCTCGTTGGACACGTGGAATACGGTTGCTCGCTTACATCTTACATTACTTATTTTATTTATTACTTAGACCTTATCATTTTGTTTGTTGTAGCTCTCTTCTACGGTAAAAAAAATTTTAACCGAAAAAAGAATTACCCGATATTTTTTTCCCGAGTACTCAACGCGGGCACTTCAACAAAGCGCGGCATCTCTTCAGTCTCAGGTCCATTAGACGAGCATTCAAACGATGTCCTGTTTTTCTTCGATATGCACGAAGCCCTAAGTCTTCATTTAACACCCTTTTCACCGTGGTTCTGCTTAACCCCATCTGAAGGGCCAACAGTTTCTGTTTACGTTTGGGATTTCTTTGAATTCGCGCCTTCACAGATTTTATCACTGCTGAAGTCCTAACGGACCGAGGGCGACCACTTCTTGACTTGTCATCCTCACTAGTGTCTTCATTGTATCGTTTGATGGTACGATAAACGAATCTTTTGGTTATATTCAAATTTTTCAGTATGTCAAAAATTTGAATTAGCGCGTAACCGCAACGATGCACCGCAATAACTGCAACACGGTCTTCACTCTTCTTTATACGTCCACTCCGTATTTAAAAATGAGTAAAATTCTAAAAAGTATCAATTTTTATTTTCATGAACAATTCGAAATTCGAATTCAATTAACTTTTTTGTGGCCAGCATTCTAAAAGAAAAGTTTTTACTGTGTGACAATACTTATGACCTGACCTTGTATATATCTTCATTTTGCTACTTCATTTGTAAATCGTAAGATAAATATCATGAAAAAACAATGATCATGAATTATTAAATGCTGTAATCGAAGACCACATTTATTCATGAGTTATTTACTTAGTTAAAATTAGAAACGCCTTTTATATATACGTAAAAGGCGTTTATAGCGTCAGCTCATTTGTAGTCTTTTTAAAATAATTTAATAATCGTGTAGGTACTTGTTAACTTGGAAGGATAATCGCTTGATGAAAACTTACGCAATATTAAAATATACAACTGTATACTTGTTAATTAATGATAATTAAAATTAGTAGCAGAAGTTCACGCATTCGTGAACGACCATAGTTATTATAAATGAAAATGTAATTGAACACAACACAATAGATAGAAGCATAGTTAGCGTTTTTTTATACAAAAAAGCAACAGTTTAATACTGCCATCATCATCTTAATTCGTATAGATGATAAATAATATAGTTAGCTAACAAAATAATTTATTAATTAAGTGATGAAGTTATTTATTACCACAAAATATAACATTTTTAGGAATAAATTATGTTGTTATTGATATTGTTCTGTGAATAACTTTATATATTTTTAAGTGACATGGTAGTAAAAGAGATGTGTTTTAAATGTGTTTACAATTAAATATTGAATCTGCTTATTTGACGCGCTATTGCAATTAACGCTGAATTCCAGAACTTTGTAATTAATACTGTATTAGATTTGATTCTATTATCTTAGGGTTCCGTACCCAAAGTGTAAAACAGAACCCCATTGCTGTCACTCTGTCATCTGTCAGTCCGTATGTCACTGGTATCTCTAGATCGTTGATGGAATGAGTTACATAATTTTAATTTTGGTATTTTACGTGGAATGCTTGCCCAATACCGATTTTTTAAAAATTCTATTTAATTATTTTTGGGACGTGAAAATGCAACTGTTATTTTTTTAAGCCACCATGTGACACATCCAGGCGCGGTCCTAAATGGGGTCACAGGTGACGTAACCCCCAAAATCGCACACGTCAAATGCCCTAACCGTTTTTTGTTTATTCATTTGACGACCTCCGTGATCGAGGGGTTTGTACGCCGGGTTTCAAGGTGTCGCCTACTCAAGAGGTCCCGGGTTCTCGAATCCCGGTGGGGGCAGATGTTTGTGTGACGAATACGAGCATTTGTACTCAAGTCATGGATGTTTAATATGTATTTCTATATAAATATACTTATTTATGTATCAGTATATGTATTCCATCCGTTACCCTAGTATCCCATAACACAAGCCTTACAGTGCTTACTTTGGGGCTAGGCTAATTGGTGTGAGTGTTGGAAATATTTATTTATTTATTTAACATTATTCAAGTTTGTAAAGATTATCTCTACCCAAATAAAAAGACTGCTGAAATTGTAAGTCTTGATCCCCTTCAAAATTTCAGGCAGCAACCGCGTCTGAACACAAAGTAGATTAGAGCTTGTTGTTGTTTTTTTCAATAACAAAGAAATGGGGTCCGTCAGAGTTGTAATCTTAAGACCAATTTTGTTACGAGTCTATCTCAAAACCGAAACAAGTTACGAATGTGAAATTTCTGTATACGATGTCCCTTATACTGTATTTAAACAACACTGAAAACTTCGATACATAATAAAGTACTTTGTAAGTTGTGACGAAAAACAAACAAATGATTTTTTCTTTCGCGGTTTGTTATTGCACGGAGGCGGAACCCTAATACAGCGATGCTAGACTCGCGCTTGGCCAGTTTTTTTATCCAACGTTTTAAATACACTAATAGCATAAAGTATCATATAAGTATGTACTTACTAAATTTTCTATTGATTTGACTAATAAAATCAATATAAAATATATCTTATAAATTTTCTTTTGCCCGAATTGAATGCTATCTATCATATTAATTTTGTAGATTTTTGGTTTTCTGTAAACGAATTCATCCTTCATTTTCTTATCATAATAATAAACTCTGTGTGGCAAAAAAATTTATTGCTATGACAATTGTACAAAAAGCGGTGTGGTACGTTAGGACCTCAAACGGCCATAATTTAGTAGGTACAACAGTAAAATTTATTTTCCTATCGTACCTACTATAGGTAAACTGCATAACTGAGACCTCGCCTGCGGGGTACAGGGTGTGGGGGAGGGAGAAAACGGGCACTGTGAGAGGTGCGGGCGGCAGGCACATTCTTGGGTGTATTCCGAAATATACATCAGTATACTGGCCAGTGGTAATGACGTCAGGGATCCGACGCCATATTGTACTGAATTGCTACCATATTTTTATCGGGAAAACGAATATACGTATAATAATATATGACATATGACCGACGTACGTGCGTGAGATGCATTCGAATTTTATTTCTTTTTTATTTCAAGAACAAAAATAATTCCTATTAATTGATGAGGTGAATAAAAAATCTTCTTTATTCGCACTATTTTTAATATTTCGTAGATTTATGATGTCAGTGGACTGGCCTGTATATTTCGGAATAATTCACCAGTATAGCGTCGATTCATGACGTCATTAGCACTGGCCAGTGCACTGGTATATATTACGTAATACACCGAATTGTCAAAATTACAAGTGCCCGCCGCCCGCACCTCTCACGACCCCCGTTAAGGGGACGTATATAAATGACGTGAGATTTTTAAGGGGGGGGGGGGGGGAGGGGGTCGAGTCAAATCTTATCTAATCTTACGTTGGAGAGAGGGGGGGTCTCGGATAATATCACGCAATTTTTTTTCTGATTGAAACAAAACAAAAACTATTTTGGTCCATTTAATCCAGATTGTAATGTTTATTAAATCTCAGTAATAATGATTAATAGTCTTAATTAGTCGTAAATAAAAGCACGAAGCATTGTTTTTCTTTTTACAATAACAATCCCAACGCGTTTACGTAAGAAACCCACATTTTGAAAAATCTTACGTGAGATTGGGGGATGGGACAGAAAATTCAAAAAACACCTCACGTAATTTATGGACGCCCCCTAAGCGGTCTACCTATACCAAAATGTTGAATTTTATCATTTACTCAATGCTCTATTCTGATTAATTAATTCATCCTTGTTAATAATCACCTTGCATCTTGCTGTTAATTACAGTCTGTTAATTTAAACATTTTTAAATGCATAATTATTATTATTATTCCAGATACGTCGCAATCATGCACAAAATTCTTATCATAATTTTGTTTTATTGAAAAAGCAAAGGTGATGTTACTCATTATTATTATTTTTTATTTTCATAGATATCACAAGGGATTTATTGTAAAATTGTTATTTCGTTTAATTATTTATTTTTTGTACAAATAAAACTTTTTATCATGACATTACATTATTAACCTTTTTTATATGTAATAGTTTTTGATAAATCAAAATCATGTAGATAAACACTTATTAAAAACTAATTTAAAGAATTGTAAACAAAAAAAGATTAATTTAATATTGCAAATACTTATGGTAATTAAGCTATATTTTGTTGTTTTAAGATTGACTTAATGTTTTATAGTTATAATTAAACAATTAGTGTGATCAATGAAAAGGCACAATTTTGTACATTTGTATGTAATGTTCGGTGCTAAAGTAATTCTCGTGGTGTACTTCTGTGAAATAAAAATAATTTTAAGACTGATGATTTTTAATTTTGTCTTTATAGTCCAGTGAAATAAACCAAAAAAGATCTCAATTACGGAATGTGAGGTAAACATGAAGAGGTAATAAACCTGAAAAGCAAATCCCTTGTTTCTGTCATAAGAAGTAACGTGTCAAAAGTCACAGTGGTTAGGGGAGATCTCATGCCAGCACTTTACTTGGCTATTTGTATTTTGCAATTTGATATCAGTCTGTCCTTTTTATCCCTTATAAAGCATGATAAGTCTCTTGTATTCGAGGTGAAAGTCAGAAAAATTACTTTCTCGGTGCTCCTACCACAATGTATCCCATTATGATAGTTGTTAAGCAGGCAATTTATCATATTTTTTTTTAACTTTTTCTCGTATCACTGACCGTTCATATAAAGCGGAAAGCGCGCAACACTCGGCCGCGTGTCATCGTACACTAAAGGCCTTTTTTATTACGCAGTCAAAAAAACCTCTATTTACAGACGTTGGTGCATTGAAGGGGCAACCCAACGAACGGACCTCACACCTAGCCTCTCGCAAGTCTCACGGGTGCGAAATGGAAAAACCGTTAAGCATTCCGCGCTGCTTACGAGCGCTTGTGGCATACTATCCGCTAAAAAACTCTGCGAATACCGCGTCACACACTAAAGGCCTGTGCTGCTTTAAGCGGGAGCATGGTACGGACGTCCGCTTCGCGTGTTTGTTTCATGTTATATATAGTGCGTGAGATGCATTCGAATTTTATTTCTTTTTTATTTAAAGAACAATAATGGCATCCGAACAAAAAGAATTCCTTTTAATTGATGAGGTGAATAAAAAATCTTCTTTATTCGCACTATTTTTAATATTTCGTCAATATATGACGTCATTAGCACTGGCCAGTATACTGGTAGATATTACGGAATACACCCTATGTCATGTACCGATTCAGTATTGCTACCGAACGCAACAAAATTTAAACCGCAGCAGTTGAATGAGGATCATTACTAGGTCAGCAAATTAACTCAAAATCAAGGGTATCCAAGAGGCTTTTTAATTAATATATTTTTTAAATCATCGCAATCGGTTCATTCGTTGCGATTTTACAACTAATTACCTATGTGGTAGCCAATATTCACCAGCAGCCGAAACGTGTGACGTCACAGAGCTCGATCGTGGTTCACTCCGGTCGAACTTTAGTAGCGACTCCACGCACGCTCGCGCCCGAGCGCCAGAGCTCTGTGACGTCATAGCCACTATGCAGCCAGCCGAAAATTCGTTTAGCAATTTGGTCATAACTTCGTCAATAATTGTCGTAGAACAAAAATTTTAACACTGTATTTTATGGAATCCTTATGTCTATGAATCTATATTCTCAACTACAATCCTTACGGATCCTCATGATGAGTCGCGGGTCACTCCGCATTGCGTATGGTCGCCATTTTTTTACCCACTGGCGATTCAGTTAGCGGTTGGCATTCATTTGCGGTCTCAGTAAAGAATGAATCCAGTACAATTTTTCCACACAAAACTTCTTGACATTTGAGGCGTATCGAGATCGAATACAACTATTCGAATTCGATATTGGTTCGTGCTAAGGGTACTGGAGGCCAATTTATTAAACCTTGCCGTAAGCAAGAATCTACGCGATATGGGCAGAATTTGTGGCAGTCACGATATTACCAACACAATTAGACAACACGTCTCTTTGACATGTATTAAATTTAAATTGCGTGTACTCAGACGCCCGTTAGTAAAAAAATATATTTTATTCAAAAATATCTTTTCAATAGGGGCGTTAGTAAAAAAATATATTTTATTCAAAAAATATCTTTTCAATAGGGGCGCAGTCGCAGCAGGGACACTGTTGACTTCATCAATTTAATCAAAATACCAAAAACAACTTTGTAAAAAGGTAATAAATTAAAGAATTTATTCAACATAATTTGTCCATTACATCACAGTGCCATTAAAATTATAATTTCTTCCTGAACATGCTGAGCCTTTTTCGTGGGGTGCCCTGAAACAAAAACGTCAGGTTAGCTTAGATTTTAAATACACGAGTTGGTTTGGGAGAATTGCAGAGAATTAGAAATGATATGGAAGCATCACTCTAACAAAGGCCGCTAAAACTTGGTTTCAAACTCATACAGCTAGACTTCAATACTAATGCGACACGGACACAGACAAAAGAAAATAATTTGACAAATCAAATATCTGCAATTTTGAATTTGGCTATTTATTCATTAGGTAAGATTATATTAAACTGAAAACCCAACCAATTCCATGATCGGCCTGTTAATCGCAGTTTACGAGGAACCACTTTCTTGCGCAGTTCGTATTCCATGTCATTTCTAATTCGTTGGGGAATGAATAGTCAATGGCTTACCCTGGAGATGAAACAAATTTATCTTAAAATAACGAAAAGTATTTCATGAAACATTAAATAAAAATGATATAAATGTTTAAATTGACGTAAATTTAGATAAACATGAGAATTCGTAAAAAGACCACTTTAAGCTTTGAACTGCTAGATATTTAAATCTAAATATAAACAAATACAAGAAAAAAAATCCATCGGTCCACATAGCAGACGGGACTCGACCCCGCACCCTTTACTATCCGGGTGCATGCACTGACCAATGATGCTACCACAAGCTTAATGGCCGTGCCGAACTTTTTCTAGTATTTCTTAGCCTGCAAGGCAGCGCTATCTATAAGTTACCCACAATGTCAAACCTTTACAAGTATTAAACATTGGAAAGAAGAATTAGCAATTGTAGTTTAATTTATTTTTGTTTTCAGTATATAACTGCTAGATTATTAAATGTAAGGAAAATTTTACTGGAAAAAAACCATTTTAAGAAAAATACAGCAACATTGTGTGTTACCTATATTTATTTACTTCGCCGCATAATGTCTCTGCTTAGCCTGATGGTTGACTGGTAGAGAATAACTTAAAACATTATTTTAATGAAAAACAATAAACAGTAAATAAATAATTCATGTTACCTCAGCAGTGTCGTTCTTGTTGGAGCGAAACAGCGACAGGAGTCGGGAGGGGGTGCTAGTCTTGCGCAAGGTGTGCTGCTCGGGTTCCGGCCGCAGCGATTCACGCAATTCTGAGTCCTATTTTCATATTCATAAGGTTTATATCATGTTTATTAATCTCTTTTATTTTCGTCATCAACAAACACAACCTTACCATTACTAAAGTTAGACTTGGTTTATTCTATCTTCTTTTTAACAACAACGGTAAATTTAGTGTCGATTCTAGCATGAATTTAAAACTAAATTTAACATCAGTCGAGTAATTTCCGAGTGCTTTAGTAACAAACATACAAACTTTCACACTTATGATATTAGTAGGATCTCAAGTAGAAATTCATTCATTTATTAACTTCGGCACCCTCCCATCCCACCTTTAGGGGTAGTTTAGGCAAACCAAAAATGCCAAACTTTATAATCTATTTAGGCTTAGGCTGTGCGTTGATATGTCAGTCAGTCAACCATGCACTCAGTTACTTCTTTTATATATTTAGATATTTATAAACATACCGTAGCGGACAGTCTCCCGGCTTGCTTGCTAGGAGTCGGCGGACCGGGTTTCTTGTATGCGGTGATGCCAACCTCTTTCCTCTGATTGCGACCTCCCAGAGAAGCGGCTTCCATACACTGTTCCAACAAAATCAAGCTATTAAAATGTATAGAAAAAAATAAAATATACATTGTAAAGCTGCGTATACGCTAGACGAGCCTAGCACGAGCGAAGTCGAAATTCGTGTAGTGTGGACCGACTTACGAGCCTCGAACTCGTACTCGACCGCGCTCCGCCTGTTGTGGGTTTTTTGAGGAACACAAAGGCATTTGCGTTGCGCTCGTGGACGCGTTAATTGACACACGCTCGTTTCGCTGGCCGGAGCATCATGGAAACGTGGACTGAAGATGTTTGTTTGCAATTAATTGAATGTGTCTGTCTTTATATAAATTTGTAGATCTCCATCGTCTTGGCCTTCTAGCTATTTTACTAACTTGGGCTATAATAATCGCTGTAGCAGCAGCGGTTGCTGCAAACAACTCGTCCATCCCCTCCGTGAGCCACGAACACACCGGAAACGTATGTTCGAGGAGAGTGATTGTATAACGGTTTGACTAGCATTCATTTCACAGGATAAAAGAGATAATTAAAACACGATACTGTGAGAAGGTTACGCGATCAACTCACTGATCTCCGTGGTTTTTCTTGCCGAAACTGTCCTAGAGGTCCAACAGCACATTGGATGCAACATGGTCTTCAGTAACCTTGGGTTTTTTTTATATATCGTTGTTCTTATACCACAGTGTTGGACGCCAGCCCCTTCAGGCAGCGGTAGCGTTAGTTTAGACGACATCGGAGTGGGAATAGCCTGATGCGATGAATGAGTCAGAAGGCTGATATCAATAGAAGGTATAGTTGTTTGAATTTTTTGTTTATGTGAAAAGTGTTGTGTGTGGCAGACAAGCACATGCAGGCCCGCCTGATAGTAAGTGGCCATCACAGCCCTTATAGTATATACAGATAGTCGCTTGCGATGTCAAAAATATCACCAGACGCCGACAGAAACACAGCACCACCAAAAGGTAGAGTTGTTTCAAGCCTATTCTAGACGGATGTAATCCAGGGTCCCAACAAAGGTGATTGCCCGTTGCCATCCATCTAGACGAAGAATGTAATCCAAAATTTGATTTGACCTTCAACGCCCTTGGATTACGGGCGCGTTTCCATCCGCGGTTGGAGCGCGTGGATTACAACCATTTGGCCGGCGGATTAAATCCAACCAAACACAGTTGCGCTGCGGTAGTCGGCGGTTGCGCACGTATCCGTGCACTTATTCTTAGAAACTTATGAATATCAATCTAGTCCAATAACTCCAATAAGTTTGAATAGCTGACTATCATTCGCTCTTTTAACCAACGCTTCATCCACTTTCTCTTTTTTTTTTTTGTTTTTCGTCGTCTATTTCACACAAAACTGCAAAGGCTCAAAGCCCACTTTTTGAAATTTAGACAAATTTGGACCCATTTCTACAACATGGTTAATATAGTCCGCGCACGATACGAGTGCATACGTGTTTTCATGCCAGAAGACGGCTCGCGATTGCGGTTTAGCGAGCGAATTACATCCGTGTAAGCGAAAATCATAACGCGGATGTACACCAAGTTCCCACCAAGATCGCCTTGGTTTGTACGCTGGATTACATCCGTCTAGAATAGGCTTTACTGTGGTCTTCTGTAAGGTAGCGGTTACTTCCCCAGACGCGTGCTACAAGCGGAAGCGGCGGCTAGTTTTAGCGGAGTCCGCGTTGGGCGCCAACTGCGACACGGCGGGGTAGGAGCTCTTGAGATGGGGCGAGCACAGGGAGTTTTTCATTTCCCTCATATGGCAACACTGGTCACAAGGCTGACATCAATAGACGGTATCGCTGTTATAATTTCTGACTCTCACTCTGTACCTTTTTTGCCCTACCTTATATTATTTTACGTGTTACGTCTTACCGCGTTCATCTACTCGAAAACAACAAACCTAGGCTATTTGTTGTTGTCTCTTACCTTGATGTGTTCCTCGTCCGCGTTGGGCGCGAACTGCGTCTCGGCGGGGTAGGAGCTCTTAAGATGGGGCGGGCATAAAGAGTTGCGCCAGCGCAGCTCGGAGAGGCGCGCGGGGGAGGAGGCGCGGGCGCGGGCGCGGGGGGTTGTCGCCAGCTCCTTGAGGCAGCGGTTGTCGAACACCTCGCCCTCCTCGTCAGACATGTGGAGGCCGCGCCCTTCTACGTAACACGACAAGGTTTTGGTAGTGTTTTTTAATGAAAATTATGTTTGTATACCATCGTTTTGCAATTTTGTTGTGCTAAGACTAAGTTGTTATTTAACACTTTAAACTATCTTTTCTGATTTAGATCTCGATATACTTTAAATATCAAGATGTTCGTGCTACTGCCAGCTCCTTGAGGCAGCGGTTGTCGAATACTTCGCCCTCCTCGTCCGACATGTGGAGGCCGCGCCCTTCTACGTAACCCGACAAGTTTTTGGTAGTGTTTTTTAATGAAAATTATGTTTGTATACCATCGTTTTGCAATTTTGTTGTGCTAAGTCTAAGTTGTTATTTAACACTTTAAACTATCTTTTCTGATTTAGATCTCGATATACTTTAAATATCAAGATGTTCGTGTGTTCGTGCTACTGCCAGCTCCTTGAGGCAGCGGTTGTCGAACACCTCGCCCTGCTCGTCCGACATGTGGAGGCCGCGCCCTTCTACGTAACACGACATGCATCAGTACCCTAAGCACGAACTAATGGCGCATTCAAATAGTTGAATTCGATCTCCATACGCTTTACATGTCAAGAAATTTGTGCTACTGCCAGCTAATTGAGGCAGCGGTTGTCGAAACCCTCGCTCTGCTCGTCCGACATGTGGAGGCGGCTGCCTTCTACGTAACACGACATACATCAGTACCCTAAGCACGAACTATTGTCGCATACGAATAGTTGAATTCGATCTCGATACGCTTTAAATGCCAAGAAATTCGTGCCACTGCCAGCTCCTTGAGGCAGTGGTTATCGAAAACCTCGCCCTCTTCGTCCGACATGTGGAGGCCGCGCCCTTCTACGTAACACATGGTTTGTGTTGTTTTTCTAATGAAAATTATGTGTGTAGACCATCAGTTTGTATTTTGTTGATTTTTGTTGTGCTAAGACTGTTATATTTCATTTTTTAAGCATTTACTAAATACACCAAGTGTTAAAGTTTAAATCTAAAGAAAATTTTACTAAAAAAAAACACGCGGATCAGGCAGCAGATGAAACGCGAACCCGCACCCTTCGCTATCCGGACGAATGCACTGACCATTATGCTACAGCGACCTGATGGCCGTGTCGAATTTTCTCTAGCATTTCTTAGGCTGCAAGGCAGTGCCAACTCTTCGCATTGTAGGTAACCTACAATTTTTTTAGATTTAAATATCTAGTAGTTTAATGCTAAAAAAATATAACTGTAATTGCTATTTCCTCTTTCAAATGTCTAATACTTGTAAAGGTATTCATTTGACATTGTGGGTTACCTACAATACGAAGAGATGGTGCTGCCTTGAAGCGTAAAAAATGCTAGAGACAATTCGACACGGTCATCTGGGCGGCGGTAGCATAATAATCAGTGCATTCGCCCGGGTTGTATGTTTCTTAATCAATCACGCAAAAACTATTAAACTGATTTAGATGAAATTTGGTACGCATATAGTTTTTGATCTGTATTGAAACATAGGTTCGTTCTATCCCTGAAAAATGACAGTTTCCTGTGGGATTCTCAAAAGACTATATTAACGCGGACGAAGTCGCGGGCGACCGCTAGTTTATGATATTAGTATGCATAAATTTGGTTTGCATAGTTACCTCGTTTATTTGTATTGGTGTTATGGATTGGCAGCGACCGCAGCGAGTGCGCGTCGGAGATGCGGGAGTGGTCCTCCTTCAGTGGAACTAGTCCAGACTAGAATTAATGAATTATGTTATCACATTAAGTATCATCATCAGCCTATTAATGTCCCCATTGTTGGGGCACAGACCTTCCCTATGGATGAAATAGGGAGATTGGGTCACGACCCACCACGCGGGCCCAGTGCGTATTGGCGGGTGCTTAAGACTACAGATGCAGCCGGAACCAACGGCTTAACGTGCCTTCCGAAGCACGGAGGAAATCGAGATAGAATATTTTTGGTCACTCATCCAATGACCGACCACTGCGAAAGTTGCTTCAACGATCGCAGCCGAAAGCGCTTACCACCCGCGCTATCGAGCTCCTCTATCACATTAAGTATAATTACCATTTATATAAGATTTATGTAATAAAACAATAGTGTGCAACAAAGCCACGCTGCAAATGAATCTTTTAAAATCAGTAATAAAAATAAGTTATTATTTTGTTCACGAAAATATAGTTACGTACGTCCCTTTTGGTACGGTAGACTCGAGTCCGTCATTTCTTCCAAATTATTTTAACCCGTACGAAGTACGCGTGGTACTAGTACAATAGTAAAAATCGTTTAAGTTTAAAACCATACAACATGTTACTCAGACTGTTTTGACGAGTATGTTTGTTTTACATACCGAATGCACGTGCTGCAGCGACATGAGAGATCCGGAGCGCTGCTTCCTCCTCTCCCAATCGAGTTCATCCTTCTGGGACAGGAATTTCTCACCCACTCTCCACAGCTCCGTGGTCAGTGACCTGATAATAATAATAATAAAATTGGTTGTCTGTAAAATCAGTTTACGGAAGATAATTTTACGTGGCAACGTGTCATGCGCCGTTTTCCTCGGAGCGGTTTTGTGAGGCTTTTTGTACCGGTTCGTTTGAGCCCAAGCACGCCTCTGTATCTCTATGGGGGACAGAGTTTGGTTCCGTGGGGGCGGGTCAGGAGGAAGGGAGGGGTCAAGGGGATGTCGAAGGAGCTCTTCGATCTCACGTGAGATAACGTGACATGACGTTACACTTTTTCATTCGTGCAGTCGGTGTTCATCGATGTATAAGACGTTATCACATCAATAATTTATTTCATAAAATTTACAATCAGATGCTCCTTGACAATGCAGATAGTTAGGTTCATTATATTCATTATAATTCAAGACGCCTTGAGTCTGAACTAGATAACTGTTAGAAATCAGCGCTCTTCCCAATAAAATATTTTACTTACTAATTTGTCTACTTTGTTCATTGCATTCGAGAGTTATGAAATGAGACTTAAACATAATTATAAGTATTATGGAGGACCTTCCTGTGGGTAAAGTGAAAGTGAAGTGTGCGTGTACAAGGATTGTGTGTTGTTTTTTTATGCTAACAAGCATATAGCCTGCCTGATGGTAAGCGGCACCATAGCCTATAGACGAGGGTGGTCCTTATTTTTCGACTTTTGAATTATCCCCGGGGCACTTTCTCATTTGATTATATACATCTAAATATGAAATACGTTTTTTTTTTTGTTTTTGTTGAGATTTAGAGGTTTCAATAATAATTAATTTAGGTGTCTATATCACATTTTATGTGCAAGTGAGACTTGCATACACAATAGCTCATACTCCGCCCCTCGACCCCTCTTTGGTACCGACATCTCAGAATGTATTTGAAAATTGAAGAAGATTCAACCACCTCACTCAAAATTTAAGGGAAAGAAGAGTGCTTAAAACGAATAAACCTTGACATCGAACATATCCACAAAAAAAATAGAAAACTTCGTGAGTAGTAATTCCTTAAGATTCTTCCAGACCTTAGGTCTCTCATCAATAGAATATATAGAGAACGAAGACGCTGATTATATAGCTGCCAAAAATATCGTTTATTCATTGAGAGAAGTAAACGACAGCGCGGTGTTGCTTTAATGGAAGACTACAATGAATTAATTACCTGAAATGAAACAAAAGCAATGTTTGCTTTTGTTGGTAAAATATATAGAAAACAGTACCCTAATACTAACAAGTCAATCCTTGTATCTTAAAAATAAACAAATCAGATATCTGCATAATATCTCAATTAATAACAATAACCATAATTTCGTAATATTTTGTAATGCCTGGGTATAAAAATAAAAAAATCTAACAATTACAGATTTTCAGTTTTTATTTTAAATTCAAACCTTTGTAGCGACCTCTAAATGTCATTTATTTAAAAAAAAACTGAAATACTTTCTTATGGTATATAACCAAATTACGTGGTGCCCCGCGAAATTAAAGAAAAAAAATTTTTTTCCTAGGAATAAGGACCACCCTACTATAGACGCTTGCGTTATCATCACTCGCGCCGTTGCCTACCCAGACCCAATCCTTCTAAAAATCCCCCGTGGAGACCTGGAACCTACCTCACTGACAGAAACACAACACCACCAAAAGGTAGTGTTGTTTTACTGTGGTCTCCTGTAAGGTGAAAGTTACTTCCCCAGGCGGGCGCTCCAATTCGAGCGGCAAATCTGTTATGCCCTACCTCTCTTAAAATAACTAATACACAATGCTTAACAAGTCCTCGGTTTTATCATACGTTAATTTGTAAATTTATTCTTATACTATTTGTTTATATTCAGGCAACGTCTGTGGCCGAGTGGTTTGTACGCCGGGTTTCATGGTGTCACCGACTCGAGAGGGTTCGAATCCCGGTGGGAGCAGATGTTTGTGTGCTGAATACGAGCATTTGTACTCCAGTCATGGATGCTAAATATGTATTTCTATATAAATATACTTATATATGTACAGTTTATGTATTCTATCCGTTACCCTAGTATTCCGTAACACAAGCCTTATAGTACTTACTTTGGTGCTAGGCTAATCGGTGTGAGTGTTGGAAATATTTATTTATTCTCTTATATTTAATGCCCAGATATTGAGACACATATTTGTTTCTTATGTTTTCACGCACATCACTCATTAAATAAAACTAGTTTTTACGGGTTAATGCACGAAACTTTATTTATTATTTATTTAAAGTTTTATTCTGACGACGAAGCCTGTAAAGGCTACGAAACGTCAATAAATAAATAAAGTTTCGTGCATTAACCCGTAAAAACTAGTTTTATTTACACTTATTTATTTTTACCTGATATGCTCCTCGTAAGCTTTACTCGATTCCGCCAACTTCTCCCGGGTCTTCATCAACTCCCGCTCTAATGTCGCTATCTCATGCCTTTGCCTCTCTTGGAAAACCGACATCTGCTCTTGGTATAACTCTTTCTGTAAAATGTTAATCATGTTCAGATACGCATACTATCAACTTCCCACATGCAAGCCTGCTCATTCAATCATGCTTCGAAAACATGCATAATGTTAATCGATTACCTTGATCGTTTGCCGTAATTAACGGCTTCGAAAGCATACAGTACACTACTACTACGAAACTCTATGTTTTAATGAACACTAAAAAGAAAACTAACAAATAAAACAAATGTATCCATTAAAACATACTTTATTCAAATAAATGACTTTACAAGTCTTCAACAACAAAAAAAAAGAGAAAAACAAAAAAGCCACACCATTCAGTAGTCCATTTGCAGGTAAAACCACCACACAACCTGATATAGCAATATCAATAACAGTACAGGTAGTATACTGACCATTTTAGCCTTCATTCTGTTGAGTTTGTCCTCGTATTCGGCGCGGACCTCCATTACGGTGACTGATTGCGTGTCTTTCGCTCCCTCCCCCTTCTGTGCGCGAACCACTTCTTCTAAAAGTTTCTGGAACGAGCTCTCGAGTTCCTCTAGCTGCACCTCTAAGCTCGTGTTCTGGAACGTGGTCGAAGCCAAAGACGCGCGGTCGTCGTCGCTCGAAAACGCCTGTTTTATCCTTTCCGTCGAAATCGTCCTACTTATGGACCTCTCCACCCATCTCTCCAAGTTCATAACGCATTCGGATAGATCCTGCATGATGGCTGCGTAACCTCGTTCTAACTTGCACATAGTAGCGTCGTTAACCCTACCGTCCAAACTTAATATCTCCCTTCTAACCGTCCGTTGTATAGACACTACCCTGCTCAATTTCTGCGTATACAAATCTTTCACATTGCTGAAAGTCTTAAAGCTCACAGATAGCTCAGTCAAAAACTTCTTCAAATTGATTATCTCAGATTCGTTAATCCTGTTCACTTCGGTCAGTCTGTCTCTCTCCTTCTGTAGCGCGATCTGCTTCTCCGAACATCTTCGCAGATGCTTGTCTGTTGTCTCCAGGAAGTTCTCGAGGTCCTCCATAGTGATAGTGCCAGCGTTCAAGCTCCGCCGCAACTCGTTGTCGCCGTTAGTAGCGTTCCCCAAATTAGTCAATTCCTTCAAGACAGCATTAGATTTAATTTCAGATATTCTCTTTAGTATTATTGCCTGATATTTAGCCGAAACCTTTATGATTTGACTTGCCCTGTTCTCGGTGATGCTCATTTTGTTGACATGCTTCTTCAACTCTGCTATTTCCTCGTTCTTTTGATGAACAATCTTCTTAAGCTGATTAGACAGCTGCTGGCAATTTTCCTTGCTGATTTCCAATTCTCTAGTAACGTCTAACAATTTGTTTTCGGAATCTGCTACAAGTGTCTTCATATAAGTAATATCACTTTGGAGAGTAGTAATGGTCCTGTTTTTGTCATGAATGATTTTTTCTAAGTCTGAAATAGTCTTAATACTGTCCATAGATGAATGTGCAAGGTCTGAAGTTGTATAATCTACCTGATGATGGTACTCGCGGTAGTCTTTCTCGAATGGACTGGCATATTTATGACTTCCAGTCTTTTCAGACACAGCAACAGCATCTATAAACAAAAGATGTCGTTTGAGTAATATTAACTTTAAACCATATTTAACTTTTATTCTATTTCAATACTTACAAGCATCTCTTTGGCCCACAGCTCTAACCCACTCTTCATTCCTTAAAACTCTAAGCACATCTTCAGAATGGGCATCATTGAGTCTCTGCTTCAGTTCTGATACTACTCCTTCTTTTGCATCCAACTCGTTTCGTATTGCAACTAAATTTTCCTTTTCTTCTAATAACTGTTGTTGCATAGAACTCATTCTCTCATCTTTAGTTTTTATACATTCTTCTTTTTCTTTCAAATCTTTTTCATAATCATCAACCTTGCATTTCAATATTTCAATTTCTTTTTGTAACGTATCAATTTCTTTCTCTTGATCCTCTAGCTGCTTCTCTGCTTTGGTCTGATATTCTTGCAGAATGGAACATTTATTACCTAAGTTTAATTTCACAAAATCATTTGATTCCTTCTCTTTTTTGATAGCTTCTTCCAAGTTTAGTATCACTAAAAGAAGTGTCAATTTTAGTAGAGTATACTACTATAAAATAAAAACATTTAAACCATATAAAGCATCATTTACACATATACAGTGGTGGTCGTATAATTAGAAACACTACCCACAGTCCTTGACATTATGTAATATACTTCACCGCAATCCTCCAATTAACATATTTTTTAGCGAATAATAATCACTTCTGTCGGTTTTGCTTGGTAAGAAGCGGTACCTTTCGAGCGATTCTTTCAAACAATTTAGCTTCCACTAATCTGCGGCGAATCAGTCTTGACGCGATGTTTCTCGGATCATTAGGCGAAAAAAACTTCATTTTAATCTGGTATCGTATATAAGTAATAAATAAGGTAAGTATGAACGTCAGTCACAACTTTTATTTTTGCCCATTTTGAACAAAATAGAATTCAGATTATATTTTGAACTAGCAAACCAGTGAACCAAATGTTCCAAAACCTGATTTAAAAAAAAATGTATTTAATTAATTGAGAACTTCGGAGATTTTGTGTGGTTTCGTTTGAAATTCGTGATTTCTCGAAAACCGGAAGTGCTACGTTACTCAAATCCGGTTTGTAATCTTATCAGACTATTCTTAACTTATAACTTAAATATTCTCTTTATCTATCTCTTACGGTTTGGCCGCTGAAACAGCGCCACAGACAGACGCACGGACGGACGGACTTGTCTAATAGATAAGAGATTGCCAAGAAAAAAAATATTATTCTACAATTTCAAAAAAAGAACGAGCAATGGATGTTTTTTTAAAATGTTTCGTCCAAGCGGCCAAGTACAGAAAATAAACTCCTACATCTGCAAGACTCATTTTGTAATTGACAGTAAGATTTGTTTTATATTTAATGCATTTAATGAGTTTTTTTATTTGAGTGCCTATATTATTGCATGATTATTAATTATTGAATAAGTATATTTTATATAAACATTTGTACATAGAAGTTATACTTTCTTTATTCACAAGAAGTGTTTCTAATTATATGACCACCACTGTATATAATTTATATAATGTTTTATTACCTTTTTTATCATCCTCAACCCAACAAATTAAATCTTTATTTTCTTTTTTTAATTTAGATATTTCTTCTGCTAATGTTCCATCTTCCTTAGAAATTCGAGATTTCATTTCATCAACTGTAAGTCTGTATTCATTTTTCTCTTGTTCCAGACAATTATAAGCTTTCGTTAGTACCTCCACTTGATCATTTAGAGCTCTCACTTTCTCCTCTATTTCATTTGTCAACTTATGTTTTTCATCCAGTGTACTTTCTAGGTCTTTAATCTGGTCCTTATATTCCATCAAAATTTTGTTTAATCTATCATTGTATTCAGTTTCTTGGGAATCAATGACTATTTTTAATTCATTATTACGCTTTTCCATCGATACCAGATCTGAAACATGATTGTAAATAAACCACCTAAGTAAAGGTGCACCAAATTCTAAATCAATAGTAACTGAGCAAGACCCTTTTCTCAAATGGGAAATGCGCAGATGATCTTTAAAATTTTGAACAGATCATCATAAATAATAGCTAAGAACCATATCTATCATATCAGCTTTCAAATAAAAAAAACTATTTAAACTATATTATGCAGCATATACGCAAATATATATTTAAAATAATGTTTTATTACCTTTTTTACCGTTCTCAACCAAAGAAATTAAATCTGTATTTTCTTTTTTTAATTTAGATACTTCTTCTACTAATTTTCCATCTTCTTCAGCAATTCGGGATTTCATTTCATCAACTGTAAGTTTGTATTCATTTTTCTCTTGTTCCAAACAGTTGTAAGCTTTTGTAAGTACCTCCACTTGATCATTCAGAGCTCTCACTTTCTCTTCTATTTCATTTGTCAACTTATGTTTTTCGTCCAATGTACTTTCTAGGTCTTTTATCTGGCCCTTATATTCTATCAAAATTTTGTTTAATCTATCATTGTATTCAGTTTCTTGGGAATCAATGACTATTTTTAATTCATTATTACTCTTTTCCATTGACACCAGATCTAAAAAATGATAGTAAATAAACCACCTAAGTAAAAGTAAGTGCACTAAATTCTAAATCAATAATAACTGTGAAATTTGTAAGACCCTATTCTCAACCTGGTCTTCATAAATTATAGCTAAGAACCATCTCGATCCTGTCGGCTTTCAAATAAAAAAAACCCTTTTCCGTTGGGGTTTAAAAATAAGACGTCATAAAATGAGAAGAACGATTCTCATTTATGACGGAATATGGGTGGGTGGAAGGAACGTGTTGGGAAAGGTGTACCTTAGGCGAATAATTTACATTGTGTAAGAATTTAAAAAAATGCGTCATTTTTCAGCAGTCTCAAAAAATACTATGCTCTGAGGCCCAAGTATAGAGCAACGCGGCCGACGCGGCCAGGTGGGAAGTAAAAATTCACAGCGTTCCCCTCTGTCGATTTCCCCTCGCCGTTGGACCAGTTTAAAAACAAAACTAATTTGCTGTAAAACATATTCCAGATATGCAAATGGTGTTAAATTTCAAATATAAGTAGAATAATGAACATATAATATCTATTTAACCACTTTAAAACACAAATATTCATCTTATTTTGTTAAAAATCAATCGTCGCACTTGTTTGACAAAATAATAGACTCGCCAGTACAATTTTCAGATTTGTCAATAAAAAATCTTAAGTTTCATCTATGCCCGATTTAGCGCTGTAATTTTTTATGTGTGAGTGTCGTAATACCAACTTCGTTTTTGCGAAAGTATGTTGGACTGCATTTGTGTGCATATTCCTCCCCTCGCAAAAAGCAGCAGAATGATTTCAGTAGTATTATGTCATTATGGCTACTCCCCTCATAGCCGCGTCCGCTGTGTTCCTCTATGGGCCCAAGCACTGCTTTTGACTATTTTTTTTTATTCCAAATGCTATAGCTGGTTCCGAAAATACTGGAAATCATAAATATGCCAGTCCATTTGAGAAACACTACCGCGAGTACCATCATCAGGTAGATAATACAACTTCAGACCTTACACATTAATCTATAGAGAGTATTAAGACTATATCAGACTTCAAAAAAAATATTCATGACAAAAACAGGACCATTTTTTTCTACTCATTACTACTCAAAGTGATAGTACTTATATGAAGACTCTCGTAGCAGACTCCGAAAATAAGCTAGACGTTTCTAGAGAATTGGAAATCAGCAAGGAAAATTGTCAGCAGCTGTCTAATCAGCTAAAGAAGATTGTTTATCAAAAGAACGACGTAATAGGAGAGTTCGAGCAGTATGTTAACAAAATTAGCATCACTGAGAATAGGGCAAGAAAAGTCATAACGGTTTCGGCTAAATATTAGGCGATAATAATTAAGAGAATATCTGAAATTAAATCTAACGCTGTCTAGTAATTTCATTCTGAAGATATGCTAAGAGTTTTAACTAGCTGATCCAGCGAACTTTGTATCACCAAAAAAATAGGGGCTGGTGGTAGCAGGGTTAAAATTTAGGGTTGCATGTTTTTTTTAATGCCACATTATAAAAAAAAATTAAATGTGTCCAAAAAACTAAAATTAGGTTACAACTCTTATCACTTCAGGGTATGAAAAATAAATAGTAGCCGATTCTCAGGCCTACTGAATATGCATATAAAATTTCATAAAAATCGGTCAAGCCGTTTCGGAGGAATATGGTTGTGACATCTTATATATTAGATAACAAAGTACACAGTAAAATTACAGTGTAAGTGCAGTAGCAGTCCTTACCTTCCTTATTAATCTGCAGAAGTCTTTCTAGTTCACTGTTTCTAATTTCCAGTATTTCATTTTGAGATATTTTTGTATCATTGTCTTTCATCAAGTCATGTACTTTATTTTTCAAAATTTCGTTTTCATCTTTCAATTGTGTTATGACTGTTAATTAGAGAAATTAAAACTTGAAAGTTATTGAACAATCAAAATAAATGTTACAGTTTAAGTTTGTGTCCATGTATTGGTCTTTAAAATAAATCGTCGTAAGCCTAATTCAAAAATATACCTAAGTTAAGAGTAATTAACAGAATTGTTACCATGTACTATCGAATAAATTGATTCCTGACTCACTTGCCTGACAATTCTCTTGAAAGTGACAAATTAGCTAAATTATCAAATAGAGAATTCAAATTGATTTGATATAGATCAAAGATGATAAAGGTCAACTTTCAAGACCTTTATTATCAATGCACTAGATAAAACTTAAGATAAAATTAGAAATACTTTTAAATTTTGTAATATCTTTCTACTTATCTGCAAATAACCGTCGTATTTATAAACAAGTAAAAGGCAACTTTCGTTAATAAGCTGGCTTTTTACCAAGTAACGAATTTATTATTTGAGACAAGAATTCTTCAATAAAACAAATGTTTTATTACCTTTTTTATCATCCTCAACCAAACGTATCAAATCTGTATTTTCTTTTTTTAATTTAGATATTTCTTCTGCTAATGTTCCATCTCTTTGAGCAATTTGAGATTTCATTTGATCGACTGTAAGTTTATATTCATTTTTTTCTTGTTCTAAACTGTCGTAAGCTTTCGTTAGTACCTCCACCTGGTGATTCAGAGCTCTCAGCTTCTCTTCTATTTCAATTGTCAACTTATGTTTTTCGTCCAGTGTACTTTCTAAGTCTTTAATCTGGTCCTTATATTCTATCAAAATTTTGTTTAATCTATCATTGTGTTCAGTTTCTTGAGAATCAATGACTATTTTTAATTCATTATTACGTTTTTCCATTGACACCAGATCTGAAACATAATAGAAACTAAAGTAAAAGTGCACCTAATTTTAAATCAGTAGTGACTGTGAAAGACTCCTTTATTAAATGGGAAATGCGCTGATGACCTTAAAAACCCTGTAAATCAAATCTTTATAAATTATAGCTAAGAATAACCTTGATGTTGGTTTTCAAATTAAAAAAAAAGGTCATTCACATCGGTCTATTTGCTAAGGAGTTCCGACGTCACAGACAGACATACAGACACGTCAAACTTATAAGCCTCTATTTCCGTCGGGGTTAAAAATAAGACGTCATAAAACGAGAAGAACAATATGGGTAGAAGAAACGTGGCGGGAAACATGTACTTTAGGCGAATTATTAACATTGTGTAAGAATTTACCATAAAGAGGTGTTAATTTTTATGAGTATTATAAGATACTTAAATTAAGACTTTTTTTCAAGTTTTAGTATTAACTAGCAAATTATTGCTACGCCCGCATATCGCGTCGTGGGTACTAAACACACGTATGGGACAGCTTTCTCGCATACTCGATTTCGCACCTGCTGGCTCTAATTTCTTTAAATTTCAATATTAATTCTATGTAAATCTAATATATATACATATAAACACCGAGAACAGGTCAAGTCAAATCTTAAAGGTTACGGCTTAATATCAGGCAATAAAACTAAAGAGAATATCTGAAATTAAATCTTATGCTGGCTTGAAGTCAGATTCCCATTCTGAAGATATGCTTAAAGTTTTAAGGAATTCAGTGTGGGTCAGAGCTGTGAGTTAAAGAGATACTTGTAATTGTAAGTAAATATCAATATAACAATGTACATATAAAATTACAGTGTAAGTGCAGTGGCAGTCCTTACCTTCCTTATTAAGCTGCAGAAGTCTTTCTAGTTCACTGTTTCTAATTTCCAGTATTTCATTTTGAGATATTTTTGTATCATTGCCTTTTTTCAAGTCATTCACTTTGTTTTTCAAAGTTTTGTTTTCATCTTTCAATTGTGTTATAACTGTTAATCAGAGAATTTATACCTTAGAAAATTATTAAACGGACATAATTAACATATCAGTTACATATGTTTCTATCTATTGTTCTTTATAGTACATCATCGTATTCCAGTAATTCAAAAATATACTTTTTATTACTTATGTACTATTGAACAAAGTGAATCCTGACCAATTAAATTATAAAATAGAGAATGCTACTTGTATTGATATAGGTACATCAAAAATGCATGGAAGTTGACCTTTGTTATGAATGCAGTAAATAATCTATTCAATAAAAATTTAATGTTGGAACGCATACTATAAATCACAGAACGGCGGCCATATCTGTCACGTCAATTATGATTTAAATATTAAATAAAAGAAGAATCTGACAGACTGCCTAACATATCAACGCAAAGTCCACAATACTAGGTCTAGAAACTCTAAAGGAGGACGGGCATTTTGGTATCCAATTGGTGTTTGGTATCAATAGCGATGAGTGATATATCATTGGATACCTCTTTTCATGTAGAATATTAGTTACTATGGCGGCATTCTGATATTTGTTGTCCGTTTTTATTTTTTCCAGAAAATACCAGAACCATTTTTGCCGGAACCGTTATTACCATTATTACTACATTATTGTACTTACCGAATAATAATGGTAATATTATAATTCAACATTATTGTACATGTCTTACCGGTAGACGTACCATAGGAACTTGTGCTCACAAAGTTTTTTATCAAGTGTTACCTTCATTGGCGTATCTAGGGTTATTTTACAGGGGGGGGGGGGGGGGGCTGACATTGAAGAGTTATCTGAAGTTAGTGATTAGTATTATAGAATTTTCGAATCGGTAGTTCAACATCCTGGGGTGGGCACGGCCCACTCGCCCCTTACTCGTACTTTTTTTTTAAACTATTGCAGATATCAACGCTCTAACCTAATGCCTATTGTTAATACTTACAACACTGCTAAAATAATGTAAATACTAAAATGTATAACAATTTAATAAGGAAAAACTTTTTTTTATTATTTATTATATAACTCTGTTTCGACAACGTATCAGGGCAAGCGCCATAGTAGACATTATTGTATTCAAGTAGACCTTTCAAATGATATGTAACACATCTCTATTGGAACGGATACCAAGTTCCATGGATTTTTGCCCATCATCCTTTGGCACATAGGTTTCTTATGTCTAGGAGTGCACTAAGAAAAGATTTTTCAAAATTCACCCCAGAAGAGGTTAAAATAGTGGATGAAAGTTTGTATGAAATATCTCACGAATACTTAACTAAATAAATTATAAAGTTTGTCATTTTTAGTTTTCCTATAATACCCTCAAAAAAGGGAATTGGGAGAGTGTCGTAGTTTTTATGTGGATTAATTTTAACGAACTTTTCGATTAACTAAAAACTTAGTATTTTTACTCAAGACCAGGAATAAAGAATAATGTGTATGTGGGCTTTTCAAAAATCCACCGCAGAGAGTAAAAAAAGGGGATAAAAGTTTGTATGAAAAATCTTATTTTTTGAGTTCATAATTAAAACTTTGGTACGAATACTTATCCAGATAAATAATAAAGTTTGCGCTTTTTGATTTGCCTTAACTACCTCTAAAGGGGAGATTGGAAGATGCCGAAGTTTTTATATGAATTGATTTTAACGCGCATTCGATTAACTCAAAACTCAGTATTTATAGTTGAGATAAGAAATAAAGAATAACATGTACCTATATTTTTGAATTTCTATCCCTGAAGTGTAATAAAGTGGATTAAAGTTTGTATGAAAAATCTTATTCCTTGGGTTAAAAGACTTGAAACTTGCCCCAAATATTGCACGTAAAATCGTTCTTTGTGGAGTAGCAATGCCGCTATTTTTGTTTTGTACCTGGCGCAACAAATTACCCCACACCACCTGATGTTAAATGTAAGTGAAGTCCAGTCGCGAAGATATATACGCGACAGGTGTGCCGCTTCAACCATCTTCACTTTGCCGGATTGAACCTAATCCCTGATCACACGGAGCCCTGGAGCCCTACTCACCAGCAGAAATACAACACCACCAAAAGGTAGTGTTATTTTACTGTGGTCTTCTATGAGGTGGGGGTTGCTTCCCTAGACTGGCTCCAATTCGAGTGAATAATTCGCTGCATCGTAAAACTCCTTAATTACCCTTATAAAAACAAAAGAGGGGTATACAATCATAGTTGGTAAAGTCCATATTGCCAAAATGTTCAGTAAACGATAAAAACGATTATTTTAATAATTTTAGCTAACTATTCTAATGTTAAACATTATTTATATGCAGAAAGTAATACAATATGGAAATACAATTGTTCATCACGTTCAGTTCAATACTTTTGAGTAAAACCTTAAGTATAAGATGGACTTTTCCAGTTTTGTTACCAAGTTTCGGACTTTACTAAGTTTGTAACTGTAACACAACAAAACGAGCATTGCAACATCAAAGGCGGCCATGACAGCTGTCAGTGAAAGGAAGCAATGGAGCCTTACTATTGGTCGAAAAGGACTTATGCAAATTGAAACTCAACTCACTTGGACTTTGCTACGTTTGTTTGTAAAGTCAATTTTCAATTTGAAATAACAGCCGAGATTTCTAGAATTTGTAAAAAAATATTCTACGGGATAAATATAGATACGAAAATGAATGTGTTGTAATTCACTTTTAAAATTTTGTGGAGTTTACCAATTTTGATTGTATAGCCCTGAATTATAATTGAAACTTCGTACCCTTTCGGGATATTTGAGAATCTTGTTCTAAGCTCTTACACCGCGATTCCAGGTTATTAAGTTGACATGAAGTAGATTCCATTTTTTCCATAAGTAGTTTCACTTTGTTAGCCAACTCTGTTTTTTCTTTTTTTACTAGAGCATAATCTGAAATAGGATTTTATTTAACACACAAAATAATAGGCAAGCAAATTATTCTCAAGGTAACAATCAAAATCTAAAGTCACATGTTTACCATCACTACATTTTTGCAAAACAGCTGTTAATTCTTTGTATTGTGTTTCCAATATTTGTTTTTGAGAGTTCTTTGTAGCTATTTCTTCTTTGAGTTTATTTATTTCTGTAATGAAATATTGATTTTGATTCTCTAATTCTTTTTCCAGTTTTTCCTTAGTGTTTCTTTCCTCTGACAGATCTTTTATGACCCGTTCAAACATCTCTTTATTTTCATGTAACTTATAATCAGCCGCTGCCTTTGCAGTGGCATATTTATGTTGCCAATCTTTAAGTTCCTCTTTAAGAGCTTCAATGTCGTTAACGTTATTTGAAATAGTCTCGTTTAAAGTTAATCTTTGATCTTCCATAACTGATTCAGTAACAGTAATCATATTTTTGAGAACCAATCTTTCAGATTCAAACTCATTGATTAGCTTTTCACAGTTACTTTTTTGTAACTTAACTTCTTCTTCTAAAGTTTTAATCACTGCAACATGTATAATGTTAACATAATGTTAAACCTATGATAGCAATATTTTTAATATGTAAAAAAGTATTGATAAAATCTATTTTACATTTAACTAGACAGTAGAATTCAAAATATTTCCTAGATAAACTTAATTGCAAATACACAAATTGGAAAGAAAATTCCCAAAAGTCTACCCTGTTACATATACATGTTTTTGAGATATGAATATAGTTCCGTTTCGGGATATAAATATGACTCAATACCATCTTGCGTGTAGTGTCATGGTGTGACAAATTTATATCAAATTTACGCTATTTATGCATTAGAAATCATACAAATATACAAACATCCATATTTACAATATTAGAAGGATATAAATATAATAATACTTAATATAATCTAAGAGAAAACATAAAAGTAAGAGCAAGCAGAAATTCTATCATGTTTAAATGAAATTAATTTCTTCTTTATATATAAAAATCAATTGCTGTTCGTTTGTCTTTCTAAACTCGAGAATGGATGGGCTGATTTAGATAATTTTGGTTTTGAATTGTTTGTTGTCGTTTATTTGGTTTAAATGGGGAGAAAATATGGAAAATTGCGAGGAAGATAGTAAAAACATCATTTTTTTCCATTAAAACTTTACAACCTACTTTCCTGTTAAACAATTGACGTTTCAGCCATTTTAACGAAGAGAGAGTTATAATGTAGTTAGGGTAGGAGATATAAAGTACAAAGGGTCATCTACTAATATATAATCAATTATGTGGAAACAACCAACCCTCATTATTGCTGTCAATATTTTCTACAAGGCACTCTTTTTCTTTTCTTATTGTATCTAATTCAGCTGTTTTATCTTTTAAATAATTTGTCAATTTAGTCACCATGACATTCAGATTTTCAATCTGGCACTCGTAGGAATTCTTCAATTTTTCTGTTGAATTCTCATTATCAAAGAGTTTCTCCTCTAGGGAATGTACTTTAAATTCAAGTTGATATTTGACGTCATCAACCAGAGATTGGTTCTCTTGCTGTAAAGTTTCAATATCTCTTGCCCTACTTTCTACGAAGGCAGTGTATGAATCTTTTTGTCGTACCATTTCTGCAAATGGAATTATATAAAATATATCATTTCAGTGCTAATCTAGCAGTTAAATAAATTAAAATAAAAACATAATTCAGAAGCAGTAAAATTAGTATCACAGGAAATTCGTGTCGCGAGTTCAATAGTTTATACCCATCTCAAAAAATGCCAACACGCAGCGGGGGCGTATTAACCCTACGACCAAGAGGGCCATGACCCATGGCCCGGGCGGCTGCAAGAGCTGTGAGGGGCGGCATAAGCCTCATAAAGAAATTTGTTATTAGCCTATTTTTTAATTTATTTATTCTAGGAGGGGTGCAAATCGTATGTTACCCGGGGCGCCAGATTTTAAAATACGCCTCTGCCAACATACATGTGTATCTAAGTTCGTACATAGACAATCTGTTCATGTGCATTTATAGAAGTTTCGGTTACGGTAACGGTGTCGCGAGTTCAATGATTTATCCCCATATCAAAAATGCAAAGAGCTTTAAAAAGATTTCCACTTAAAAATTTGGTACCTTTAATAACGATAACAAGTTTAGAAAATCTTCGCGTGTTATTTCAAGAATCACTATCTAATTATGTATCAATCCAGGTAATAACTATGTATAAGTGTACCAAGATTCCGAATCTAATCTTTTTTTTATGAGAAAAGTGGCAAAGAAGCATACGGCCCGCATGATGGTAAGCAGCCATTATAGCCTATAGACGTTTGTGATATCAAAGTATCACTCGCGCTATTGCATAACCTGACCCCATCTTCTACGCGTGGAGCCCTGGAACTCACTCACCGACAGAAACACAACACTATCAAAAGGTATAGTGCGATTCAAATAAGAATAGGAAAGCCAATGACCTCCATCGGTCAAATGTCGCTTGAAAAGTACGGTTTGCAAAAAAAAACTCGGAACACTTTTTTAGCACTCGACTAATTCTAGAATAAAAACCAAATATTTTTTAACAAATATTGTTAATATTGGTTAATATATTTTTTTCATTTAATGAGCTTTGGCTATGAATGGTTGATAACCTAAATCGTCAACCTAATATCACTATGTTGCGTTTAGAAACTCGAGTTAAAACCTTTGTTTACATATAGATTGCATGTTCATATGTGACCTGCATGATTATTCATAACTACTCCAGTGGTAATGCAGAGATGACCGGAACTGAAGAGCTAGATTCTGATTAATGTTTTTTCTCACACAGTCTTAATAAAGAAATATTATTAAAAATCGGATGCTTTTTTTTCAATCTCAGTAAATTAATTTTATTAAAAAATATGATGTTTTTTCACACTTTATCTTAGTAAATAAGTTTTATTAAATAAAAACTTTTTTTGCTCACTCTACCTATTTGGTTTGAAATGACAGCTATGACGTAACAATATGGCGCCCAGTCGGTCCTATGCTTAGTTGAATCGCATTTATAGTGATATTTTACTGTGGTCTTCTATAAGGTGGAGGTATCTGGGGAAGTATCCCCAGACGGGAGGTCCAATTCAAGGGAGAAATCCGCTAGGCCCTACCTCTCTTCATTCTTTTTTTTCATTTGTTAATGGGTAAGCTCTTGATCCACTATCCAGCCCGAGAGCTTACCCAGAAATGAGCCTATTTACTCAGGCTATAAATAGTCGGATTATATGTACTTAGAAACACTAACACAGTCAGGCAATTCTTCTCCTTCGCTGTGCGCACTATAAAGTAATCTGCCGTTTATGCGTTTATGCATTGAGCAAAAAACACTCGATTTTTTATGTGTACCATGTTTCCTCTCGCTTTCCTACAATTTGTGGGAGTGAATTCGTGAAATGGGACGGAAGTGTGGAAGTCGCGAAAGAGCGCGCTATTTGATTTGATTTTAGAACATAATGTTCAAATGGCTTTTTCCTTTTGTAGTACGTTTTATTTCTTTTTTTACTAATATAAGGTGAAGTACAAATGTTACACTTCATACGCGACTAATGTAAGGCTCGCTCGTTTTTTTTTATTAGTAACATAACGGGTTAAAATCTTACCTTGACGAGTTTCCTGAATGGTTTTCGTCAATGCAATGATCTTAGCTTCATAATCATTTTTATGTTTTTCATAACTACTTCTTTGTTCATTTAGTATGTTTTTGATATTATCAGTTTCTTTAGATATTTCATCTATTTTATCATCCCGAATTTCTATTTCTTTTATTAGAGAATTCTTAGTCTCTTCCATGACACTACAATCTGTTGTTAGTTGTGTTATATTTTCTTTTAATATGGTTACTTCCCCGTTTAGCTCTTCTGTAGATTTATAACTGAGGTTCAGGCATTGCATCAGATTCTTTATCTCTTCGTTCTTTTGTTGTATTAAACTTTCAGCTTCTGTTCTTTTAGTATTAAAAAGTTCGAGTTCATTGCGATATTTTTCTTTTACATCTTCTTTTGTCTGCTTCTCTTTTCTCAATTCTAGGTGAAGACTTGCAATCTGTTCACTCTTTTCAAACACATTATTTTGGAGTTCAACCAATTCATTATTCCTGTTCAGTTCCAGTTTTTCTTTAACGTTTCTTTCCTCTGATAGATCTTTAATCACCCTTTCAAACATCTCTTTATTTTCTTGTAACTTAATATCAGCTGCAGACTTCTCAGTGGCATATTTATGCTGCCAATCTTTAAGTTCTTCTTTAAGAGCTTCAATGTCTTTCACGTTATTTGAAATAGTCTCGTTTAAAGTTAATCTTTGATCTTCCATAACTGATTCAGTAACAGTTATCATATTTTTGAGAACCAATCTTTCAGACTCAAACTCATTGATTAGCTTTTCACAGTTACTTTTTTGTAACATAACTTCTTCTTCTAAGGTTTTAATCACTGCAACATGACATGTTATATTTTTACTAAGTAAAAAGAAATTGACAAAATCTATTTTATTTTTAACTAGATTTCAGAATTCAAAATACTTTCTAGGGACACTTAATTGTAAAAATACAAAACAGCTGCAGAATATATTTATCGACAAAGTAAATAAAAAAACATTATTCTGAAGAAGCATTCCTGCAAAGGCTGCGAAACGTCAATAAATTAATAAAATCAGTGCATCAAACCCCGTTGAAACTTGTTTTATTTAATGAGTGATGTGCGTGAAAATCTAAGAAACAAATATAGATATATTTATATTACTAAATGGCGTAATGCATTTTATTTTCGGGCATAAGGTAATAAACTTTCTTGCGTGTAGAGCCACGGTATGTGTTTCAATCAAATTCTTTACGCCATTGTTGCATTAGCATGCATACAAATATACACATTTACAATAGTAATAAGATGTAAAAAGATACTAAACATCTGCGAGCAAACATACAAGCGCTATTTATAAATTAGTTATCAGCAGGAATCTATACTAATATTATAAAGAGAAAAATTTTAGTGTTTGTTTGTTTGTTCGTATTGAATAGGCTTCAAAAGTACTGGACGGGTTTGAAAAATTCTTTCACATTTAGAATCCTACATTATCCCTGATAAACATAGGCTATAACGTATTTTCATAAAAGTTAGTGTTCCGTATGAAAACTTCGATAATGTACGCAGAGGTGTGAAAAAAATACCAAAAAATAACCTTATATCGCATACGCTGCGGAAGTCATAGACAATAGAGCAAATTGAGGTACTAACGTTTTATAGAGGACAATAAAAGCTACAAAAAAGTTCGCAATACCATATCTTACTATTACAGTTATGTCACAACTAGAGATCGCCTGCTTGGGTGGTTTCACCCGCGTTAATTTGAGGAAAAAGGTTAAAGTCGATATATGCTGTGGCGGACTTTATTACAGAACTTTTAAAGGGGAACAATTCCGTCATTTATGTGTTACTTGAACCGTTTACCCAACGCACGCAACGATAGCTCACAATTGGAATATTTTTACCCGTTTTTGTAACATTTTTCATCGTTGTTTTTCTCTTCCTGATCCTATCGTAATCGTATACAAACTACTACAGCCTTCCTTCATAAATTCACTATCCAACACAACAATATTTTTTCGAATCGGTCAAGTATTTTCTGAGATTAGCGCGTTCAACCAAAAAAAAGAAATAATATAGTCGAATCAGACTTATGAAACGCGACGCCACCCGACGCCACGCCACGCGTGTTGAGTCAAATCAAAATGTTCTAACTTCTATGATTAGAATCACGCATGATAAAAGTGATGGGTGTGTACAAACCACTGCGTCACAAGATATATTTAATAATAAGGACATGGACCAATGGTAAGGAGGACACACCTTGACACACCTTTTTTTAACAGCAGAGCAATGGTGCATTCTATACAACGGATCATAAACTAAGCAACAAAATTTGCACAATCAGTTAAATAAATTTTCACGCAGGTTTATAATTATTAAAGAAAGTCATTGTGTACAACCCTGAGACCAAAAACTATAGATTACATTACAGCTTTACACCGAAGCGAACCGCGGGCGGACCACTAGTCCTATTATATGTCTATAATAAAATAAAATAAAAAATATCTATAATTAAGTGGAAACCACCAACCCTCATTATTGCCGTCAATAATTTCTTGGAGCCTCTCTTTTTCTTTTTTTATTGTATCCAATTCTGATGTTTTATCTTTTAAATAATTTGTCAATTTAGTGACCATGCCATTCAGATTTTCAATCTGGCACTCGTAGGAATTCTTCAATTTTTCTGTTAAATTCTCATTTTCAATGAGTTTCTCCTCTAAGGAACGTACTTTAAGTTCAAGTTGATATTTGACATCATTGAGATCATCTACAAGAGATTGGTTTTCTTGCTGTAAAGTATGAATATCTCTTGCCCTACTTTCTAGGACGGCAGTGTATGAATCTTTTTGTCGTAAAATTTCTGCAAAATATGAAATTATACAAAATATTTTATTTCAATGCTTATCTAGCAGTTAAATGATTAAAATAAAAATATAATTTAGAACCACTAAAATTTGTATCACAGGAAATATTTATTAAATATATACACGAGACTGCCCGCGAAATAATCCACGTGAAATACTAAAAAAAACAGTGGCATTCCGGGAGTGCCGACCGAAGAAAAAACTTGAACAATTAACGTGCGTATTTTTTGAATAGTCAGAGTATGATAGATAAGTCGCAGTATGAATGATAAATCTGTAATATAATATACTTATATCCCTGGGGATATAATTATATACCGTAACATAGTTATACGCAAGCTATTCATCCATACTATCTTACGGTCGCAATCTAGTAATATGTTTATCTTTAAGGACATCTTCAAGACCAGAGTGAACAGGCATCTTCTAGGCAGGCATGTAGACTCTTAGGCCTCATTATCGCCTTCCATCAGGTGAGATTGTTGTCAAACGCATAGCCTATTAAGCATTAAAAAAACTGACTAAATTTATCAGGTAAAATAGTCAAGTTACCATAGAAAAAAAAACATTGAACTCACGACACTGTTACCGTTTATGTGAAGTGTCATGAGTTCAATGCTTTTTTCTCGTCTCAAAAACGACCAACGCGCCAAAAGTAGTTTTCACTACAAACATTTAGGAACCTTATATAATAATAAGGTAGGCAAATCTTCGCGTGTTATATTAGGAATCACACGAAGATCTCATAATATACTATGTATTAATCTAGGTAATAACTATGTGCCAAGATCCCGATCCTAATCTGCCGTTTTTGCGTCATTGATCAACAAAAACACTTTCGAATTTTTAATAATCAATTAATGTAACGTAGAAGTGGGTTAAAAGCTTACCTTGACGAGTTTCTTCAATAGTTTTCCTCAATGCGATGATCTTAGCTTCATAATCATTTTTATGTTTTTCATAACTGCTTTTTTCTTCACTAAGTATGTTTTTTATATTATCGGTTTCTTTAGATATTATATCTATTTTATCATCCCGAATTCCTATTTCTTTTACTAAAGAATTCTTGCTCTCTTCCATTAAACTATAATCAGTTGTTAGTTGTGTTATATTTTCTTTTAATATGTTTACTTCCCGGTTTAATCCTTCTGTAAAATTATAATTGTGGTTCAGGCGGTCCATTAGATTCTTTATCTCTTCATTCTTTTGTTGTATTACACTTTCAGCTTCTGTTCTTTTAGTATTAAAAAGTTCAAGTTCATTGTGATATTTTCCTATTACATCTTCTTTTTTCTGCTTCTCTTTTCTCAATTGTAGGTGAAGACTTTCAATCTGGTCACTCTTTTCAAACACATTATTTTGAAGTTCAACCAATTCATTGTTCCTGTTCAGAACTTTCTCGTTTAACTCCATTATGTGGTTATTGTAGTCTTCCTTAAGTTTAAATTTCGCGTCTCTTTCAGTTGCCAATTCAGATTTGAGATTTTTTATTAAGTCTTCCAGTTTTGTTGTTTCATCATTCAGACTTTGAAGCAAAGACAGCTTTTCCTCTTGGAGAGTCTGTATATCTTGCATTTTTGATTCAAGTACTATCCTGTGCTGATTCTTGTTAGCTTTGAGCTTCTGTTCTAATTCATTTATTTCGTTATTAAGTCTACTGTTTTCATCACTGTACTGCGTTGCTAATTTATTTTTAGCTTCAATTTCTTCGTTAATACGGTGTTTTAAATTAAAAATGTCATTATCTTTCTCAGATAGAATTGTATTCAATGTTAGGATTTCAGTTTCGCTCTTTTGTGTTAAATCAGTTAGCTGCTCCTAAAATACATCCAAACATATCTATTCATCATCATCATCATCAGCCTATTAATAACATATCTATTAGTTGGGAATAACTACATACACCTTTTAAGTTGTTACTTTAACTATTTTCAAACTAATAACGTCATGTAGCTTTATAATGCTTTATCATACAGTACGAACAAATATGAGAGAGTATCTCTATAGTGGCATTATCAGATAATTAAGTCCACACTACCAGGGCATGCCTACCCAATGGATGGTCTAGGAAAAAGAACATACCATGTGACAGTGAGATGCCAAAATCATAATCTTCCAGTACGATCTACCGTAAAGACACCACTCCACATATCGTGGTGACACTAGTACAGGGATGGTAAAACTACGGTTTGCAGACCATTTCATTTCCTGCCCTCGAATGGTTGTAATTCGGCCCGCGACCACAAACAAACAAAGCTACCACACATAATCCGGTCAGTATAAATCGGCACAGCCGTTTCAATAGAAATGAATTTTTGTTTTATAATCACGTAACCGGAAACGCTTGGGTTTTGCGAAGATTAAAATGACGTCACACGACTGTCATTTAATTAAGTCAAACGATACAAAGTAATGTCATTTTGACTAAATATATTACTAGCCATGACGTCATTTTAATCTTCGCAAAACCCAAGCGTTTCCGGTTACGTGATTATAAAACAAAAATTCATTTCTATTGAATGATTTATTAGAAAAAATATTAATTATTTATTAGAAAGAATAGTAAAATCACTGCTAATAGAGATGCCAAAAATTGGTATTTTGTTTTTCATATTGTCAAATAGCGCTATTAGAATAGATTTACCACTTACCTGTAATGATTGTATTTGCTGCTGAAGAAGGACAATTTTAGCTCTTTCTTCACTTAGCTGCACCTCAACCACGTTAGCACATGCTTCACTACAAATTGCTGCAATGACAAAACCAATAATCATTCCAAAAAAGAATAGAATTTACTGCTAAGAGCGATTTGTCTAAAATTGTATAGGTATGTTATGATCAAATGGTAAGCAGCCAAAATATATTTCAAAATACTATCTTGAGAACCTCCATATCGCATCACAGGTAAGTCAAATCATTAATTAGTTCCTGTGCAATTAAGCACAACCAAAAAATCCTAACTGAAATCGTTTTATTCTTCTAAAATAGTACAGGGCTGTTTTATTCTGGTTTCTAACCCCTTGTTTCTGCCAAGAAACTAGTCATATAACTAGTTTACACAAAACTTGTAGAATACTTGTTGTGACTATTTAAAACATTATTTCGTTTACACATAAACAACCAGTATTTTTACTAGTATAAATAAATCAATATTTATTACTTCACATATTTTGTTTATCCAACAAGTTTGATGCATGTATTGTATACTACCAATTTTATACATGCATATATATATAATTTTAGTCGGGGTCCTTGCACTCCAACAGGCTGCCGTCCAGACGGTCGAGTTGCTGATGCTATCGCAGTTCCTCCACCAGCTCCTTTAGCGATTGCACGTGTCGATGTATAGACCTGTTTTATAGTGGATTCTGAAAACTGTTACTGACTCTCAAGAGTTGTGTGGCAAAGAATGCACACTGGCGTCGGGGTCATCGCACTACAACAGGCTGCAGTCCAGACCGTCGAGTTGCTGATGCTATCGCAATTCCTCAAACAGCTCCTTTAGTGCTGCACGTGTCGCCGTAAAGACCTGCTTTATTCTAGATTCTGAAAAGTGTTCCCAACTCACAAGAGTTGTGTGGCAAAGAATGCACACTGGCGTCGGGGTCGTCGCACTCCAACAGGCTGCTGTCCATACGGTTGAGTTGCCGATGTTGTCGCAGTTCTTCCACCAGTTCCTTTAGAGATAGCACGTGTCGCCTCTCCACGGTCAACTCCTCAGATAGCTGAATAACCCGAGCTGCTTCTTGTTGACTCAAATCCAGCCATTTGTCGCGTTCTTGTTTCAATTCATTCACCTAATTCAATTACACGTTTATACATTGCACTGATTCTAAGAATTAACTTCATCATCATCATAAGCCTATTAATTTCCTCACTGCTAGGGCACAGGCCTTCCCTACGGATGGAAAAGGGAGATTGGGCCGTGACACACCACGCGGGCCCAGTGCGGATTAATGGGTGCTAACGACAGCAGATGCAGCCGGGAACAGCGGCTAACGGACCTTCCGGAGCACGGCGAGGAGCTCGAGACAGTAAATTATTGATCATTCATCCAAGACCGACACTGCATAAGATGCTAACTTCAACGATCACAGCCGAACGCGCTAACCACTTGCGCCATCGACTTCCTGAGAATGATGATGATGCACGTTATCTTAAAAAAACTTAATTAACAAAAAATACACTCGATACAATATATGCCTTATATAGACAGAATAGCGACGAAATAGCGTCTTCGGTCGAATGTTTACAGCTAATTAACACATGAACCTACCTTGGTTTTATAACTGTCTCTCTCATAAAGCGCCTCATCTAATTGACCTTGAGTATCAACCAAGCGTTCTTCAGTTTCTTGCAGTTCTTTCATGAGTTTTGCAGTTCCCTCTGTAGCTTTGTCCCCAGGATTACCTTCAGATTCTTGTCCACAGCACATTGAAATCTTTGCTTTAAGATTCACTATGTCTTGTTTATACTGTTCTTTGTCATTTGCTATAATAAAGACATAAAGTATAAGGATTTTAGAAAGTATTATTATTAAAGTTTTTATTTTTTAAGCATTTAACTGCTAGATGTTCAAACCCAAAGAAAAGTTTACTAGAAAAAAAAATTACGCGGACCAGGCAGCAGACGGAACTCGAATCCGTACCCTTCACTATCCGGGCGAAAGCACTGACCATTATGCTACCGCGGCCCCGACGGCCGTGTCGATTTTTTCTCTAGCCTTAGGCTGCAAGGCAGCGCCATCTCTTCGCATTGTAGGTAACGCACAATGTCAATTGAATACAAGTATTAAACATTTGAAAGAAGAAATAGCAATTATAGTTATATTTGTAATTTTTAAGCATTTAACTGCTAGATGTTTAAATCTAAAAAAATGTTTAATACTTGAGAATTTTAGACATTGTGAGTTACCTCGAAAAGATGGCGCTGGCTTGCAGCCTAAGATATACAAGAAAAAATTCGACACGGATAATTAGAGCCGCGCTTGCATAATGGTCGGTGCATCCGCCCGAATAGCAGATGGTGCGGGTTCGTGTCCTGTCTGTTGCCTGGTCCGCGTGGATTTTTTTCTAGTTAAATTTTCTTAAGTTTTTATATAAGCAAATTACCAAATATCTCTACTACCTACAAAGCTCTAATTCGAGCCTTTAGGGATATTTCGCACGAGCTATTTTACTTCGAACGTTAAAGCAACGTTAGCACTTTTTCGACGTTCTCGCCATGCATTTTCATCTTTGTGTTTAACCACTAAAGCTAGAAATATTGCGTCGACTGATAAAAAAAAGGCGTTTTGCATACATTCACACAAACAAAAAGTCATGAGGTCGCGTCGTTTTTTCTGTGTACGTGTCCACGTTAGTATTGAACTGTAGTTGTAAGAGTATGGAGCCAAGTTTTACCGGCCTTTGTTGGAGAATACCGCTTCCATATAATTTCTAATTCATTGAAGTACAGGTCGCGGCACGTAACTCTAGCGGTCCCCAAAACCTCTTAATTTACTTCTGCGTAATAACGGTCAGCAGACCCGTCTTTCCCAGTTTGGGCAAGTGCCCAGGGCCCCGCGATCGCTAGACCCCCTCAGATCAAATACAAAGTCCCTAGTTTGTTAAATCACCAAATGGGGGTCATAGGGGCCTCATTATCCAAATATGCCCAGGGACCCAATAGGTCAAAGACGACACTGACGGTCAGCGCTAGAGTTTCGTGCCGCGACTTATATTATGAGTATTGAGGCGGCCACGGCTAACTGTCCGATCAATTTCTTCATTTCGTGGCGTTTGTCCGGACATTTTAGGAAATTTGTTATCATCGCTTGGCGCGTCGCTCTTAGCCGATGCTCATGACGGGCGAGGTCGCAACCGAACAATAAAGCTCTGATTTCTTTGAACAGTGGTGCTGTCATATAGCGGCCGTAATAGAGCTGTGAATGACATCACCAGAACGTTGTATGTAAACAAAATAGCGCGGTTTCAAAAAAAAAAGTAAAAATGGTTGTGAGATAGTCAATATTTTAAGTTAACTGTCTACATGTCAAGTCATCCACCATCAAAGCAGTGAATATAACCAACATTATTATACTATTCCGTTGGATTTGGTCCGTAAGTATTTATCATTATTTTAAAAATGTGAAATTCCTCAAAATGAATTAATATCCTAAATAAAATTATTGCCTGCTCTCTACTATATGTTTTGATTTAGTTTCCTCATCCTGCAATATGGCAGGAGACAAAAAACTATGTAATAAGTAAGGAACAGTACTCACAAAGCTTCTCAACCCTTAGGTTAGTCCTAGCAAGCTCTTCTTGCAGGTAGTTACGGTCAAACCGTTCTGCTTCTAGTGCTGCCTGCAACCGTCGCACTTCACCATGTAATGACCGCAGAGCCGGTGGGGTCTCCGACACCATTGTGTGAGCACTGCTTGACTCAGCTATCATAGAATCAGGCCTGCATGCATCTGTGAAATACCAAAAAAGTCTGGCACGGTGGTTCGTAACCGCTTATCCGCGGACCACTGGCGGTCCGCGGAAACAGCCGAAGTGGTCCGCAAAGACACCCGATAAAATAAGAAGCGTGATTGATTTACAAATTCTAGGAGAAAGAGGGTTGCAAATCGTAAATGGTGGTCTGTGGCAAGACAGAAATTTTGAGGTCACTAACCCCCTTATTAATAAACAAAGAATAAGCTTGGATTTGTTACTCCATGTTTTGTCTCTGTTCTTTGAATGACAAATGGCATTTCAGTGATAGGAACAAAACACGGTGTAACTAGTCAAAGCTTAATCCGCGTTTAATAATAAGGGGGTAAAAGTTTAAGAACGCTGCTTTAAACCTAAAAGTAAATTGTGTCAGCAATCTTTCCTTTAAATTTCCTATAAGCATGAAAAGGATAAACTATATACTGTTTAATCCGGCCTATTATAGCCATTGTTTATGATAAAATAAAAGCTAATTTTGTGAAGAGTTGCAGAGTAAAGGCCTATTCAGATGTAAGAGGTAGCGCTCGGTTACGATACCGAATCGGTATAAGATATCGCGGCATGCACAATATTCGCTCTCGCGCTCGAACATTTAATAATTCGTAAAAGTCTAAATAGGTATCACGATGCATTTAGAATGTCTACAGAGAACTTACGAATTATTAAATGTCGCGCGACAGCGAATAACGCGCATGTCACGGTATCGCATATCGATTCCGTATCGTAACTGAACGCGACAGCGATTATCGCGCATGTCGCGATATCGCGTACCGATTCGGTATCGTTACCGAGTGCGACAGCGTATACACATTTTTAAATCAGAGTGAATCGTTCTGGATAAACTTGCTATACCATAGGACCCATCTCTGCTCTTATTCCGTATCGTAACTGAACGCGACAGCGATTATCGCGCATGTCGCGATATCGCGTACCGATTCGGTATCGTTACCGAGTGCGACAGCGTATACACATTTTTAAATCAGAGTGAATCGTTCTGGATAAACTTGCTATACCATAGGACCCATCTCTGCTCTCAGGCCAGATAGAGGATCTAAAGCTTACCCATTAATAAACCTATTCTGTCCGATGTCCGATTTTAAAATACGTCTCATTAGAACCCCCCAAATTTGTTAAAAAATAAGAATTCATTGTTAAATCTGGCCCTGACCATATTGCTAGCAGGAGAGGAACACTTTTAAATTTCATATAATAACCAATATTTCTGAAAATGGTTACCTGTGTCTAAATAATTGCATTCAAGAAAGAAAAGTAACTTCCGACTTATTTATGTTTGAGAGTAAAAAGCAGTCTTTAATTCATAAAAAATGCAGCATATGGGTAAGTTTAAAAAGGGTAATTATTTCATAACCATGGTGGTTTAAAAAACATTAAATTATATGGTTAAATCAGTCCTTATATATTGCAACATCTTTCCTTATATATTGGGTAACGGAGAGAATACATATACTGTACATAAATAAGTATATTTATATAGAAATACATATGAAACATCCATGACTGGAGTACAAATGCTCGTATTTATCACACAAACATCTGCCCCTACTGGGATTCGAATCCAGTACCTCTAGAGTTGGCGACACCATGAAACCCGGCATACAAACCACTCACAGGAGGTTGTCAAATTTAAATTTTAATATTTTCTTATTTATTCACCCACACCATACATTGAACAGAACACTTTTTTAACAAGTTTCAAATGTGCTTTTAAATACTTTTATGTCATTCTTCTGTTTTGGTTGTTTCCCCACTCAATTGTCAAAAGAAAGATTTTAAATAATTTTGATTTTGATTGCCTTTGTATGAATATTAATTTATAAACTAATTCTTTAACAATAACCTACTTTAAATCTAAAGAAAATTGTACTAGAACAGGTTAAACAAACCAGAAGTCTGTTATATGCTTTAAAAAAATATAACTACAAACTAAGTACTTCATTTCATTTTTTTTTATTTCTTTGACTCTAACTACCATAAACTACCACAAGTTCCAATCCCAAATTAGGAGACCTTTCCGAGATCTGGCCAAACAAACTCAGAGAGGCATTTTGTCTCCTACATAAGTTGAATCATGTAAACATAAATTACTAATAGTAACTGTTGGTCTTGCAGAGTATTTGGGGTTGGGTTCCTATCTATTGAATAATAGGCTCCCAAACTGGAGGTATATGCCACCCATCTTTTCTATTGAAATTTGGATGTTTTTTAATCACAATGGCCTTGCATATTAATGTATGAATGAATCATTTTTCAATTGCGAGGGTCTATGACTTACCAACTCTAATATAAGCACATTTGAAAACCATTGAAAGTGTGTTTTATTTGATTAAATTATCTTAATTTTATTGTGTACAGTAACACTAAAATCTCACCAGTAATGGCAGTCTGGACATCCTTGTATGTAATTGGGGAGCACTCCATGAGACATTTACTGAATTTCAGTATGACTTCCTGATCATCAGTACTCAGTTTATTGCACATTGCACTTTTGATATCTATATCTTTAGAATTTACACATACAAAAAAGAGTAACAGTGATGCCACCATGTACAACTCATCTTCAGTGTGAGCTTCAACAGTTCCATTGGTAAAAAGAAATCCTGGAAACTTCTCATGGATAAACTCCTCGACAGTGTGTGCCTCTAATAAAGAAGACTTTGACTCATCCAAACTTAGATTTTCACGCAAATGAGATATAATACTTAGAAGAACATCCAGATTAACAAGAGATTCTATAACATCGCTTTCTATAAAGTAACAATTTACCTAAAACCAAGAATAAATTTTTAAGGATGAAAAAGTATAAAAGGTATAAAAGACCAAAACTGCTATAATAGTAGAATTTGGTCTCTTACCCAATTGGTAAGAATGCTTTTCCATTTTTGTAACATGATGGTAAAACACTTTTTCACATAACCAGCATCAACATTAAATTCTGAATAAACACATTTAACCAGAAAGGATTGAATAAATAAACAAATAATTTCATAACAGTCGTTTTGTAAAATGTAGGCGGTCAGCCGTTCACCGTTGCAGTTTTATTTGATTTGAATTTGTTATTTTTTATCCGTTGACAAACAACGGAAGGTGATGTCAGTTTTATCGTTCTTTAGTTCGATTCAGTAGGGCCAGAACAATAATAACACGACGAACTCGTTTTTAAGGCTGGAATACACATGCACGTAGTAGCACATAAGCATGCTAGTTTCGATTTTTTATAAATGGAGGTCATCTTTATAATACAGTGAACAATAGAGCTACACGTGCCAGTGAGGCCAGATTAGGGTATCTATCCACCATTTTGGTGGAAAATGATAATCTTAGCGATATTTTGCCGTAATAAATTCTTTGGCAGAATTTACGACGGATTTTATTAATATTTGGCAAACATATAGTTTTTAACTTGGATTAAGACATAGGATACTTTATATACCGGAAAAATTTTAGATTTCTGCGAGATTCGCAAAGAAGAAAAGTTAACAAGGATGAGAACGCCGACGACGGCCGCTATTAATATTATAGATATGAAAGTTTTATATGTTTATTACTCAGTCACAGAAAAAGTACTGCACGGATTTGGATGACATTTTGGTACACATATAGTTAATGACAAACATTGAGACATAATTTTTACCCCGAAATAATGTCAGGTTCAATACAGCGTTTATTACTGATAACAGAATTTACTGATTTTTTTAAAATGATAAACGACGACAACGTCTGCCCAAAAATGCTTACTAATATTAACACGTAATATTATATTTACAATTTTATTGTAAATACTTTTGGTCAAATTTAATTTGTTTTTTTTTTTTGGTGTATATATATTTTTCTTTTGTTATTTCTCGTTGTATTCTTCTGGGTGTTATGTTTTTGTTTTATCTGCAAATTTATAACAAAATATGTAATATTGGTGTCAATTCTGGCGTGATTCTCTAAACTTAAAACTAAATTTAACATCAGTTTCTCCTTTTTATTCTGTATAGAGAATGACAGGGACGCACTGTTGTCAAATTAAAGTTTAGCTTTAGAGAATCATGCCAGAAACGACATCACTACCTATGTAAGTCTGTAGAATACAATTGTAGTAATTCTTTTTTGCTGATGGTCCAGGAGTTTGGCTCCTGGCCCAATAAATAGTAGAGGAGTTTTTGGCGTGATTTCATCCAGTGCGGTTGGCGTTAATTATTCTTAAATTCGTTCATAGTGGATATTGTGAAATAAAATTGGTTTGACTTTGTGTTACAACCATCTGCGCAACTGAAGAATTAGTGGCATCTTTAAAATATACGCTATTCCGGTCAAGTGCACTTGAGAACTTTATTGTAGTGTTGACTACCTCACAGAAGCTTATCGAAAAAACCAACTCGATACATTTCGTGCCAAATACTCCAAGAAACAATAGAATGCGTCACACCGACATTCTAATGTAAAAAAAGAAGATTAAGATTTGTATTTATGTATACGACTGAAGAGCTAGTATCCATGGTCATGAATAAATTATAAAAAAAAAAAACGTTTACGAGTTTTTGGCGGGATTTCATCGAGTGCGGTTGGCGTATTAATTTAATTATTCTTAAATTCGACATTCGTTCATAGTAGATATTGTGAAATAAAATTGGTGTGGTTTTGTGTAACAACTGTCTGCGTAACTGAAGAATTAGTGGAATCATTAAAATATACGCTATTCCGGTCAAGTGGACGTGAGAATTTTATTGTAGTGTCGACTACCTCACAGAAGCTTATCGAAAAAGCCAATTCGATACATTTCGTGCCAAACACTCCAAGAAACATTAGAATGCGTCACACCGACATTCTAATGTAAAAACAAAAAGAAGTTTAATTTAATTAAAGACCAGGCTGTATGGGCATTGTTCTCTTTGCCTTCCCTAAAACGGGAGAACTTCAACAAAAAAAATCGTTTAATGTCAACAATGTCAAATTGTCAACGAGTAAAAAGTGAATAATTAAGTTATAGAAAAGAAATAATCACTGATTAATAACTGTAAGGTAGGAAAAGAAGAAACAATAAAGTGAAAAATAATGTCTTCAGTCCGTGCAGCTGGATTGGTAATTTTCAGAAATATTGACCAAACAGTTCAATTCCTTCTGATGCAAACTTCGTATGGTAAACATCACTGGACTCCTCCGAAAGGTTAATTGACCTGTGCATCCTTGGCTTGAATAATGGGTAAAACTGTACTTCCAGGGCCCAAGAGGTGATACTCAAACGTTTTTGTAGAAAAGGTCTCTTAAAAAATATTTTTTTCTGGCGCTTCGCCGGTCGCTATCGCGGCACGCTCGCTACGCTCGCTCGGCTCGCGTGTTATGGTTACAACACTAACCTAACCTAGTGTGAAGTATCATCACTTGAGCCCTGGAAGTACAGTTTAGCTAAAAGGTAACAGTTAAAAAAAATGTAAAAAAAGTTAACAGTTTTATTAAATTTGGTAGTAATTTGATTAAGTTAATTGACTTTCCTCTTACTTTCTCCTATAAAATCTGTTGAACATTAACAACAACCTATTTCAGTTTGCTGCTAGAATCCCTTATTTTCAAAAAAGATGATAAAAATAAGCTTGCATACCTCCTTTTTTTGTAGGTCATGTTGATCCAGGAGAATCTGATTGGGTTACTGCTCTCAGAGAGACAGAAGAAGAAAGTGGCCTTACTGAAAATGACCTAGAAGTAAATGCTACCTAATCAATCTGTATTAAAATTATTTAAAGATTTTGTAAATACCCATAATCTTTTTTACTTATTATTTTAGATTTATGAAGAAATCTCGAGAACTTTGGAATACAAAGTGAATAATAAACCTAAAGTTGTTGTGTATTGGCTGGCAAAGTTAAAGAACCCACAAAAAGAAGTAACAGTTTCTGATGAACATCAAGACTTTAAATGGCTTTCGTTGAAAGAGGCCCAGGAGATTTCGGGCTATGATGACATGACACAATTACTTGCAGAGTTCTATGAAAAAGCCTTAAGAATGTAAAAAATTTTTAGTCAAGTTAACTCTACTAAAAGTGTTAGTCCATCAACATCTTCCTACATACATTACATCAGTGACATCTGTTTTGATATGAAGTTAATAAAATAACAGTAGGTATATGCAAGGATTGTGAATAAAAGAAAGTACAGTTAACAAAAAAATACATGTTACTACTAATTGGATTTGTTCAATCTTTAAATGTAATAATTATGTTAAAGTTCATACCCTAATTCCAGATTAGTTGTAAATATTATATATATTATATTATAAGAGTTTAGGAAGTAAAGTTGGAACTAAGGTATAAATAAAATGTTTAATTATGATCAAGAAATGTTAATATAAATAAAGGCAGACTGCATCAAATTTGTGATACTTATTTTGTCTTCATCAGCCTAATGTAGTTTGTTTTTAAAACCAAATATATAGTTCTTGACAGCGCCATCTCTAATCGTAGCACCCACAGATAAACGATTGATCTCGCTACGGTCGAACGTAGCGAGACCAATCATTTATCTATGGTTAGAACCTTTTTTTTTTCTAAATGGCTTCGCACGGCTTGTTCATTTAGCCAATGTCAGTGTTAAATGTAGGTATACTATAGCACTCGTTGTAAAAGTAAGTGGCAGTCAAGTCAATCACCCTTTCCCCATGTTTCAGTAAAAGTGGGGATTTACTGGAACCTCCCCGTGGACTTCTTGAGGGAACGTCGAAAGGAACTTTCCGCTAGTTTGTTTCACTTGCTAACACTTGTGCATGTTCCCGAACACTTTGTGGTTAATAATCCACCATTATTAGACACTAACATCCGCCACAACACAATTTTTAACAAGAAAAACAAAACTGCTAAAGTGACGCTTCCCGATCCCGCCAAAAAGTCCGGATTAAGGTACTCTGTGAAGTTCGGGTAGCAAGCACCTTAGTTAGCATGCTATAAGTACTACGCATACAGTACGACAAAGATCTTTATGAATTTGAGTGACAGCTTAAAGAGGGCAGAAAGGGAGAAAATAGTCGCTGCTGTCCTGTCTACGTAAATGACATGCAAAATAAAACTTTAAAAGTTACAAAGACGGCGGCGTTCGTTAGTTCCTATTTTCGCCATCTTCATAATAATATAGTCTCACTACAATAAACGAAAGATTTTTCATTTTTGAACTCTATTGCATGGACCATGGGCCATTTGTTATAATAATACACGGCTGATAAGAAAAATTTCATCCAAAATCAACAAAATAACTTTTCAATAAGATAGTATTAATCTTGTTGATGTTAAAAAAAATGAGCCATCCAGCACAATCAATATTTAACCCCATCATAACCTTTAAATAGGGTAGCTACTCTTTTTAAGAGGATTAATGTTGAAACGGGGCTTTCCAGCCCCTCTCTTATAAAAGTACTACTTTTTTTAGGATGTAGCTTAAACAAAAATTTATGTGTTTGAGGTTTCGTTATTGAATTACTGACTTTTTAAAAAGAGAAAAATCGATACTTATTTCATATTATATTTGAAATTTAAAATATCAACATTGGTATCAATTCTGACATGATTCTCTAAACCTAAACTTAAATTTGACAACAGTGTATCCTTGTTATTCTCTATACAGCATGAAAAGGAGAGACTGATGTTAAATTTAGATTTAAGTTTAGAGAATCACGCCAGAATTGGCACCAATGTATATTTTTGATAATTATCTGAAAAAGAAACGATATTTTTTATTCAAGTGCAAGTGTAATTCGCTATTCGAAGCGAATATTTATTTATTGAAGTAATGAATGGCCGAAATGAAGAAATTCTCGGCCATATAAACTATAAAAAAAACACGGATCTGTGTTTTTTCTATTGGTGTAAAAGTAACGAAAAAAGCGTACCCGTATGTATTCGTTACTTTAACAATTAGTACTCGTTACTATAGTATCCTTACGTTACTCGTTACTTCTCATAAAAAAATCGGTTTTACTATTTTGGATTTTTTAACCGTGACCTTATGTTATATCATAATAACATCGCAATCCATTATTCATCAATTATAATGATAAAGCAACAAATAGGTGTCGAAAGTTATTGTATTGATAATAATACTTAAATAGCATTCTAACGATAAATCAACATAAAAATAGTTTTGCTTAGAATGAAATTAAACATAACGAAAGAAAAAAAGAAATTCCACTAATTCTTCAGTTACGCAGACGGTTGTAATACAAAATCACACCAATTTTATTTCACAATATCCACTATGAACGAATTTAAAAATAATTAAAATAAGACGCCAACCGCACTCGATGAAATCGCGCCAAAAACTCCAACGTACGATTTTAAATTCTCTGAATATGCTCGCGCATGCTTAAAACATACGTACAGCAAATGTTTCTATACACACATCAACTGTACTTGCGTAAACTGAAACATATAGATAGTCATACTACGAAATATGCGAGTAACGAAATTTATTTGTGTGTAACGTTTCGTTACTCGGTACTAGATGACACACCCGTTACTCAGTGTACCGAATACATACGGTTTGCTACAGCTCTAGTTTTTTCACAGTTGTCACAGTTGCTTTTTGTACTTTTGGTATTCACAAACACAACAATGCTTAATTTGACCATTATAATTATAATTTATTACATATTTTCGAGATAGCTAAAATCTTTAATAACATCTTTTTGCTGTTTGTATTTTTTTTTACAAATAAATATTAATTTAGCCGTAATAACATGGAAAAACCGGTTGACAATGATTTGTTATCATGTACCGAAAATACTAACAAAAATAAAATAAAACCAAGAGGGAAAAAACGTAAAAGGTATAATAAAATACTTTATGAGAATATATACAAAAAACATCAAAATTTATTAAACTTCTTTTCTATGTAAACATTAATTTTAGGATAGACAGTGATAGTAGCTCTGAAACGGGGGATGTACTGCCAGAAAATGCTTTAGAAGTCGAAAATAATCTTATTGCATCAGCAGTGAAAAATAATCTAGATGATGTTTGTGTCAAGAAAATATTGAAGGTAAGTTGTCTTCTGAGTACAGTTTTTTTAATAAAATACTGTTCAATTCACAGATTTAAATCAGATGTGCTCTTGGCGTAATTGAAATGGATGAAAATTTGTTATCATCTCATTTCCCTCATCACACAGTAGCTTAGATAAAGCAGTGAGTGGTACCATCGAGCCACAGCTCCACAATTTTGGTAATTAGGTTGGAAGCATTCTAAGAAGAACATAATAATAATAAAAGGCTTTGTCGTTTTTTTTTACATTTTTTTAGATACTTCTTTATTTATTTTACACTGTCTTGCTGAGGCATAGGCCTCCAATAACATTATCTATTTTTTTTTACAATTTGCTTTCCTTGTCCAAGTTTTCCCTTCCTAAAATTTTTATGTCATCTTCCCTTCGTCTAATTTGTCTTCCTCTTCTCTCCATCTATGTGATACCATTCTATGATGTATTTTGCTCATTTTGCTTTTCTTAGTTTCTCACTCAAAGAACATAAATTAACCTAAATGTACTGAATTACTTTTCATGCATTTGGACTTACTTGGTTATTAATTATTATTACTTTTTCTCAAACACTCAACTTGTAACAATGGCACATGTTTGTAAGACATAGGGTGACTAATTACGACATGACATAAAAATTCTCTGTAACTGGACCAAAATGACTGAGCAAATTGGTCCACTTTTGGTCAAATCTAACTGTTCTACCGTATATAGAATAGTTGTTAGTAAAATATATATTTTTAGGAATATTAGTAGGTATAGTTGTAGTGTGCAAAATTAAATCTTGCTCAAAATTAATAAGTTTATGTACACTCCACATACATACATTCACTCAATATATTGTTAGCAAGTGTCACAGAGTATCAAAAGGAATCGTGATTGGGATTATGTTATTAAATTATAAATAAAATCACTGTTTCATTTAGAAAGGTTTATCATGTAATTTAAGTCTGTAGTAAGACATATGTTTTAAAAAATATACAGAGAATATTAAAGACCTGATTTTTTTATTACAGAAAGTAGTAACCAATGACCATGTGTTAGCACTTGTTAAGCTAAGAGAGGAAGAGGAAAATTCAAGCATGGAAAGTAGTGGTGTTAGACCAAAACTCACTCGTGCGAAAGCAAAGTAAGTTTGTGATAGTAATTAGTAAACAGTCCAGTATGCATCAGACTTGCAAATGAGGGGTTTCCTATCTTTATAATAGTTAAAAATTGATTAAGCAAAAACATGAAATGAAAAAGAGTTTACCATAAGAAACAAAAAGGTGATTATGGTAAACTCTTTAGAGACATGTTTTTGCTTAATCCATTTTAATTTCGCCTTGAATAGCAAACTGCTCTGTAGCTTAGTATGAAGTCCTGGCACTTTGGAATTGTGAGTTCACATTTTTAAACTTAAACACATCACATCATCACCTAAGCACACCCACCTTTTCTTTTATTTTTCTTATATGTGTTGTTTTACAGTCAGAACAACTAATAGTGGTTATTATTATTTTTTATCAATCAATAAGACCATTATACATTTTTAATAAATTTAAAGGTATGACCAACCAGTTCAGATCAGTAGCAGGAAGGACCTTAGGGGGTGCAGACTTTGCACAGATAGTTAATAATGGTTTCCGCAACCTGCCTGCACTTACGGCATGCATTCAGTGGGGACCTTGGTCCTCAGAATGTATGCCAGGTGACCGCTGCAGGAGTATTGTCTGGTTTTTACTGGCTCTGTTCAGGGCGTAAGGTATAGTAAAGGATCCCAAGACTAGATCGTCACCTTAAGGAAGCCCTAACAAACATATTGCTTTATTAAAATTGTATACCTACTATTATGTTATTTACTCAATAGAGTAAATGGGTAATAACCCATTCTCCCATACTATTTCTATTCCAAATAAATTCAAAATTTCAAAGATAAGTCTCAAATTTGGCATAGTAAATATGGAAATGACTTACAATATAGACTAGACTGCACTTACACTTAACAACAGGTGGAGTCGATTAATGTGTTGCACCTTGTAGAAAAAGTTATTAAAAAGGTTTGTTATTACCTAGTTGTTAATTAGCAATGAATAATAATTCATAGGGAGCTTAAGAAGCCATGGAATCTGGAGAACCTTGAACTGACCCCTATCAAGCACATACCGGTGAAGACAAGGCCTGAGGTGAAGGCACTCATTGCGCAAGAGTTGCCTGAAGATGAGGACGATGAAGAATATGAGCCGACACATGATGATGTGCCTGTGAGTAAATGATGTTGATGTTTCTCCTCTTCTACAAAATTATTTTAACTGCAGATTGTTGTCATTCTCACCCAGTTGGACAACTGACTGCGATTAAAGTAAGGTTTATTAGCTTATTAGCTCCCTTAGATTAAAACAAAAAGGGAAATACGGCACTGGCGGCTCAAAAGTGATCCGCATAAATTGCTGCTGCTGCTAGACATTCAAACATGCTGCATGTGCACTCAACATAACGAAATTGCCTATATTCTGTGTTATAACGATAAAACATTGCCTTTGATGCTTTTATAAAGAACACAAATAGTTCAAAATCAAATAACAAATGCCGCGGCAATACTTCTCATTCGTAAAACTATAAAATCTTTGTTTTCTCAAAAATCACGTTTGACAAGAATATTTATATATTGTTATCAAGAAATGGACAACAATACAGCTCAGCCGTCCGGACACGGAAGCGGACTCGCCGTTTTTTATTTATTTTATTTATTTATTATCTTCCCTTTTTGTTTTAATCCTAGTTAGCTCCGTATTAAACGGCATAGGCTTGCCGTAAGCGTGTCGTTGCCTATATGTACTAGAGAACTTGCCTCAAGTTCTGGGAGATAGACAAGTGGCAATATTTATATTCGTTGTGACAATATTGCTAACTTTGAAATTAAAAGACAAACAATAAATTAATTTTGAGGGGCATCAGTAATAACTAACCTTCTTTCAGCAATCCCATTTTCAGGAAACATATTAGTTAATTGAATTTAAGGGGGATTTGCTATTGATAATGCAACTTTGTCTCTTTTTTACACATTTCCTTGTCATTCTGTATACACACTATTCATTCAGTCATTCTCTTTATATACACTGTTGTCAAATTTAAGTTTAGGTTAAGAGAATCTGATCAGAATCGACACCATTATCAATCATTGGATTAAGCATGGATGTAACAAGTATGCGACATATAATTTATAAATCTTAAAAAAGAAATTGCGACTTAAATACTTAGTAATATATATATGCAGTGTCTTTCGAACAAATTGGTTTGTTTTTAACTGAAAACTCTAATTTTGTTAGTTCAATATATTTTTGTTTGTCATAGAGTGATGACGACCAAGGTCTCGAGTCTTGCAGCGATATCGACTCTCAACCTCGGACTCCAGCGACACCCAGGAGTTTGAGCAAAAGTAGTCCGAGACTTGTCAAAGATGGACCCTTCAAAGTACCTGTAGTAAGTAACATAATTGCATGATGAGAAATCACTAACACAGTTACAAAAGGCACAGAAAGCCCCTAAATAATTTCATAGATTTATTATTCGCTGTTTTTCCATGGCTTATTGAATGTAAGGATTATATAGCGAATGCCCTCCTCAGGATGTTTCGACGCCTACTCGCCGTAAACTCAAATTGGATGAAGAGGAAGCAACGATAGCGTTACGGACAAGGTCCAAACTGTGTCTCTCCGAAACTCCCATAGAGCACATAGAGAGTTCGTTCGTACCCCCTGACGATTTGCCCGTGCCCCCTGTAGATGATCATTTGTGGAACGAATTTTTGACGGACTGTATGAACCCAACTTCTGTGTCTAAGAATGAGGACGATGACGAAACAGACCCCGAGTATAATGTCGCCGCTGATCCTGACGCTCGTGAGTATAGCTTTAGTTAAAAAACTATTGAGAAAATTATACTACCTATATACGAAACATCAAGTAGTAAAATGCTTAAAAATATATATATATTAAACTACAATTGCTATTTCTTCTTTCAAATGTTTAATACTTGTAAAGGTATTTCGTTTGACATTGTGGGTTGCCTACAATGTGAAGAGATGGCGCTGCCTTGCAGCCTAAGAGATTCTAGAAGAAATTCGATAGGATCATTGGGGTCGCGGTAACATAATTGGTAGTGCATCCGCCCGGATGGCGAAGGGTGTTGAAGGTTCGGGTCCCGCGTGGAATTATTTCTAGTAAAATTTTCTTTACATTTAAACTATTAATATAATCTGTACCGTGTCGTGAAGTCCAGCTGGAAAAGTGTGCTACTCTTAACGCAAAGGAGATTGACCTCCTATAATTTATGCTTGAATAACGCTTGAAATAAATACAATTTGGACAACATACAACAATTATTTAGTCCCTAACTAAGCTGAGCATGTACTATGGAAACTTAATAAACGTAATTATACATTAAGTTTGTATACAACAAAGACTCGACGACGGATTCAAATATTTTGCTGCTTATCACACAAACTTCCCGTCTACGTTACAGAAGACTAGCGAAAAAGAAATACCAAATAACCTTTGTCAGCCATCAAGACATATCATAGAATTTAACAAAGCATTTAAATTAACAAGACAAAGTAAAAATAACACAAACTGCTACTGCGTCTGCCTGTCTGACGTGATGATCCCAGAAACTGATTTTCATACTCCTTCACTATCAGTTAGATTTATATTTTCATGCAAGGTTTATAATCCAATCTCAGGAACAGAACAGAGCAGAACTATATATTTAAACCGAAGGGAAGGGGAGGCCACTAGTTACATATTATAAAAATGCATATCAGTTTAGTCAGTATTTAATAAAAAAATATTATCATATTTCGGACATCATTGTAGACGACGAGGATGAAGAGGCCTTAGACAGTTCCATCATCAAGATATCTAAGAAGGAACTGAATGATTTGGTGACGGAGTTGTTCAATATCATGCCCGAAGCGTCGGTGGACGACGAACTGGCGAATATCGCCACTAGCGTGCTCACCGACGATACGAAGAATGGGGTGAGTTCAATTCAGCAAAGTACCGTAACTATACTCTATTCGACTTCTTTTTCAAAGGTAAACAAGCCATATTAGCTAAGGGTTTTCAGTAGATCGAATTTTTTACACATATAAAATCATTTCCAAACTTGGAACGCATTAAATAAATAAATATAAATAAATTCAAGGCTGATCTTGGATTGAAATTGTACTGTTCAGAATCAGTTTTAAAACCGTTTACTTACTGGCCTCTTGGTTTATTATTAGTGGAATACTGACCAATTAGTACTTAATATAAATAAATAGATATTTTCAACACTCACACCTAGCCTAGCCCCAAAGTAAGCACTGTAAGGCTTGTGTTATGGGATACTAGGGTAATGGATAGAATACATGTTTTTTATATACATACGTATATTTATCTATGAGGAGCTCGATGGCGCAGGTGGTTAGTGCGTTCGGCTGCGATCGTTGTAGTTAGGCAACTTTCGCAGTGGTCGGTCATTGGATGGGTGACCAAAAATTTATATCTCGAGTTCCTCCGTGCTTCAGAAGGCACGTTAAGCCGTTGGTCCCGGTTGCATCTGCAATCGTTAGAACCCTCCAATCCGCACTGGGCCCGCGTGGTGGGCATGGCCCAATCTCCATATTCCATCCATAGGGAAGGCCCAGCAGTGGGGACATAAAGGGGCTGATGATGATGATGATGATATTTATCTAGAAATACATATTAAACATCCATGACTGGAGTACAAATGCTCGTATTCATCACACAAACATCTGCCCCCACCGGGATTCGAACCCGAGACCTCTCGAGTCAGCGACACCATGAAACCCGGCGTATAAGCCACGGAGGGTCGTCAAAAGACAAAAGCTTCTAAGGCAAACAGACAAAAGCTTGTGCTAACGCCACCTATATTATTCAATTTACATTAAACTAGTGGCCCGCCCTCGCTTCGCTTCGGTGTAAAGCTGTAGTGTAGACTATAGTTTTTGTTGTCAGGCTTGTATTATATACAATGACATTCTTCTAATACCCAATTACAATAGGCACGCGCCGCCAAGCCCGGTAGCGTCGGAACCGCTATGTCCCTGAATTTTAAATTTGTAATATCTTCGAAAATATTCATTTAAATTATATGCGTTAAAGGGCCAAATTGTTCTATATTAAATGCACAATGTATTTAAGGTACTTAATTGGATAAGGATGAATGTTATATTGCTTAAAATCGCTTCGTAAATAATTTATTATTTCTCGTAAAAAGTATAGGATAACAATTGGTTATTGTGGGTTATCCTTAAGAGATAGACATATACCATCGCGGACTTTTTTGTAGACCTTTTTAAGGTGTACAATACTGTAGTACATTATTTTGATCTATCTCGTGGGGTTCAGCCAGCGTTTGCAATGTAAGCGCAAAAAATGTGTTTATTTACGACCTTACATTAAAAACCTCTAAAATTATCAGTGTTTGTCTACTATATTATGCATGTATTATACATATAAACCTTCCTCTTGAATCACTCTATCTATTAAAAAAAACCGCATCAAAATCCGTTGCGTAGTTTCAAAGATTTAAGCATACAAAGGGACATAGGGACAGAGGAGAAAGCGACTTTGTTTTATACTATGTAGTGACTATGGCGATATTTTCTAAACATACGATATGTCATTTAGACTGAGATGGTTTCCATACAAAAAGTCCTCAGCAGAGATGACTATAATGACCTGAACGCTGTTAAAGATTGTCTAATCTAAAACTGAACGCCCCGCGACACTGTTATGGTACATTTGTGAGTGATCGAAGCGTGCTGCCACGCTTGTCTAGGCGGCGATTGAATCAACTAAATGACCAATGACTATAGCTAATTTGTGTCTGTTGCATCTGTACTCTGATTGTGCAAGTAAGAGTAAGACAATGGAGGGGCATTCAGTTTTAGATTAGACAGGGCCTACCGCCTATCGGTATTGCTATGGCTGTAGCTATCGTTTGCGATTTCATTTTGATATTTCATACCGCCGTTTTTTTTTTAAATACCTCATGCTTATTTTCTTTTATATTGTTACTAGCTGTCCCAACGAACTTTGTACCGCCATAAAAATAGGGGATGGTGGTTGAAGGGTGAAAATTTAGGGTTGTATGTATTTTTGTATGATGTATCATAAAAAAATAAAAACAAAAAAAAATGACAAAAGAAATAAAATTAAGGGTGGACCCTTAACATTTAGGGGGATGAAGAAAAGATGTTGTCCGATTCTCAGACCTACTGAATATGCATATTAAATTTCACGAAAATCGGTCGAGCCGTTTCGGAGTAGTTCAATTACGTACACCGTGACACGAGAATTTTATATACATATTAGATTACCAATGCAAAAGAAAAAAAAGAGCGCGAGGCATTTGAAAACCTTCGGCGGTCAGAAATAACAAAATGAATAGGCGATAGCCATAGCAATTCAGATAGGCGATAGGCCCTCGGGGATGGGCAAACTTTTTCTTTATCGCGCCAATATTTACAATATGACCGCGGGCCGGGTTTCAACCATTCGAGGGTCGGAGATTACACATCCCTGGATTAGACAATCTCTATTATCATTTTGCAGACAAGCAACTGCTGGGAAGGCAAACAGGAGCCCCTTTCAGATGAAGAGCCTCAGTTGAGGATATGCGAGGGCTTGTCCGTAGAAAGGCGCGATAGCTTTAACAAAGTGTCCATCGGCAAGTCGGAACCGATGGACGAAGACCCTCTGGTGATACCTAAAGCCGAAGGAACCGATAAACAATCTTCAATAAGACAAAAGACAAACGACGAGGAAAGCAACCAACCGCTTATAGTCTAGTAAGTAATTAAGCATGTTTGATGGTTTTGTTAATAATCATTTTGAAGACCTCCGTGGCCGAGTGATTTGTACGCCGGGTTTCATGGTGTCGCCTACGCAAGAGGTCCCGGGTTCGAATCCCGGTGGGGTCAGATGCTTGTGTGATGAATACGAGCATTTGTACTCCAGTCATGGATGTTTAATATGTATTTCTATATAAAAAAATGTACAGTATATGTATTCTATCCGTTATCCTAGTATCCCATTACACAAGCCTTACAGTGCTTACTTTGGGGCTAGGCTAATTGGGGTGTGTTGAAAATATTTATTTATTTATTTAATCATCATCATCAGCCTATTAATGTTCTCAGTGCTGGTGCTGCATAGGCCCTACCAATAGATGGAATAGGGAGATCGGGCCATGACCCACCACGCGGGCCCAGTGCGAATTGGTGGGTGCTAACGACTGCAGATGCAGCCGTAACCAACGGCTCAACTTGCGACGAAGCACGGAGGAGTTCGAGATAGTAAATTTTTGGTCACCCACCCAAAGACCGACCACTGCGAAAGTTGCTTAGCTTTAATGATCGCAACCGAACGAGCTGACCACTTGCGCCATCGAGTTCCTCATATTGTTCATCATCTTTTGTCAATTATTATTATAATTCTTGATTTAGCGGAACATTCACATTCATCGCATTTTTTATATTTTTTTCCAAAAGGCAATTCGAGGTGGTGGGAGTCTGATGACATGTAACACATTTACAACAGCAGCAGCAGCATCAATTGCATCTTCTATACTGAGTCTGATGACATGTAACACATTTACATGTCATCAGACTCTCACCACGTCGAATTGCCTTTTGGAAAAAAATATAAAAAATGCGATGAATGTGAATGTTCAGCTAATAATAAACATTATCTTACCTAGTGCGTACCCATCAGTCTCATATAAACATAAATTTAATTAGATAGAAAACCGGCAAAGTGCGAGTCTGACCCTCGCCTTCACCCTGACCCCTTTCATTTGATATACAACACGGTCCGTGTTTGGGTCACAGACATACACACATATACAAAATTTTAAATTGATTGGTCCAATATATTCTGAGCAAATCAAATCGGCAAAAAGCTAAGCAAGGGCTGGTTTATCGTTACATGTTTCGGCAGCGCCGTTGTAGCGCAAGCGCTGAACAGCTAGCTGTGGACGATAAAAAAGCCTTCAATATGAAATGATTCATGAATTTTCACCTTTCATAACATGTTTCTGCCAGCACCCGCTAGTTCTACAAATACAACACGGACCCACCAGCTCTATGTGAACTTCTATGTATGATGTGTAACATTTGAAACATCACCTTATATTAGTAAAAAAAGAAATAAAACCTACTACAAAAGGAATAAGCCATTTGAACATTATGTTCTAAAATCAAATCAAATAGCGCGCACTTTCGCGACTTCCTGTTACATACTTCCGTCCCATTTCACGAAACCACTCCCACAAATTGCAGGAAAGCGAGAGGAAATATGTTACACATCAGAAAGGTTCGCATCAAAAAGTACCATTTTTACACATGTTGCGAGACCACCCCACTGCCGCACCTGATACCTATATATTTATTTCTTAGCGAGCTGCCGTGTAAGGGGTATTCGTTACTTAGTAATGGGTTTGGCCCGCCATAGATTCTTATAGAAGTTGACAAGATGTCTAGTTGACAAATAATTTTAATATGAAATGATTCAGAAAGTCACCTTTGATAACTTGATCAGTGATGGGTGTGTGGAGCCGCAGCTGGAACCAGCATACAAACCGCCGCTAGTACTACAAGTACACCATGGACCCACCAGCTTTATGTAAACTTCTTTCCGTTACACTAGTGTCCTGTACCACAAGCCTTATAGTGCTTGGACTGGGCTAAACAGTGTCGGTTTTTCACATACAAAATCATTTATTCAGTTTAGCCTGTTATATCTTGAATTGAATGTCTAGAAGCTACGCCGTCTGTTTGGAAATTACGACTCGAGGCCTTATTTTGAGAAGAACAGGCAAACGCTGTTTTTCTCCATTCAGAGAAGTCAACGAATTAGAAATAACATAAAAGGATTAATCTGTAAACAAGGCCGCTACTACTACGAAACTTCAATACTAACGCGACACACACACACAGACCAAGCAATCTACTATTGACCAATCGAATATCTGTAAATGAATTCGGCTATCTATTAATTGCGTAAGATAAATAAAAATGTTAAACGGAAATCCCAACTAATCCCATGATCGGCGTGTTGATAGCATTTTTTTCACCCCGCCCACTTGATCGCAGTTTACGAGGAACCACTTTTTAGCTCCGTTTCCTATTCCATATTATTTCTAATTCGTTGCATAAATTCACCTTTTGTTACGTTTTCCTGCCAGCACCCCGTGTACGGTGGTGCGGATGGCCGTGCAGGAAACAGTGATGGGTGCGCAGCCGCCGCCGGAACCGGCTCAAGTCCCGCCTCTAGTCCTACAAATTCGTCACGAACCCAGAAAGTCTGGCTCACTTACGGTCACCGTACCGAAGGAACCTGTGGTGAGTTCATTTATTTATTTAAGAGCCCTTTCACATTTTTTGCAAAAAATCGTAATTTTTGAGCGCTTCGTTTACCCCCTTAGAAAAGATTTTGACTATTTTCAATAGAAGTTAACAGCAGATTTATTCTTCCTATTGGAAGTTAATGTAGAATATTTTAAAATTCTATTTTTATTTTTTTTACTGATCGTTCTACCGCAGTTAGTTTACAGAAAAAACGTTAATATGCACAACTTCAAACGCATCAATCTCTTAATAAATGTTCAATAAATTAGATCAAACTAATTACTACGACATCAGAAATATGTTTTTGTTGTAACATAAAGTATTAGAATCTTGGTTTTCCATTTCATTAATTATAAAAAAAACATCTAACCTCCGTGAGTTTTACCAAAAATTAATGCAGGTTTACCTCGTATTTTGATATTGAATTAAACAGCATTTCTATCAAAAACTAATCTCCAATCATTGAACTACTGAAATATGTATATATTTTTATCATAAAATCATGAATAATTATTTTATAAGGAAGGAAGCAATATGAATATGCTTATAACATTTCGCTTTCTATTTTTGTGGTTTCCATGGGCAAACGTTCAAATCGTTATTTTCATAGTGTAAATAATTGTAATAATAACGAATATGAAATATATATATTCGCTACATGAGACATATTTTATACATACAAGCAACAATGTGCCCTTTTTTGGAATCTTTTAGTTCTAGCAAAACTTCTAGCTAACAAACAGTGCCATAGTGAAGTATTGTAAATCGCGACTATTCTAGGAGTAATGTATTATTATTACTAATACTTTGCTTACAGCGCTTAAGAGCAGAGGTTGTACATTTGTGATTGTTTAAAAAATAAAACACTCATTTTAACTTTATACAATCATTTACTCATCTAGTGATATCAATATATTATCTAAGAACGCTGCGGGTGTATCTATTCAACAGTGTTCGCATTGTAGCTGATAGTGTACAAAACGACATGCCTTCGCATTCTGTGTATACATAAGTAGCAATTTATGCATCTCAAAATGGTTCCAAAGCACAAACGAAAAATCGGTATCCTAAAAAGAAAGCCACAAGGTCGTATAAAAGGTGTGATCGAGTCCGTATTCAAAAGCAAAAGTCGTAATCAGCTAGTGATCGAGGAGGTGTGAACTTTCCTAGCTCCGTTTTCATATTATTTATCCTGATATTTCCATACAAGAACTCGCAGCAAAAATTCCATGAGTTAGGTGTGTAACAGATGAGTACATATGAAAGTTAAATATACTTTTGTTGGGTTTTGTATAAATGCATGGGAATTACATGAATACTAAGAAACATATTTTTATTTTTTTATCAAAAACTCTTACAGAAATATTCCAAGTACAGAGTGAGAAAACTTTTTTATTAAATGTACTACGGATGCGAATATAAAACTACAATTAGTATAGTTTTTACTGAGATATTTTATTATTATTTTATGAAAAAGGGATTTCATTCAGTGATAACAGTGAACAGAATTTTCATTTAATTACTGAATGAATAAAAAAAACAGTAACAAACGGAAGTTATGCAAATCATACACATAAAGTTACAATAATTAGTAATAATCATAATTATTCTTTATTGTCCTTCCAATGGGTATGATAAATATATCATTTATTTTCTCACAATAGTAAAAAAACTTAATCCTTGTATCCTTTGCTCCACTCAGGATTCCTATACAGAGTCTTTCGTTGCTACAGTAGGGATCCATTTTAGCACCTCAATTTTTTTTTTATATTTGCACTAATTTTATAATCCATTAATTGCATATTAAAGTATCAATTCGGTAAAGCGCGCTATACTGACTATCGCTGCGTCTATGCCTGGCTCGTGCGACTCTGACAGACTCGTGGCCGTATTTATCTAAACTGCAGCGGCGCAATTTTATAAAAGGGTTCTTAATCTTTAATGCCTTTACATTGCATATGACGGACTTAATGCCAGTATGACATTCTCTACCAGTCAACCGGAAAGAACTTGCAGAGTCAATAAAACGGCAGGCAATCATAGAATATAGCAATCATCAAACAATGAGAAAAACAAAATTAAATAGCGTTTAATACATACACATACATACATACAAATATACATACATACACACACACACATATACATAATGTACCTATAATATAGTGTCCGATTTAAGTATCCTGATTCAACTTAAGCACTATGCACTAGTTTCAAATAATGTTCCCGCACCGAACTTTATCAAATAACTCCCCTCAGTCTCAAGTGTTCTAATGGCTCTAGGACGGAGAGGAGAATCCCCCGAGGGGAGATGCCATCCGCCTTAAAATAAAAATCATCATCATCGACAGCCTAGTAATATCCCCTTTGCTGGGGCACTGGCCTTCCCTAGATGGAATAGGGCCGTGAACCACCACGCGGGCTCAGTGCGGATTGGTGGGTGCTAACGACTGCAGATGCATCCGGGACCAACGGCTTAACGTGCCTTCCGTACGGAGGAGCTCGAGATAGTAAATAAATTTTTTGATCACCCTACCAATGACTGACCACTGCGAATGTTGCTTAACTTCAACGATCGCGCGCACCCACTTGTATTATGTATAACATGGGACACATTTTATTGGCAGATATTGCCGGAACAAGTGCTGATCTTACAGCAACAACTGAGGCAGCACGTACAGCTGTCGACGTCCAACTTTCTGCAGTTGTTCGTGAATCCACTGCACTGGGCGATAGCGCCCGTCTACAAGGACTATTTGGTAACATGCGTTCAGAAATAATAATAAATAAATATTTCCAATGCTCACACCAATAATTAGCCTAGCCCCAAAGTAAGCACCATAAGGCTTGTGTTATGGGATACTAGGGTAACGGATATAGTACATATTTAAGTATATTTGAGTAACATAGTGCTAGTTAGGAGTTATAGGTAAGACCAATGTCTACGTCAAATCTACTAATCTATATATATATATATAAAACTGACATAGTGATCTATCAACACACAGCTCAAACCACTGGACGGATCGGGCTGAAATTTGGCATGCAGGTAGATGTACGTAGGCATCCGCGTAGAAAGGATTTTGATCAATTCTACCCCCAAGGGGATAAAATAGGGAATGAATGTTTGTATGAAACTTTGTTAATTTTAAACCGATCTGGCTGAGACTTTGCATGCAGGTATAAGAAGAATCATAGATGAATGTCATTGTGTATAATACAAGCCTGAGAACAAAAACTGTAGTCTACACTTCAGCTCTACACCGAAGCGAAGCGAGAGCGGGCCGCTAGTATTATATAAAACTCAAAGGTGACTGACTGACATAGTGATCTATCAACGCACAGCCCAAACCACTGGACGGATCGGGCTGAAATTTGGCATGCAGGTAGATGTTATGACGTAGGCATCCGCTAAGAAAGGATTTTGATCAATTCTACCCGAAGCGAAGCGAGGGCGGGCCACTAGTTTAAGATAAAAGTCTTGAGATAATAATGGAGTATCCTAATTATGTTCATATTTCAAGCAGTTTTCTGGAAACAGCGGTCATGTTCAGTCGTGTTTGAGAGAAGAGAAAAGATATTGGTAGCAAAACTTAGGAAGGATTTTGTTTTAACAAGTTAGGATATTATCGGCAGCATTATGCTCGAAGTCAAAGTGTTGTAGGTATTTGCAGTTTAATTTTTTGGCGCCAATTTTCACAAAATCGCTCAGGTGTTTTTGCAAATCGATACAAAATTTAATTCTAAGTCGAATGGCATAGATAACTCATTTTGACCCCAAGTGTCAGGTTGAATATCGTCGGCGATATTCAATGATGTCTCTGTGATCAGTGCTCTCAAAACGTGAAGCGATCACTGTTTTTGGTAAGAGGCACATTGAATAGCAACAGTATGCTTGAAAAATCTGGACAGATAAGGTCTGTGCTCCCACCAATGAGGATCATTAGTAAGTTTTTTAATTAATATACTTTTTAAATCATCGAAATCGGCTTGTTCGTTGCGATTTTATAACTAATTTTATGGTAGGCAATATTCACCGGCTGAAACGTGTGACGTCACAGTCTAGATCGTGGTTCACTCCGGTCGAACTTCAGTAGCGTCTACGCACGCTCGCGCCGAGCACTAGAGCTTTTGACGTCACAGCCACCACTCGGTCAGCCGAAAATTCGTTTAATAATTTGGTCATAACTTCGTCAATATTTTTCATAGAGCAAAAATTTTACCACTGTATTTTATGGAATCCTTAGCTCTATAAATCTGCATAAACCTGTTACGGATCCTCATTTCAAAACCCCGAGAGTTGCAACTAGAACTCCAAAACATAGTCGTCGATATTGCCTGTACGGTAGGATTAAAGTATTTCAAAACCCGCCGTACCAGAATAAAGAAACTCTCCGGAAGCACACTCCAATTATGAAACAGCTAAATGAAACGGGGTTACAGACCTTGGCCGACGCAAGTCAGTGTCGGTTGCTAAATAGGCAGATTTCTAAGTCTTTGACGAGCGACCTTCCCGAATGAAACTGCCGTACCAGCTATCTTCACGCCTGGACTCCACCATCACTTAACAGCATTTTTTTATAGGCTAACTATAAAAAAATGAGGGTGTTTAGGAAAATTCACGTCTCTAGTTGGCGCCACTAAGACGTGAGGTCTTTTGTATGAAGTTGTTGGCGCGAATTAATATAACGAGTATTTAAATTATCCATAAACTATGACAATATACACGATTTGACGAGTGAGTAGACCTTTCGCTTCAGTGCTGTCACCTGGCGCCCGGCATTAGAGAAAAACCTCATTGAATACTAATCGTATTAAATAAGCCATTCATCCAACGTGTTTGCATGAGATCTGTCTATTGGGCAAAGTCAACTGGCGAAACTGAAAACTGACGACAGTAGCATCCTTTTGAATGATGAATAAATAAATAAATATGATTATACTAACACACATACTTGGGCAATTGATAGAATACATATACATATAGAAAAACATATACATATCCATAATAACTTAGGTACAAATGCTCATATTCATCATACAAACATTGGACCTTCCTGTATTCGAACCCAGGACCCCTAAGTAGGCGAAGGAACGCTTAGATCTCACCTCACCGCAGAACGTTGAACGCGGACGTCACATAACGTGACTCATGATATGACGTCACACTTATTCGTGCGTGCAGTCGGCGTTCATTGATTTATAGAAATTATCACGTCAAAAACAACAATAGTGTTCTCCTCGTTGAACATTTTGAATGTAAGGACATGCATTTAGGTTTCCAAATCGAAATTTATGATCAGGTAACCGCACATGTGCGCCTAGTCTTATGATAAAAAAATTGTATAGATAAAATATTGTTTTGGTGTAGGAGTCCCTATCGAGGATGGTGGAAGTGAATCCTTCATCCGTAGCGGGCGTTTGCAACCTTAAAGCGGCAATGGAGCTGGTCAAGAACTGGGAGGAGACTGTCTCTAAGGACACGCCCGAAAACACCGCCATGGTCGAGTGAGTATACCACCCTCGCCTGTCGTACTGTCTGTCTAAAATATTGTGATTGCACGTTTAATAATTATGTCCATAATAATTATGTTTTATTGAATTATAATGTTTTTCCTCTCGTCTGAGAGGCATGTCACGTGAACCAATATGTTATATCTATTGTAATGGCTGAATCTTAAAACAGGAATTAAAGAATAGAAGCAGCTTAAATTCAACTCATAAAGTCGTCCCATATTCTAGAGTTACCTTATTTTTTATTTTCTTTATTTTGTGTGGCTTGTTACGTCAAATTGGTTACTTTGGTTACCTTTACGATACAGAATCAAAAAACAATTGAATGTCAACTTATACTTTTTGGTTGGCTTTGTTTGTTAATATTTTGGTTAAGTTATTGTCTATGGGAATGTACGCTCAAACGTCATAGCATTATTTTTATGCCTTAGTTCTTGTTCTGAGGATTGAATTCAGCGACCTCACAGACAAAGAATTATTAAGTCAATTTACAAAACGTCTTGTCAGTTCCTGTGATCATTTCATTCCTTTGAGTATCTGTAACGGGAGACGCCATTACAGGCATTCCCCTCTGTCAAAAGATGCAAGAACATTGTTCTTTCAGCGTTTATTAAAACTAGTTGACGCGCGACCATTTTGGAGCGGTTGTCGGAGCTCCCACAAAAATGGAAAATCATGTTGTTTTCTCATGAAAAAACCGATTTGACACTTCAATCCTGCTGAAAGATGACGTTTCCTATTATATACAAGTATTTTTATGACTAAAAAGTTAGAAATTCATAGTGATGTGACGAAAAGTGAATGAAATGAACGAATGGTATTTTTGTTGCTGGAAAACTTTCAAGCAGGGGGGGACAACTCTAACGTGATGGCGAGTCACAAAATAGATCTTTTAAGTTGCAGTGACTACAGCGCCATTAGGACTGCAGAGTCAAAAATCTGAAATTAATAAATAAATAATCTCGAATCTTGAGATAAATGTAATCGTAATCAACTCCTTTATTTGAAACATACAAGATTTTTAAGATTGATATGGTCAATATAAGATGTTGTTACTTGAGCTAATTTCGTAATAACGCAATATAAAAAGGTTCCTTAAGTAGGGCCTGAATAAATTAACTGACTTGGCATTACATGGTTCTCACAACTTTTGACGGTAGAAGAAGTAGAACTGAGTTGCGAGACTTGTTTTTTTACAAGTTATGTTTTTGATGGCATATGACTTACATTGTGGGACAGAGGAGGTCATTCTTGTCTTTTTTTCCAAATAATATGCTCAATACAGCATCATCATCGCCCTATTATTGTCTCTACTACTGGGGCAAAGGCCTTCCCTATTGATGGAATAATGAGATTGGGTCATGACCCACCACGCGGGCCCAGTGTGGATTGGTGGGTGCTAACGTCTGCAGATGCAACCGGGACCAACGGTTTGACGACGTGGCTTCCGAAGCACGGAGGCGTTCGAGATAATAAGCTCTTGATCACCCATCCAATGACCGACCATTGCTAAAGTTTGTACGCAAATATCAAACATATTATAAAAGAAATAATAATCCTCGCCGCCAATTTAATCTGATTCCTCCCGAACCTAAACTGGAGATGTATAAAAATGGACCATTATACCGATCCATATTGATATATAATAAAATTACCGTTATTATTAAAACAGAATCTAATATAAACATATTTAAGAATAAATAGAAACAGCATCTTATAAAAAAGCGTATTATTCTGTTGATGAATTTAGGAATGAAAAATAAATTTGTTAATAATAAATAAACTTAGTATTTAACTTCATTTAATTTAATTTAACTTAATTATGCTTGACCTGTTTGTTTGATTTGATTTAGTTTGACTTAATTATGTTTGACCTATTAATTTGATTTAACTTGATAAGATATGATTTTGATTTGACTATGATGATATATGATTATGATGACATGATATGATATAACTTGACTTGATTAATTTTTAAAATGGATTGTTTTTGTTTTAAATTTGGTTGGACCTGATGTGATTTAATATGATGAACAATTAAGTGAAATTAATGTATTTAATGTTAAGCTCAAGTTTGTTCCAACACCCCAACGGTGACCCCGTTGGGGTGTAATACTTCTCACTATTAAGTATGTAAGACCTTATAATAAATAAAGTACATGAGCAATGTGATATAAATAAATAAAATAAATTTAAATAAGTTGCTTAACCTCCACAATCGCAGGCCGACAGCGCTAACCATTTGCGTTATCGAGTTTCTCACGTATTTCTGAAATATTTAGATGTTTTTTTATCATTTTGGATCAAGCGTGCGCTAGCGTAGCACTCGTTGAAAGAATAGGATTGATCATTGCCGAAAGCTTGAATCACTGAGTATTTTCTAATTTATCACATATAATATAATTATTAACTTCTTAAATCATGGCGGGCCACTAGTGTTCTCATATAATATACGAGTTTAAATTCTATTATTTTTTTCTTTGCATTTAAATTCACTACGATTAAAAATATCTTGCATAAAAATCATCGCTATGTGTGTGGCTACAGCATGAGGAGGAAATTACTTTTCCAGATGGACGCTCCAGTTGGGGCAGAAAATTCCCTTTCCCTATAGATATGATTTAATTTCAAAATTAAAATTGACTGTTTCTTAAAAATAAATAGCAGCCAACTTCACTGTTTGAACGAACTTGAGGCCTGCCTGTTGGTAAGCGGCCTTCATACACTATATCTAATATATAAAATTCTCGTGTCACGGTGTGCGTAATTGAACTCCTCCGAAACAATTTCCGTGAAATTTTATATGCATATTCAGTAGGTCTGAGAATCGGACAACATCTATTTTTCATTCATCCCCTAAATTTTAAGGGTTTATTTATTTATTTAACCTTGACTTTTTTTGATCATACAAAAATACATACAACCCTAAATTTTCACACTTCTACCACCAACCCCTATTTTTTTATGGCGGTACGAAGATCGCTGGGATAGCTAGTATTATATATATACTTTAACTTTATAGACTATAGACAACGCCCCATAAGCAGGCAAACAATGTGATTCGAACTTCATAGTTTTGTTTTTAATAGCTTTTAAATAAAATCTCTTTTTTGTTTTAGATTTATTCAGAAGGAAGCTGAAAGATGGTAAGTCATTTAATATAATTATGGGTGGTATTTGAGTTCACAGCGGCATTCCGACAATATTTATTAATGTATATAAAAATGGTTTATATCGCTTGTTGATCTAACAAGTACTGTTTTAATATTCCTAATAAAAGTTGTATTATAGATTGAAATCTATTCAAGATGGTGATTAAGTCATTTAATATAATTATGGGTGGTATCTTTGTGCACATCGGCATTCCCACATTGTTTATTAATGAATATAAAAATGGTTTATATCGCTCATTGATTTAACAAGCATTGTTTTAATATTCCTAACAAAAGTTGTAGTAAAAAAGAAAATATAGGTTGAAATCTATTGAAGGTGGCAATTTAAAGCCAGTATTATTACGATGCAACCATGTCATCAGTAATCATTATTTACACGGGGGGATTACAGGGGGACACGAATTTGGGTTTGATAATAGTATCACATGGTGATTCTGGAACCATGGGGCGTTCTAAGGAGTTAAAATTCTTGAAAAGTTCCGGCGCTGCGGTAGTGAAGCAATATATAGCAATAGCAAAACAATAACAATATATTACTATTTCATTTAATGTAAAAAGTTTGCAAATTAACATGATTTATCCTGATGATAAACGACTACAAGAAAATAACTTTTGTGTTGCCTACTTTATAGGTAAACCGCTTAACTGAGACCTCACCTGTGGGGTACAGGGTGTGGGGGAGGACGACAACGGGGGCAGTGACAGGTGCGGGCAATTGTAATTTTGACAAGAATGTGCCTGCCGCCCGCACCTCACACGGCCCCAATTGTCGTCCTCCCCCACACCGCAGGCAAGGACTCAATTAAGCGGTCTACCTATAACTAACCCACTTTACTACACCCACTTACTAAAATGTAGTGTCTATCAAAGACCGCTAAAATAGGGTTCCAAACTCTTACAACTGAACTTCAGTACTAACACAACACGCACACAAACAAAACAAAAAATACTTTGCCATATCGAATAGCTACCAATGAATTCGGCTAAACACTCATTAGGTAAGATATTGTTAAACAGAAATCCCAACCAATCCCTAATCGGCGTAATAATCGCACATTTTTCGCCCCACCCACTTGATCGCAGTTTGCGTGGAACCACTTTTAAGCTGAGTTCATATTAAAAATTATTTCTAATTCGTCGATGCTATCTTAATGTTTGCGACACAGGCGGCGATCGACAGCGAATAACAGACTATACACGGGCGAATTCCCTGAAAAGTTCAAGAAAGTTGTGGCGAATAGTACGGTGTTCCTCTACCCTTACTTATTGCCGCCGCTACCGTACGGCGCCGACAGCAAGAGAAAATACAGCTACCTGCGCTCCGAAGACGAGTAAGTTGTCAGACGTAACGTTTGCTTATATTATACTCATTTGTCGGTAGCCAGATATAAATCGACTCGTCTTATACATACTAAAATACACTAGTGGGCTTATATTATTAGGTTGATTTGCTAGGGCTAGTCTGAAAGGCAATACGTCTAATCTTCAAACCTTATATATCCATTTAATTACCTCCCATTGCCGCTTCCGGTGGGTATCACAGTGACGCTCATGAGAGTGCACATATTCCCCTAGCTCACATACATAAAATAGTTCTAAGTTTTACTTTTTTCCTGTCTTCCATACCAAGAAAATGCAGTTTAATTATGTAGTGTAAATCTGTAATTTGCTTATTTTTTTATTTAATTTACGTTTATTATGTCGAGTTATATGCTGTGCACTTATAGTTCATTAAATAAATTAATGTATTACATCGACAAGGCCTAGTACATTAGTGGTACGTGGACAACAACCCGGGTATATTTAAACGGAAGACACACAGTCACCCTCGGCACCGTTTGGGGTTGGCGTTCACCGTGGAGCTGGTGACCAAGCACATGATCCCTTAGGTCGCATAGTTAAAATAATCATTAAATCAATAATCATCACGAAGAGGATGCAGGAGGATAGTGGGCGTTTGAGCTGAATATAAACTAGCTATTAACGAAGTCCTTATTGAGTCTTCACAAAATACACTAGAGGGTTTAGTCAATAGAGAATCAAGAGATCATCTAATCAAAAAACTGAACTCCACTACACACTTTTATAGTACTTTTATGAGTGATCAAAGCGTTCTGCTTCGTTCGCGTCAAGCCGGCGACTAAATCAACTAAATGATCAATGACTATAGCCAATTTGAGTGTGTTGCATCTGTACACTGATTGTGCATGTAAGAGTAAGACCACGGAGGGGCGTTTAGTTTTAGATTAGACGATTTCTTTTCATATTATCAGGTTGATTGCGCTGGGTCTGGATCAGTTCTGGCCTTACGTGGACAACAACCCGGGTATATTTAAGCGGAAGCAGAACTCACACCCTCGCCACCGTTGGGGGCTGGCGGTTACCGTGGAGCTGATGATCAAGCACATGTTCCCGTGGCTCACTTCGCGTATAATCCGACAGCGCATCACCAGCGCGCGATCTCACGCCGATCCCGACAACCCCATATACGTAAGTATATTCAACTAGCGGCCGCCCGCGACATCGTCCGCGTTAACTTTTTTTTTATAAAATAAAAAGAAAGGTCAAAAATAAAAGTAGCCTAAGTTACACCTTATTACATCAGCTACCTGTCAATAAAAGTCCCGTCAAAATCGGTCCAGCCATTTCAGAGATTAGCCGGAACAAACAGAGAGACAAAAATTGTATAAAATGTTATTTTAGTGTATGTACCTATATATATTCATATGCATGTAGTAAAAAGTGGTTATTTAAATATTACAAACAGACATTCCAATTTTATTATAGATGTATAGATTAAGCCCAAAACACACACATAAAAAGAGATGTAAAATAAAAAAAGGAAACTTTGTTTTTTCACCATTTTGAAAAAAAAACATGACACAGACCTTTATTATTTTTATTTTTTTGTAAGAAAACTTACGTACATATGCTGTTCACGTGCGATAGAAGTGAAACTGACAAAAATATTGACACGCACGTAAAAGTCCTTCATGACTAGGTACGTCTTAAAGACAACACCTGTGTTAAAATTCAAAAATGAATAATAGCTTAATAAAAGAAAAACATGAAAACGTGCGCTATGTTTATATTATTAAACTAATCACTTCAAATGACACATTAATATACTATTTAATTTCAGTATTAGTAATTTTAGTTTTCGCAAAAAAAATTTGCTTCCTTACTTAGACACCAAGTTTCATAAATGAACTTGCGATCGCACGCTCCATCTTAGGTATTTTAAGCAAACTATTTTAAATTTTAGATAATTTAAAGCACGCATACTTATTATGCTGGTCTTGCTACAAAAGCACTGCCGTAATCGTTTAAGAAAATGCTTGATTTCTCGATATTTGGCGGCACTAATACGAATTAAAAACGATTTTTTTACATATTTTACAGAAATTGCAGAGCAAGAAATAAACTGTAATAAATATATCAGACGATATCCATTAAATAAATATTGACAACATCGTATACATAATATTTCCATTCAAAATTAGTAAGTTGAAGCTTTTGTATAAAGGGAATTATAAAACTACAATAAAATAGTTAGCTAGACCCGAGAAAATAAAAAAAGTGAATTTTATAAGTTGACCCGACCGGGGTTCGAACCCGGTACCCCGCGAGATTGCTAGGTTGATTGATTACAAAAACATTCTTGCTTTTGCGATAGATATAAAATTGATGAAAAAACTTTACAAACGTATATTACGCGCCTACCGAACGTTTAATAGTTAACTATTCAGGTATTGTAAAATATTGGGCAAATTTAAATATTCTATACTTAAATTGTTTCTAAAAATAAATAATAGCGTAATAAAAGAAAAAAACAAATAAAAATAAACTACCGAACTCAGGCTCGAACCACCGATCAATTGGTGTCAATCCCAAGACCATAACCGTTGGCTTATTTGTCTCTGAAGGGTGAATGATAAAATTACGGATACCTATCTTGTGTCATATACTCCACTTCCGTTTCATCGAATGTCAAATCACAACGGTGCTAAAGAAGTTTCACTTCAAAAAATATTAAAAAAAAAAAATTTTTTTTTTATCGACATGTGTGATAAAAACTATAATAATTCATTGTTGCCGGACATTTTGAACCACAAATTTTTTTGCAGCAGCTTCCACGGCCGGCTCGCGCCCGCTATATGTGTGAACACAATGAGCTGCACCCGCACCCGCTTTGTGTGTGTTTTGGGCTTTGATGTGGACAATATAAAACGTGCAATCTCACTACTTTAGTCGTCCAGCATAACGGGCAGTGTATGATATATGGTGCGTGAAGTGAAGTAAAGTTAGACAAGCAACGATATTAAATACCCTAGATACATCACGGTCGCTATAAATGTGTCCCAATTAAGAAGTGCTTGAATTCCACTCAAGCACTTCTTGGATCACAGTCACGCGCCGACCATTGAAAAGTCAAGATGCCGCAAAGCTCCGTGAAAAAATGCGAAAAAAATACTTAGAGTACGTAAAATGACGTTTTAAAGGTATCTAATCAATGTTTGTTAATTTAATGCATTTGAAGCAAATTTTGATGTAATAGCAAGTATTAGAACGAAATTTGCTCATAAACTGATTTGCAAATATGAAATATTTGTAATAATTAAATTCATGGTCGGTTATACGTCGCCGTATAGCCGTCTCTTTTCCTCGCGGTCCGTACCTGCTATATTGCTCACAGCGCATTCAAAATTGCGCGTAGAGTTAAAAAGATAAGGTCTATATTCTTGCCCATATAGCAATATCGAAAATAGAAGCTTGTATTTCGAACTGTCATAACTCTTCGACGCATGCGTTTTAATTAAGACTTTATACTTTATGCATTATAGGTGACTTTCAATATTTAAAAATTGCCTTACATTGTTTTTGTTACCACGCGATCATCTTACGGAGCTCCGTGTATCGTCCTGTAGCTTTTGGACACGTTTCGGCCACGTTTTTGTTCGTGTGTTGTATCTAGGGTAGGTAGTTAATATCGTTGTAGACAAGTCGTAAACGCAATGTAGGATTTTGCAGACGCGCGGGATGTCACTGAGCTGTGAAACCTGCGCATAGATAAGCTCGCTGCTAACGGCCATAAAGTTCGGATCGCACTAAAGTGTATTACAAGCAATTTGGTTTGCAGGCCTGCCAGTGGTGTGCATAACTAGGGTTTTAGATAAGGGCAGCTCAGAAGTTAAATTAAGTTTAGCAGTTGACGCTAACTATGTACATAATAATTAAAGTGGAACTAATTAAAAGCTTCCTGTAGCTTTATTAGTTGCCTGTTTTAAGATATTGATAGTATGTATGTCTTGTATATTTGATAATCTCTGCTTGTTACATTATTCAAAGAACTATAATTAAGATCCGTAATACTTTGCGTATTGCGTTTGCTTCTGTGATACAACCAAGACTGACATATCGCTTTGGTGCTAACAGTATTTGGTTAATCGCAGAAATTTCTCACGACTGGCGAGGTGACGCCAGTGAAGCACAAACTGATTCCGTTCAACCCTAAGATGACTTTATACGAGCAGCCCGAAATAGAGATGCCCAGGTGCTGGCTACGGCATCTTGGCAAAACCAGCAAACGGTTCAAGGTACTACGATCTTATTAGCTTTGTAATATATATTTATATATAAACATTTGACATCTTCTAGGAAATCCCATAACTTTTAACATAATTTGCATTATATACTTAAAATACCTGCAATCAGTATTGTATCACATTAATCCTTATAAATCGAAACTATTTACAAAAGTCTCGATATCCTGTATAAAAATAAATTATTTCAGAGATACTATATATCTATTACTATAATCATAATATATATATATATATGTATTATTACACTATTTATATTTACTGCTTTAAATGTGATTTCCACCTTAGTTGTGCACTCTACCACTAATTTACTCCACAACACCCTATGGTTGACTGGTAGAGAATGCCTACGGTATTAAGTCCGCCATTGTACACTTGTGCATGAAGAATTAATATTGTTTTTAAACACACCAATTAGCCTAGCCCCAAAGTAAGCACTGTAAGGCTTGTGTTATGGGATACTAGGGTAACGGATAGAATACTTATACTGTACATATATAAGCATATTTATATAGAAATACATATTAAACATCCATGACTGGAGTACAAATGCTCGTATTCATCACACAAACATCTGCCCCCACCGGGATTCGAACCCTCTGGAGTTGGCGTCACCATGAAATCTGGCGTACAAACCACTCGGCCACGGAGGATCGTCTAAATCTCTCAATTTCAATTAAAAGAAGTCGATTTTAATCACGTAAAGAATCAAGTTTCATTAAAAGATTTTAATTTTCTAGGTATTTTTAACACGGCGGCATAATCACACAGGGAGTGCGCCAGAAGGAGTAGAAATAGACGTGAATTCTCTCATAGAGCCGCCTCCCAAAGAGCCTCTGCACATAGACTTCACCAAAGAGATAAAAATGTCAAGACCCGACCCGACATTAGCGGACCCGCATGGATACGATGTGATACCGGAAGAAACACAAACAGCGCAAAATTTATACCAGCTCGTTCAAACCAGTGAAGGGGCCGCCCTGGTGCCCGTAGTTGTGAAGTCTGATGTCGACAAAATTACTATAAATTTAAACTCAAAGATAGCTGAACAAACAAACACGGTGACTTGTAACGATGTACCCATTTCAAGTGCTGTAGAGGCGAAAACTATCTCAAAACTCATCAATGGAGTTGCAATCGAAATAGTGGGCACAGAGCATCACTGCTGCTGCTGCATTATGCTTAGACAAATATGTAAAACCAAACAAACTGTGATAACGGACTATTTTAGAAGTAAGAATATAAATGAGAATAAATCTAAATCTAGCGATAATTGTCAGTGTAACAAAAGTAGGTATCCAGCGGTGACGAAAAAGTTGAGGCTTTTAATAAAGAGGTATAAATTTAATTCCAAATGTATTTATGAGGACATTCTGAAGAAACTAAAAGTGAGAAAAACGGCCGAAGATAGGTATTTGGACGGGGCGATAGAGCCTTACAGCATGGAAGACTTGGGTGAGTGAACTATCGGATTTGTTCAGAGGCCTAAGCTCGAGTTATTGACAGCTCCGTAAAGTATCGTTATCGTCAAAATGTGTATGGAATAAAAAGCTAGTTTGTTCTTACGTCCGCTAGGGGCGCTGTTTAGTTTTCATATAAACTTTGACGTTGGGATACGTTACGGAGCTGTAAAAAACCTGATGCTTGGGCCTCAGTCCCTGGGGCAGTATTATGAACTCTTAATGCTAACCAAAAACCTTCTGCAGCAGAAGGACAGAGGAGCAATATCCCAGAAATAGCAAAATCGCAAGTCTTTTTTTTTGTAAATAGCCAGCTAGGCAAATGACTCTACCCCACATGATGTTAAGTGGCGATAAAGTCCAAACGCGAAAATATCTGGTACAGTAGTTATAAACTGCCACACCAACCATCCTCACCTTGCCGGCCTGCATAGATTAGAATAAAGGCAGACGTACTGACCCACGCAGAAAACCAAAATAAAATTGAATAGTTACAATTCATACAATTTTATTTAATTTTTTTATTAGTATTATTTATTTTATATTTTTTTATTACTTTAAGCCGAATTCATTCATGTTTGTAACTTTGGCTAAACGTATTCAAACAATTTATTGCAGAAATTGAATAAAAAAGCTTGATCAATTTTTTTTTACCTTATGTTGTGAAATAAATTTTCATGACTATTCATGACAATTAAAAGTGGCCAGTAAGATACATAAAGCAAAGAGTTTACAAATTGATACTAAGGTTTACATCAATTTGTTTTATTCTATATAAATAAAATAAATAAATATTTCCAACACCCACACCAATAATTAGCCTAGCCCCAAAGTAAGTACTGTAAGGCTTGTGTTATGGGATAATAGGGTAACCGGATAGAATACATATATTGTACATATATAAGTATATTGATATAGAAATACATATTAAACATCCATTACTGGAGTACAAATGCTCGTTATTTATCACACAATTATTACTGAGATTTAGTGACTATGACGCTCGCTTAAAATCTTTAGAGGTAAAAGAAAAGGAAAACGAGCTCCTCAAGGCACAAATGGCGAAACTGGAAGATCAACTTCATAGACAGACTCTTAGTTCATTGCAGTCGCAAATTGAAATTATTGGTATCTCCGAAACACCCGGAGAAAATCCTCACCATTTGGCCTTGACGACTGCAAATAAAATCGGCATCGCGCTTCATGAATCCGATCTTCATCATGTGTATAGGGGTGGACCTCGAATCAGAGGAGATCAAAAGGAAAAGGACTCGGTCCGCCTGCCGCGCCCCCTTGTAGTTACATTTACTAGAAGGTTAAAGCGAGATGAGTTCTTGAAAGGAGGGAAAACCAGACGCACGCTAGAGAGCTGCGACATTGTTGGTGCGGGACCACAAAGAAAAGTCTACATTAATGAACGACTTACATATGAGGCCCGTCAACTTTTTCGCACCGCCCGAAATTGGACTCGCGAAAACAAATACAAGTTTTGTTGGGTGCAAAACGGCACCGTTTTCATCAGAAAACGCGAGGGACGTGAGGGTAGCCCGCCTATCCAGATTCGCTCGTCTGAAGATCTCCAAAAGCTGTCTGCGAGACGTGACGATCAAGAGCAGGCGCAGGCGGACAAGCCTCCAGCATCTGTTGTATGTGTTTAAATTTTCACATATTCTACAATTTTTAAATTTTTTATTAATAGTTTCCTCTAAATATTTGTTAACTACACTACACAAATTCACATTCACACTACCTTATAATACACACACACTTCAACTTTCCCAAGCAAGCTTTAGAAATATTCGATACCGCATCAGATTTTTAGAACTCATTTATTATGTCTGCAACATTCATAATTCCACACCACATATTATCTTGGCAGGATTTTTGACTTATATATCTTTGAAAAATTTATCTAATGGTTTTACTTACAAATATTCATGGCGGCACTAGAATTAATATCTGAAATTGACGAATCTTTGAACTTTGAATGTCATGAAGTTTTTCATCCGGAAGAGTGTGGTAAAATAATAAATAAATACCCCTTAAAGGTACTTCACGTTAATATACGGAGCATGCAGAGAAATTTCGATGGGTTTCTAGTAATCTTGGCAAGATTAAAAATTAAGTTTGACATTATAGTATTCAGTGAATGTTGGTTAAATGACACGACTATAATTAGGAATATAGATGGATATAAATGCTACAATACATCTAAGCACATTAACAAATCCGGGGGATTAATTGCGTATGTTAACAATATATGGTCAGCAAATGTTCAAGAACCTTCTATTGATGAGGCAAACAGTCTATTAATAGAGGTTCCAAATGTATTTACCTTACTGGGCCTGTATAGATCACCTTCATTTAGAAATACGTCTACTTTTGTTGCTTCTTTGGAAAATTGCTTTACTCTGATTAAACGGTCGCCTTGTCTCATTCTTGTCGGTGATATAAATATTAATATTCTCGGTCTATCGTCTAGTGATGAAAATACCTCCTCATATCTTACTCTTTTGTCAGAACAGGGACTCGCCCCTTGCATAAATATCCCAACTCATATTAATTCTTGTATAGACCATATTTTCATCTCTACAGCCGTAAAAGCAGAGTCTCTTGTTTGCCCCACTGACCTGACTGATCACAGTCTAGTTATGGTGGGTATAAATAGGGAGATCAGTCAAAGTCGTCCTAAAATGAGATCGAGGGTAAGGATTAATTACGATGCTCTTAAGACAGAAATAGAACAGATTTGTTGGTCGGATATTTTAAATAAATCCTCTCTAGACGACGTAGTCACAGATTTCACGGAAACTCTAAATAATGCTATAGCCAAGCACTCCAAGGTCCATTATGTTAGCCATTCTAAATTCAATATCCAACCCTGGATGACCCCTGGCTTAATACGCTGTTCTAAACATAGGGACAAACTCCACTTAGATTTCAGAAAGGACCCTGAAAATGCGCAGAAAAAACTAATATATTGTAGATACAGAAATTTTTACAAGAGACTCCTTAGAAACTTAAAGGCTAACTTTGACAGTAAGGAAATAAACACTAATAAAAATAAACCAAAAAAGCTTTGGTCTACCATAAATAAAATCTCACACAGATCCTCAAAAAAATCTAACACATCTTTGCAGGATATAGCAAGTATTGCGGGAACTGCGGAAGACTCTTTGGAAGCATGCAATAGCTATTTCTCGTCAATGGGTTCAAATCTAGCGCACAACATCTTGTCAAAGTTGAATGAGACACATGAAAGCTTGACATCGAAATATGTTATTAAAGAGTCCTCACATAAGTCACTCTTTCTTACACCTACGGACTCAGAAGAGATCTTATCACTAATAAAAAACCTAAGCTCGAGTAGCTCATCTGGTCTAGACAATATAAATAATCAAACCCTAAAAGTGATTGGACCCATGTTGGCAGAGCCACTTACTACAATTTTCAATAGAAGTATAGAAACAGGAACTTTTCCAAAATTATGGAAGGAGGCAGCTGTTACTCCTATTTACAAGAATGGCCAAAAAAACGATCCCTGTAATTATCGCCCGATTTCTCTTCTAGGAAATATATCCAAATTACTAGAACGAGTCATAAATAGGAGACTGGTAGCTTTCATGGAGGCAAATGATATATTGTTTGATCGACAGTTCGGCTTTCGACGGAACAAATCCACAGAAGATGCTGTTACTCTCCTGACTAATACAGTGGTCTCTTTACTTGACAAAGGTACCAAATGCATCGGCGTCTTCTTGGATCTTGCAAAAGCATTCGATTCAATATCAATTCCGATCCTCTTAAAGAAACTAGAAGCGTACGGTATACGAGGAAACTGTCTTAAATGGTTTACTAGCTACTTGTTGGGTCGGAGTCAATGTGTTAGAATCAATAACATCAAAAGCAGCACGAGACCTGTGACGTTTGGAGTTCCGCAGGGTAGCATTCTAGGGCCTACACTTTTTCTGCTCTACATAAATGACATTGCTTCGGTGCATTTAAGAAATGCAGAGGTTTGCTGCTATGCTGACGATACTGCCATTATTTTTTATGACCGGAACTGGTCAGCAGTTCGCCAAAAGGTGGAGGATGGCATGAGACTTATATCAAGTTGGCTAAGTAGTAACCTTTTGTCTTTGAATGTATCTAAGACGAAGTTCTTATGTTTTCATAAAACTGCGGCTTCTGCGCCTGTCGAAATGAAATCTATTAAAATACACTCTGCTGATTGTGTTCTCTTACCTCCCTCTGATAAATGCAGTTGCGATGACTGTACTCAGTCTGACTCCATAAAATACCTTGGTGTAGTGCTGGACGACAAACTGACATTTAGAGCACATATAGCGGAAATGTCTAAACGTGTGAGAAAACTAATTAATGTAATGAAGAACCTTCGAGATGCTGTCGATTGGAATGTTTTGAAGACGATTTATGTAGCTTTGTGTCAGCCTCTTGTTAATTACTGCATACTGGTTTGGGGTGGATCCAGTTCTATGATACTCATTCCTCTAGAAAGAGCCCAAAGAAGCGTTCTAAAAGTTGCCTTGAGAAAATCCAAAAGATATGCAACAAATGCTCTTTACGAAGAAGCTCAAGTCTTGAGTGTCAGAAAATTGTACTTAATGCGGGTGGTCGTCTCAGTGCACAAAACAGTGATAAGGGGCAATAAATACAGTGAGATGTTGCAAAAAAGAGTGTTCTCAATACCAAATGTTACTGTTGCTACCTCTTTTGCTAAACGCTTCGGAATCTTTCTCGGTCCATACATTTATAACAAACTAGTTAACATATCGAATCTCAAGCACAGCTCCGTTCGGGAGATGCGAAATAACATCTCAAAAATGTTATTAAAATGGTCGTATGACAGAGCTGAAAATCTTTTAAGGATAATGATGTGATTATACACATACGCACACACACACACACACACACACAAAACACTCACATACATACAAACATACGCGCATCACCAATGTATCCATTCTTTTAAGTTGGTTGTATTTTTAGGCCGTAAGTTATATATTGTTAATTTTTTACTTCCCCCATAGGACGGGCTTCGCCTAGTATGGGTGACTGTTATGTCTTATTGTAATTTTGTTTATGAATAAATGGATTATTATTATTATTATTATTAAAAATATCTGCCCCCACGGGATTCGAACCCGGGACCTCTCGAGTCGGCGACACCATGAAACCCGGCGTATAAACCACTGGGCCACGGAGATATCCTACATTATCTGTCTTTATTGAAATCTGTCCTACTGCTTATCTGGAATTTTGCTATTCCGAGATACTGCTTATCTGTCATTCTGCTGCAGAGGGGACAAAAACAGCGGAAGTGGGATGCGATAGCGATGTCTTAGTCTAACTATAGGAATTGTCAAGTTACGGCCTTTGTTGTTTAATTTGCACACTCGCACAAATAGGGATGATGACGGAGTTAAGTAAACGTAATTATATTTAATCCGTCAGTTACAATATAAAAAATAATGTACATTTATTTTTCCTTTTGTCAATCCACCAAAAAATTACAAGAGATAAAGCGCATCCAAATTTGGGAGTGGGGGCTTATGACGTCAATTCTAAGTAATAATTGTACCAAGACATGACGTAATGCGACATTTTAAATCAATATAATTATGCCTTTAATATTTTGATTTTGTGAATAAAGAAAAAATACGTGTCCAATCCTTTTTGATAGTCTACCTACAGGTCGCGTCATGTAAAAAGAACGCTGAAAGAAAGTGTAGGGAGTGTGTTTGCGCATGGGTACACTCGTACACAAAAGTACTAGGTCTTTTGTTTGAAATATTTATTAATTAGGCTTGCGTTCGCAGCTTCGTATATTAATTATTCCAAGGTACATGGCAAAAAATATTAGAATATTATTAAATAGAATTAAAACATGTTTAATTCAGTGTAGAATGTTTAATATTTATTAATACAAGCTTTTAAAAATTAAAGTAATGTTGAATTACGTCGTCCTGGGTGAAATGAAAACCAGATGGGGAAGGTAACTTCTTTAGTAACTTGCCTATAGTAGGCAATTCTTTTTTAGTGACGTGGAAATTGTGCATGGTTCTTTTCATAACACCTTGGTCAGGACTGTTAATATCTGTAATTGGTTGTTTAATTCTTTTGTTTTTGCCGGGAGTTCGGAAGACTGTAAGAAATTCCGAATCATTGGAACCTTTTACAATTCGTCTCACTGTAGACTCTGAACAGTTTGTTGTCTCTGCGGTCCGTTTCATACATTGTTTTATATTAACAACTGGTGGCCCGCCCTCGCTTCGCTTCGGTGTAGAGCTGTAGTGTAGACTAAAATGACTCTTCATATTGTCTTGCCTACCCGGAACTGGAGAGGTAACATTTGAAATTTATAGTATGGTATTAAAGTTCAAATTGAATTTTAAGTAATATTACGAATCGTTTGTATGGGAGTATAGAAAAGTGTTGCTTTTGGGCATTTTCAGGCATTTTTTTAAAATTTTCTCTGCGTATAACCATCCTCGTACTTCAAGGAATATTCTAAAAAAAGAATTATCGTAATCGGTTCTGCTGTCCTCAGCGACTCATTTTTATATTATAGATTGCATTATTATCAGCCTCTCTCTTCATAAAACAATAAACGTCATAATTTTTTTTTTTTTAACTTTTCTATGTAAAATTATTCGAATTCGAACTATTTCGAATTTAAAACTTTTGTGTGCGATGGTATTTTGAGAGCAAACGAAACGTGAACACAGCGCAGAAAGCAAGGGTCGACTGACGAACCAATAGCGTTCCGGTAAGCATGCCTGGCCTGGTAAGAAGGCCTGTGCCCCAGCAGTGGGGACATTAAGAGGCTAATGATGATGATGATAAGCATGCAGCGCGTGAGCCACCCGCCCCGCGCCGCGCCTCTTACCACCAAATAGACCGATAAATCGCCTACTGCGCAGCCTTAGCGCCAGCGTTCTTTTGACGTGACCCGACCTGTAATAGACGAAGCAAAAAGTTAGACATAATTCCACGCCTTCTTAAAAATTGCGGTATCAATATGTTCAGTGAATTTACCTGGACAACGCAAAGGTCGATTCCAGCCTGGCACTCAAGACGGGTTTTACTTTTTTTGCTCCAAATACCTAAGTATAACAATTTCAATATCATGCAAACACGAGTGTCTATTTCAAACTCGAATAGGTTTTTTTAAGTAATTGTCTAATATTCAGTGCTTTTCATGTCATATAGTGCTCTCGTATCATGAACTTTGTATTGCATATTTTTGTGTAAGTAATAAATTTCTATTCTATTCTCTACCCACAGCCTACGTTGCCGAATTCCAACAGAAGTTAACCATACGCGTTCAATTAGCGAGGAACATCCAGATAAAGTATCGCGTGTACAATCTACTGTCGAATTTCGATCTCGACTGGGACGATCCCATCAAGCTTGCCTTAGAACTGGACCAAGTGTTCAACATAGATTTGGTGGACGTATTCAAAGAGTTTGTCGGTTTTCTGAACCCTGAGCAAGCCGACAAAATTGGACGATTCCGTGACTACTTCATACACAACTGCGCTGGGGATCTGGTGAGAAAGATAGAAGTAAGTACGCGAAGTGAGTTGAAATTTTGGTTTTACTTTATTTCTTTTATAACTATGAAGAATTTTTATTTTTAAGTTAGTTTACTAATAACAATTTTCGCTTTATTGTTGACTATCGATGTAATTAGATGAAGTATATTAATACTAATAATAAAACGTTTATTGACTTTAAGCAAGTTACAATATACAATATTTTTAAACTGATGTGACAAAAATTGGTGACTATAGGCACATTGAAGCTTAAATACTAGTAAGTATCATTGTCATCTAATTCAATCAATTTAGGGCAAGTATGGGATATTACCCAAATATGGCATTTGCTTTTCTTACCTGCCAACAAGAGCTATAATTGTAGTGTAAGTACATATATATGTATGTTTGCACACAGCGACGTCAACATGAACTTTTAAATTCAATTTAAGTATCACTTGAGATATATTAATAGAATAGTATAACAACAAGCGACCTAATGGAGTTAAATTTATGGATACTTTATTAAGGCTCTTGAATTTTATAGTAGAGCTAGCGGACTTCGGCCTCGTTAACTTTTAGGTTACTTTTAGTCAAAAGAACAGGAACGTATCATTTTTCCGGGATAAAAAGTATCCTATGTCTCAATCCACGTCATGGGGGTTAGAGAGAAGGAGAACGATCGTTACGTGCTATAGCATTAGCCCGCCTGTCCCTGAAATTTTTTGTAGAATTTATAGTTCATTTTTCAGCCACCAGCCGCGCTGCCGTCGGTAAGTAGTATCTGTGAAGTTAGCTATTTATGAGTACAAGTAGATGAAGTTAGTTGAATAATGTACAAATTTTTTTTCGCAGCATTGGTCATTTCAAATTACCGCACAACAGCCCGCTTTTATTGAGACAACTTGGCAATCGCAGCGCCTCACTTATTTTGTCCATATTTCTGGGACACTATTTTCTACAGCGATCGTACTTCTTCTCTCTAACCTCCACGATCCAGGTCATAAACTATATCCTTGAACTTTAAAATACCTACCAACTGTTTTATAGGACTACCTATAAAATAGTTGGTAGGTATTTTTCATCCAATTTAGTTCAGTAGTTTTTGCGCGATTGAGTAACAAAAATTTCACATCAATGAAATTAGTAGGGTGGCCGTTACCTAGACATTTATTTTCAGTTTTAGTAAGTATATTGTTAATTTAATTTGTGAAATCACATTAACGGAAGTATCTGCAATTTTGTTTCTCTTCAAAGGAACATGTGAAAGATGAGACGACGAAAGAGTCTCTTCTGAAGCAAATCAGCATGGTTTTTACAGCGCGCGATTGTACCCCGTGCTCGTTTTGTAGCGGGCTTCTGATGTTAATGCGTCCTTACCCACAACTAGCGGAATATACGTTCTCACTGTTCCCGCACGCTAGGCGACACAAGTAAGTATTAAATATACAGGGTGTATCACTCAAATTCCATTTGTCATCAATTTTTTAGCAGTGTTGAAAGTATTAACTATAGGCATAAGGTTGGAGGGGTGGATATCTGCACTAGTTTAAAAAAAAGCTTAGCGTTTGTCATTCAATGAACAGATTGAGTAACTTAACCAAGCTTATTCTTTGTTTTTTAATACCCCCTTTTAATAAACAAAGTATGAGATTTCAATAAAATTCAACTGGATTTTATTTCTATTTTAATTTTTTTAGCATTATTTTTAAACATTTATCAGTTTAATGCTAAATGTTTAAATCTAAAGTAAAATTTTACTAGAAAAATAATGCACGCAGACCAGGCAGCAGACGGGATTCGAGCCCTCCGCTATCCGGGCGGATGCACTGACCATTATGCTATCGCGACCCTATTATATATTAAGCTAGCGGCCGTCCGCGACTTCCTCCTCGTTTACTTTAGTTTTTTAACAATCCCACAGGAACCCAACGTTTTTCCCGGGTTCAAAAGTATCATATGTCTCAATGCAGGTCATAAACTACAGAGTTAATTTTGAAATACCGGTAACCTCGCAGCACTAGATAGCTAACATCATACGCAACATTTGTTCTACGAGTTTTAACATAACTCAATACAAAAAAAAAATATTGATCAAAATCAATAAACATTTTTTAAGTTTTTGATACACTGTCGTGACATTTATACGTCTATGCTTTCTTCATAATCAAAAGGGCAATGCTTGCGCACTATCCAATAATTAATTATTAATATGAGGCAAGTGTTAAATCTACCACCACAGCGCCCCAACTGATCCTTACCTGCTAGTGATGCCCCCTGCTGGTTAACGGACGAGGTTAAAGGCGACCGATAAAGGTGGTATAACCGTTCTAGATTAAGCTAGACTGGATAATACCAAAGATCAATGTCTGGCAGCAGTGGCAACGGTGTGATCAGTCTGGCTCTGTGAAATAGCCAAACCGACCAGCGTGGCCATTCATTGGGCAAAACCTAAAGGGGAACATAAATACAACGAAGACCCCCAGTCCCCGGTGGCCCTGCTGTCTTCTGCTGGCTTCGGCAGCGGTCAGAGTAAAGACAGGGCAGGGGTGCTAAGAATTTCCGCTCAGAATCTAAAATTTCATTCTTCATAGTCCGCCTGGAATTTAGTCGCAAGAGTCAGAGTCTATGATTGCTCAAAGGACCAGATTAATATTGAGAGTGTAATTTTTAATCGAATTTAGAGTTAAGGCTAAGAATAAAATAATTAATTTCCTACAAGCACTATCGAGAATATTATATAGAAATAACAACACCAAATCCCCGACATTTGTGCCCAATGTTTGTTTTCATCATTATCAGCCTATTAATGTCCCCACTGCAGCGGTACAGGCATTCCCTATGGATGGAATAGGGGCTGGGTTATGACCCACCACGCAGGTCCAGTGCGGATTGGTACCCACCAATAATATAACAATATTCTAGCATCCGCTAACGACTGCAGATGCAGCCAGGACCAACGGCTTAACGTGCCTTCCGAAGCACGAAGGAGCAAAATAGTAAATTTTTGGTCACCCATCCAATTACCGACCACTGCGAACGTTGCTTAACTTCAACGATCGCAGCCGGACGCGCTAACCATCGCCATCGAGCTCCTCAATCAGTGTTTGTCTTAAAATGATTTAATATTTTGTTTTGAGAATTTTTACTACTGTTTTTTTTTGCTCAACAGTCGTCCTAAGGACGAGAAAGTCGATTCGAATTTAAATGCTGCGCCATCATCGCAAGCCAACAGTCAAAAGACATCGAACGCCGAACACCCAGCGACCGAACCGCTGGCGAAAACGGACGATGCGAGGTCCGGCGAGGAGTACGAGGCTGACCATTCTTCGAGGTTCGTTGCTATTTTAGCCTATTATAGACCAGTCAACAAAATTTAAAAAATAGAATATGTTATTTAATAACTATTGTCTGATTGTTTACATTGAAAAATAACCAGAAAACTCATTTTGTAGATATTAACGGGATTGTTACCATGTACCTTGTTTTTTATGAGTCTCCGATATTTACTTAGAGTTACTCCGTGATCATGGCGCTTGCAACAGTGCCGAAATATCGGAGACTCATAAAAAACAAGGTACATGGTAACAATCCCGTTAATATCTATAATGTTAGTGACCATGAAAGTTTAAAACAATATAAACTCATTTTGATTTTAAAAAGTTTACTTTTGTATATTATAAAATGATAAATTAAAATATATGAATATTGTAAAAGGAGGGACTACTACTGCTTTTAATAATTAAAAGAAAGGAGAGCAGTCACTCAGTGTGTGTACACGCATTTTAGAGTAACGACGTAATTTGTGATTCATGAAATATTATGTGTTTGATATCAAAAACATATTCATAAATGAACACACTTTAAACTAAATTACAAGCCCGTGGCGTGTGTACGTGCCTCCCTTATTAGGTTCCAATTCAAGTTATAACTTGTAATCAATGAATTAGAAATAACATGGAATACGAACTGCGCTAAAAAGTGGTTCCACGCAAACTGCGATGAAGAGCGAAAAAAAATGCGATCAACACGCCGATCATGGGATTGGTTGGATTTCCGTTTAACATTATCTTACTCAATGAATGGATAGCCGAATTCATTTGCAGATATTTGATTTACATGTTTGATTGCTTATATTGAAGTTTAGCTGTATGAGTTTGGAGCCATGTTTTAGCTGCCTTTGTTAGAGAGTAATGCTTCTATATCATTTCTAATTCTTTGCTTGTAACGCCACTGTCACTTAACGTCCCCTTTATTTTATAGCAGTGAAGAAAATGATGGCGACACAACCGTTGTACCATTGGATCAATGTCCTACCGACGATTCTATTCTGGATCAAGAAAAAAAAGAAGCTCCGACGATAATTAAAACAGTGCGTGTATTATATAATATTGTTTCAAAATCACCACTACCTTCAAATTCTTGTCGTATTAGAGTTTGCAAAAAAGAACAGAAGTAAAAGAGGATTAAAATGCAGTAGTTTACAAAGAAGCTAAAATTTTTATCTAAGACCTATCTTCCTTCACAGCTTATTTCTATTTTGGTATCATTGTTGATTTTGTAATGTATATAGTTAATATCCTGAATGTTTTTAAAATTTACAAGAAGTACCTAATGAAAATATTTCTATAGGAAGCGCCAATGTCAGACGAATTTGTTACATCAGAAGAAGAGTTCGTTAAATCAGAACCAGCCGAGTGGAAACGGGATGAAGATAAACTCATTTTAGAAATGTTGAAAGAGCACTTGACTCCGGAAGAAAGGAAAGATAAGACCATCCTGGAAATAATTGAGGAAAAGCAAATCGTCCAAATCCTAATGCAAAGTCTAACAGAAAAGTCATTTAATGACATAAAGGAGAGAATGATAGTAATCTTGAATTTGCTGGTTTTAGGAAAATTATAATTTATTTATTTTGTTTAAGGAATAAATGAAGGCGCTTTTACTTCATATTAATTTCATTTTTTTTGATACTACATCTATAAAGGAACCCTATTAGTTCTGACGCCTCAACCCCTGAGCTAATTTTGATATATTTTAGTATAGATATGAAAGGGGGAGGGAACTATATTGTGTAATTGAGACTTGGCTCGGTTCCGTCCATTAAAACGGCCCCGATGCCGAGTCTTCTGAAATATATTGTTGACATGGAAACATACGTTTTCCTGTTACGTTAAAGCAAAATGAAAACGCTCAGATAGCATCTTTTTGTTGCGAAAATTTCTACCCTTTATTCATAAATGAAGCATACGCTAGGATTAGTTACTCCATGTTTTGTCTCTGTTCATTGAATGACAAATGGCATTTCAGTGATATGAACAAAACATGGCGTTGCTAGTCTAAGCTTATTTCTCATTTATTATTAAGGGGGTAAGGAGTGAAATTGTGTGAAACTTTATAGTGGCCCGACAGAAATTGTCCTGCCTAACTACAGTGCCACCTATTGAGCCATGTTGTGAATCTAAACTATGCGAAGATCTATTCTTAACACTTAAAAAATCGTCAAATTACACATTACTTCTATATTATTCGAATCATTTGATTGTAGAAGTCATTAAAATTATTCAAATAACCATACAATTATAATAATATAATGTTGTATTACTCTTCACAACTTACATGTTATGGGAGGCTATACAAAGTGGAAATAATCTTACATTACATATGAGTGTAATGCCTGAGACAGGTTATAGCAATACCTGTGTCACCAGGCCCCGCTCATCGGATCCGAAAATTTTGTAATATATGTTCGCGTCTACTCAAATGTTCGCAGCAAACCCGCACATAACAAGCTTATGGATTTTAATTATAAGAATCTTTTGTATACGGCATTCATTCTTCAACTTTTGTACTTGTTACTCACCTACTTTGCTCATTATAGTTTAAAATTTTATATCCGTTTGTTTTAATTAATGGCATCTCCTGCGAGGCAAATCTATACGCCGACATGGTCCTAATCGAAGCCAGATTGGAATATTTATGAAGTAAATATTAATCAGCGATTTATCAAAAAAAAAATTGAGATTGCCTACAAGATTATAAGAAGCTTACGGATACCGAGTGAAGATAAAATTAAACGGTGTTAAGTATAAATTTATAAATAAAATAGCCCAGCACTCAATCAGGTAATATAAGTGTAATAAGGATTACTAAATAACCAGGTTAGTAAAACTTAATGTTTTTTTTGCACTTGTAATTGTAAATTTTGTGTAATTTTACAATTGTAATTAATAGCTACATTATTTATTAGCTTATTTTAAATTCAAACGTACTTATTATACAGTATAGTTAGCAAAGTAGCTGCATTATTTGAACTTAATTTTATATTAAGTCAAGCTAGGTAGTTAATATGCAAGTCATTTTACAGTAGTGTTGGATTTAATATTGGTTATTATTAGAAATAAGAAAGTCTTAGTGCATTTTTGTGATAATTAACGATTGTTTTATAAAACAAATTAATTATTTGCGACTTTCGTAAAATAAATAGTTGATTTTTATTGATATTTCTATATAGGGTAGTTACTTCCGGTCTTAGGCAGCATAGTTATTTGGCATTTATAGTAGATAAAGGCTATTTTTAGACGGTTTTTATCATTTATTTACATTTCTTATTGTATAAATTCCAGGTTGACACCACCCGTTATCCCAATTCGACAAAATGAGCGAGGAAAAAGATTTGATTAAACGGCGAGCGAGTTTTAAAGGACGTTATTTATTAATTACTTACAAACACTTGCTAAGCCTATCACTGCTTCTGTTGCTAGGTAATTGCAAATGCGAATTGCAAGGTCGAATCTATTTATGAACAATATGATGAAGTGCAACTTCAATTGGAATGTTCGGTAGATGATATGCAATCACAGTTAACTGAGCGCGCTGATTTTGAGTCGCTTTATTGTAAGGCCTTGTCTAACGCGCAGGGATTATTAGATGATTTTAATAAATCATTGAATGATTGTCATAATAATGATAGGCCAGTTTCTAACGCCAGTAACCACAGACTAGTTAAGTTGCCGACCATACAGTTGCCTAAGTTCAGTGGGTCTTATGAAAATTGGCTTGAGTTTCACGATACCTTTACCAGCCTCATTCATTCTATCGAGTCGATTACTAAAGAAACTTCTGTTATTCTTAAACGATTGATAGATTAAATAAATAAGAACCTTCGTGCTCTCGAGTCTTTAGGTGAACCAGTGAAACATTGGGATACGCTTCTGATCTACATAATCACACAGAAGTTGGATCAGAGAACCTATCGTGAGTGGGAGGAGTTTAAAGGTCACTTACCAAAGGATAATTTTATTACATTTGATTTGTTTCTCCAGTTCTTGCGTAACCGTGCCGATTTAATCGAAACTTTAGAATTATCACGTAGTAATCAATGTAATTTTCATAATAAATCTCATTCTAAAATAAAAACTCTTGTTGCACAATATTCTTTTAATTCTAGTACAGAAAATTCTATAGTCATGTCGATAATGTAGAGGTGATCATCATTTAAATAATTGTCCCCAGTTTCTTGCCTTGAATACAGAAGCCTGTCTGAAGGTACTCCCGAGTTTAAAGGTTTGTTTTAACTGTTTTCGAGTTGGTCATTTTGCAAATACTTGTAAAAAGCCAGGATGTAAAATATGCAAGCGTCGCCGTAATACTTTGGTGCATTTAGGTGAAACAAAGCCTGCAGTTACAGCTGTGACTCGTAATTTCAGTACCGATTCTGAAAGTACAGCTTCACCAGGGGCGACTTACTAGCTTCTACTTCGACAACCGAAAATAGTGACGTCACTTTATCCTCTAATACTACTTCTTCTTCTAATGCACATGCAGGTGACGTATTATTGTCTACCGCCTTAGTTAAACTATACGATAATAATAATCACGAGCACATCGTTCGTGCCGTTCTAGACAGCGGTAGCACGTCAAGCTTAATAACTTTGAACATGTGTCGTAAATTAAATTTACCTACAAAGGAAATTGATAGATCGATACTAGGTATTAGTAACGTCACTACACACGTAGGTAAATCATGGCAGGTTTCTGTGAGATCCCTGAATGAAAGTTTCAGTGCTGATATTTATTGTTATGTTTTACCATTAATTACTAGTAAGATACCAGGTCGTGCAGTCAATATGTCAGGTTTGCAACTTCCATCAAATATTTGTTTGGCCGATCCTACATTTTACAAGCCTTCAGAAGTAGACCTATTGATAGGAGCTGATCTCTTCTGGGACTTAGTTGAGCCACAAAAAATAAAATTAGGTAAGCAGCAGCCTGTGTTATGGAAAACTAAATTAGGTTGGATTAGTTCGGGTCCCTTATATTATAATAATAATATTCTTTTATCGAGTGATATTAAGTGTTATTTTAGTTCCATCAATGAAAGTGTCGTTGATGATGGAAGGGATGACATCCGAACCGACTTAACGCGATTTTGGCTCTTGGAAGAAATAACCTTTAAGTCTCCTCATTATTCACCAGACGAAAAGCTCTGCGAGGAACATTTTGTTAAAAATACATTCCGTCTTGTTGATGGCCGCTTCTGCGTTCGAATACCTCTCAAGAGTAGTCCTGATGTATTAGGGAATTCTTTTCAAAGGGCCGAAAGATGTTTATTCTCATTAGAACGCAGGTTAATTAAAAAGCCGGACATCAGTAAAATGTATCGAGATTTTATGACGGACTATAAATTGTTAGGCCACATGAATGAAAGTCACACTACTGAATCGGATCGACAGTCATACTTTATGCCTCATCACGGTGTCTTACGCGAGAGCAGTACTACCACCAAGCTCCGAGTAGTATTCAACGCGTGCTCTGCTACTTCAACAGGTGTTTCTTTTTAACGAAATTCAGTTGGTTGGCCCTACAGTTCAGGATGACCTTCTGTCTATACTTCTTCGTTTTAGGCAACACAAGTACGTATTATCTGCCGACGTTGAGAAGATGTATAGGCAGATAGTCGTACGTCCATCTGACAGATGTTTGCAGCAAATACTTTGGCGCGATGATGTCAAACTAAATACCGTCACTTACGGTACAGTAAGTGCACCATTTCTAGCAACTAGATGTCTCATGCAAATAGGCTTGGATTGTACTAACCAAACTGTCACAGAAATAATCAAGCACGATTTTTATGTGGACGATTTGCTAACTGGAGGAGACAATTTAAGTTCTATGCAAGGTATACGTAACGATATCACGGATGCGCTAGCATCAGCTGGTATGACTTTGCGGAAATGGTTATCAAATGAACCTCAACTGGTGCTTGATTCAAGTAATTCATCTCTAAATTTAAATATTGGTTCTGATGAGCCAAATAAATTGCTTGGTTTGGGTTGGCAGTCAAGCACAGATAAGTTGTGTTTTCCAATACATTTGTCACTTCCCAACAGCAAAACAAAACGAGACTTGCTTTCAGTAATTTCGGGTATTTTCGATCTCCTTGGTTTATTGGCACCGTGTGTGATCGTTATGAAAATGCTTCTACAAAAATTGTGGTTATAAAAATTGGCATGGGATGAACCCCTATCTCCCAATATTACTAAACGATATTTATATTCCACGACACGTTATTTGTGTTAATTACCAATCCCTGCAGCTACACATTTTCACGGATGCATCTGAAAGCGCTTATGGTGCTTGTGTGTATGTCCGTAGTGTTGATGTCAGTGGAGTAGTTATGGTACGTCTACTGATGGCAAAAAGTCGAGTGGCACCAATTAAACCCACTAGGTTGGAATTATGTGGTGCCTTAGGGCCGAAACTGCGTTAAGCGGGCACCCGCGCGGGTACCCGGCGCGTGACACCGCGCGTGGACCCGCGCGTCGACCCGCGGCGGGCCCCGCGGGCACGTGACGGGAAACCGTCGCGGGGACCGCATAACGCAGCGTCGCTAGTTCAATTTTAAGGGTTTGCAAGTACAGTCGTGTCGATGGAGAGCTTAATATATTATTACATAGCAAAACGACGATCAATGGCAAAAAAGAAACGGCAGCCAGTAAGCCCGTTTATTGAATCGAGGTTGTTATGTGGGGAATTCGTTGTAAAGTTCGGTAAATTAAGAGAAAATGAAAACATATTTTACAAATATTTTAAAGTTTCGACACAGGTCTACGACGAATTATTTTCGAAACTGGAACCGTACTTGAAGATCAGCAATATTAAAGTTAAACGTGTATCAGTCATATCATCAATGGAAAGGCTGGCAATAACATTGCGGTAAGTAAAAAATACCAATTTGTTCTTTATCTTTGCTTATACTATGTAATTTACAAACTTTTGCTACTAATTATAATTATTTATCTCCTTATAAATCACAGTTCTTTACTTATACGTTCACACATAGGTGACTATTATTAATAATTAGGTATCACTTGTTCTTCATCACTTTAATTTTTGTTTATACATATTTAACACGTTATTACACTAATCATAATTATTTATCTAGTCTTGAATCACATTTATAATCACAGTTCTTTACCTTGTACGTTCTTCCTATTATTAATAATTATAATTTGTTCTCCATAATCTTTGTTTTTGCTTAGGTATACATCAAATATTTGCTAGTATGCTGTTATTATATCACTAATCTTTATTATTACTACTCTCGAAGTTTTCAGTCTCATATTATACTTTGCACTAATTAATCTTCTATTGTATCTGTATTTTGGGTTTCAGTTTCACCAATATTAAGTGATACTAAATCAATGTTACTAATTGTATTTTGCGTTTCTGTTGTACCAATATTAAGTGGTGGTAAATCATCTAGAGTAATAATTGTTTCTCTTTCAATTTCGATCATAGCTTCTAATACTTTAGTCCGAAATAATAATTTTTTGAATGTACTAAATTTTTTTACAGTAGGTATCAATGATTTAAAAAAATTAAAGTCTTCGTCATCATTAAGTAGATTGTTTTGTTTTACACTTTGCAACAATTGTTTTTCAAAAGGAGTTGGTGATTCTGTGCGTTTACGTTTTCTTGATGTCTCTAATTCTGTATTACTAAAATTTTCAGGATTCAAATTTTCGGCACTAGTGCTAGGTACTGAGATATTGTTATCATTTGTTGATGAGTTTTGATCTTCACTCAGATTATTATCTATCGATTCATCTGCTTCACCACCCGCGTTGGAGTCCAAAAAAGTTAACATATTATAATAAGTATATTTCTTTCCTGTTTTGGCACCTGAACCTGATTTCAGTTTTTTAGAATTTGCTTTCACTTTCATGTATGTGTCTCTTGCAGTTCTCCAACGTGCTTGCAGTTTTGTTACTGAAAAAATAAAGAATAATATTTAATTTACAGGTACCTGACAAGCGGACATACTTTTGTCGATATACATCTAGCGTATCAGGCAGGAATCACCACAATCAGAACAATAGTAAAAGAAGTCTGCCAAATTATAAATGAAAGATTGAAGGAAGACTGCATACCGAGATTTACACGAGCGCGATGGGAAGATATAGCAGAAGGTTTTTTGACGCAAGCTAATTTTCCCAACTGTTTAGGTGCAATAGACGGGAAACATATACGAATCATAAGACCTCCCCACAGCGGTTCACTTTACTACAATTATAAGCATTTTTATTCTATTGTGCTACTTGCGATATGTAACGCAAATTATGAGTTTACCTACATAAATGTGGGAGTACAGGGTAAAGAGTCTGATTCTGCAATTTTTACCCAAAGTCGCTTATTGCAACAAATGAATAATGATTTACTGGATATTCCTCCTGCTAAAGAGTTACCCGTGCTATACAACAACAAATCAACCAACACTGCACCAACCGCACCACTGCCCTTTGTTGTTGTAGGAGATGAAGCATTTGGATTGTCTAGTCATGTCATGCGGCCATATGCTCGAGCTCTCAATTTAAACCACAAGAAAAAAATATTTAATTATCGGTTATCAAGAGCTCGTCGTTATATTGAGTCAACGTTCGGTATCATGGCTAATAAATTCAGAATTCTTCATCGTCCCTTAAATGTTTCAAAAGAGAACGCTGTTTCTTTTATTAAAGCGATATGTATTCTACATAACTTTGTTAGATCTAGACAAGATGACAATAACATCAACGATGTTGTCATAAATTCACGCCATATTCGTGATGTCGAATATGGGTTTGGGAACACTCAAAGAGACGCGTATACAATACGCGACAAATTCTCTGATTACTTCGTCGCAGGTGGTAAGGTATCGTGGCAAGATCGTAGTATTTTTTGAAACATCCTCAAAAGTAAAGTCATCCATCCTTCAGATACCCTCTTGTATTAGTAGACTAAACAAACGGGGACAATGTACAGTCAAAAGCATAAACATGTATACATGCCGACTTTTTAAAAATCAAATATCTCTGAAAATATTTAAGCAACACCGCACTACTTTGCTTATTAAAAGATACATTAACCTATCTTCCTATAAACAAAATAAGGCGAAATTATCTTAAAAATTTTCAGAGATATTTGACTTTTAAAAACTGGGTATGTATACATGTTTATGATTTGACTGTACCGGTACACGGCCTGACTGTACCGGTACACGATTGAATTGATTCTAGCTTTATTTAAACTTGTATAACAATAAAACCTATCCTATCCGCAGATTAATTAGAGTTGTATATAATATATTGAGAACACAATTATGTATACCTATTATAGTGCACCTTTAAACTGAAAATATAATTAAAAAATGCTTACCTGTTGTTTTTTTTCCGCGTCACTGTAATTTTCAAAGTTGTCAAATAATTCGTTACAAATTTCAAGCCATGCCGCTGTTCGTGCATCTCGATCTTTATAAAGTTCATTAGCCTGGTTCCATATGGCAGGGCGACAATGCACTTCCACAATAACTCTTTCTGTGTCGAAAGACATTTTTCTTTTTACCTTCCTCCGTGCGTGCTACCCGTATCACACAGCGTTACTGACTGAACAAGCCCGCGCGTACTCCCGCTGCCGAGTCCCCGCGCGTACCCCCGCGCGGACGGGTCGCCCGGATACGGGCCACGCAGCGCGGGCGCGGGGCAATACTCTCCGCGACGGAAGCCCGCGCGTGTCTCCGCGACGTAGCAATTTTGTATGAACCCGCGCGGGCGCCCGCATAACGCAGTTTAGGCCCTTAATGGGAGCTCGGTTGTATGAGAAGGTTATAAATTCGCTTCGAGTGAATTCGGCACCATATATTTTTGGACCGATTCCACAATCGTTCTTGGATGGTTGCGAATGTTGCCTTCTAAGCTTCAGCCATTTGTATGCAATCGCGTAGCTGAAATCCTAGAAAGGGTTGGCAATCGCACATGGAAACATGTCCCAACAGACAAAAACCCTGCAGACCTAGATTCCGATAATGGAACTTCATTCGTTGGTGCTTACAATGAATTATCAAATTTTCTAAAGTGCAATTGCGATTCTTTGAGCGAACGTTTGGCAAATGATAGCATTAACTTCCATTTTATACCCGCGTATACTCCTCATTTTGGCGGACTTTGGGAGGCAGGTGTCAAGTCAACCAAGCATCATTTGCAAAGAGTGCTGGGGAATTGTAATTTAACGTTTGAAGAGCTTAACACCACGCTTACGCAGATTGAGGCGATTTTGAATTCCAGACCGCTCACTCCGCTATCTTCAGATCCTGCAGATTGCAACCCACTGACACGCAAATTAATTAATAACATATTTACAAAATAACACAATAAACATATACACTAATTATATTTATATTTTAATATTATTATGGATGACGAAATTGGTGAGGCAATTATATACAGATGGTTTATTAGTGGACAATAAGGTAGGCACAGAAGTAGGGAAAGGACCCAAGAAACATTAGGATATGACGATGACGTCGCTAATGTAAAAAAATCATTAATAAAACTTAAGTAAGGTTGTATGGGCATTGTTCCCTTCGCCTTCGATGGAAAAGGAGAATTAAAAAAAAACAGTGACAGGACAGTATTTGGCGACATTTGATCATGTGCGGTTGGCAATATATTCCATTTATACTTTAATTCGTTCATAGAGTCTGTGCGGAAAGAGAATTGGTTTAGATATGATGAGGGCAGTAGTGCTTTTCTATCGTATTTGTAAGGTTTATCCCCTTTTAGACATGATTAAATACAAAAAACCGCAAGAAATCACAACAAATACGTATCACTACAAACTTTTGACAGATGGCTGGATTGGATTGCCATATAAAAATCTTAATGCTAGTTCCGTTATTCGCCCCGCCCATTCTCTTTCTGCACAGACTAGTGGATATTGAAAAATTGATATTATTTTGTGTACAACTGAAGAATTAGTGGAATCTCTAAAATATACGCTATTCCGGTCATGTACACGTAAGAACTTTATTCTAGCGTTGACTACCTCACAGAAGATTATCGAGAAAGCTGACAGGATAAACTTAACCAAACACTCCAAGAAACATTGGTATGAGTCACACCAACATTGATGTCGATTCTAGCATGATTCTCTAAACTGAACACTGAATAAACTGAAACTTAAATTTGACAGCAGTATATCCTTGTCATTCTCTATACAGAATGAAAAGGGGAGACTAATGTTAAATTTAGTTTTAAATTAAGAGAATCATGCCAGAATCGGCACCATTGTAATGTTAAAAAAAACATGAATAAAACTGAAAGCTAGGCTGTATGGGCATTGTTCCCTTTGCCTTCTCTGAAATGAGAGAATTTAATAAAATTTTGACAGTAGAAGATTATTTTCGGCTTCTTTGGCGGGAATTTCAAGCAAACGTGCGAAAAATTTTTCCAAAAAATATTTTATTGTAATTAATTTATTATACTTAGATAATTTTAATTACAAAATAACAAAGTTGTCTGTCGTTAATTAAATATGGCAGATAGCGAGGCCGGGGGTGATATGCTCCCCCCGGCCCCGGTCAATCCAGGTTCGGGATCTGCGGGAAAAAGACCAAGAAAAATGAATTCACTGGACGAAAATACTGATGCGATCGGCGGCGGTGAGGAAAGTTCGCACTTTTTACCCTATTTTAAACCAAATTACAAAAGACTCTACCCTGAAAATTCTACCAATTTTGAGTATAAAGTATTTGTACAAACTGATAACAATGATCGACTAGGCAACAAGAGCCCAATTTATTTAAACCACATATTTACCACTGATATCAAAGGCGTGGTGGCCATTCACCGGGTCAATGCAATAAAAATTGCAGTTGTGTTTAAGCAGTATAATACTGCAAATAACTTTCTGATGAACACTGCTTTTTTGGATAAATATAAAATGAAAGCGTACATACCGGCTGCTCAAATTGAAAAAACTGGAATTATCAGACATGTACCAGCCAACATTTCTAATAAAGAACTTTACTGTAAATTATCCTCGATGTACGAAATAATAGCTGTGCGTAGATTTATTAAAAAAGTTGGCCATGAAAGAGTACCATTACAAACTGTTAGTATTACTTTCCTGGCTAACAACCTTCCTGATCACGTACAATATGACTTATTTTCATATAGAGTATTTGAGTATATCCCTCCTCTGCAACAGTGCTATCGCTGTTTTAAATTTAACCATTCGGCAAAAGTTTGTAACGGTAAACAACGTTGCAGTATTTGTTCAGGAGAGCATTTCTATAAAGATTGCAATAAGCCTAATGAACTTAACTGTGCTAACTGTAGTGGTCCACATTTGGCAATATCGAATTTATGTCCTATTAAAGTCAAAAAGATCCAAGAAAAGAAAAGTAAAGTCACGTATGCCAGTACTGCCGCTACTAATAATACCAATATGTTAAAGGATAAAATTTACGAGGAGCAATTTCCTACTCTTGTACATAATAAACATGTAAATAAAACAGATAGTCATAATGTCCAACCATCAACTTTAATACAAAAAAATAAAGTACAATTTGTAAAGCCTGCATCCCAAAAAAACATTTCGTTAGACGAACTTAAGAATCAATTGATTAATAACTCTGAAATCACAAACGCAATAGTTCGAACTTTAGTAACAATAGCTAACAAAGGGGACGATTCTCCCATAACTTCTACGTCAATTAAAGAATTATTAATTAAAAACCTTACTTAATTATGGATAATTTTAGTAACAGTAATAAAACGACGTTAAGGATTGCACAGTTTAATATTCAAAGTATTTACAATAAGATTCCCCTTTTAGTTAATTTCTTGAGAGATAATAACATAGACATTTGCCTCTTAAATGAAACTTGGATAAAAGACAGACGGCCTTGTTCCATCCCTGGCTATAACATTTATTATAAGAATGCCTTAAATGAACATGGTGGCGTCGCTATTCTTATCAAACCCATTTTTAAATTCAAAGCTCTATCAATGGTTTTTTACGAAGATATCCAAACTGTAGCTTTATCTTTATCTACTTGTAATGGCGATTTAACCATTCTTTGTGTCTATTGCCCTCCTTCAGGTCCTTTAAGAATAAATGCATTACGTAATATTATACAAAGTCTGCCCGCACCTATTTTCATAGCAGGGGATTTCAATGCTCACCATGTTGCTTTTGGCTCTTTGTCCTCTAAAAGCCGTGGTGTGCAATTATATTCTATTATTGATGAGCTAGACTTATGTATATTAAATGAAGGCGACTTTACTACACTAAAATATCCCAATCGCAATCCATCGGCCATAGACATTTCTCTAGCTAGTCCAAGTATTACTCCACTGTGTAAATGGTCAGTCCACGATGATAATATGGGTAGTTATCATTTCCCAACAATTACAGATATAACCCTGACAATAGATCAATATATCATTAATCCTCCTTGTGAAAAATTTCTATACAATAAGGCAAATTGGCATAGGTACAATGATCTTTCTACATTAAGCTTTAATCATATTATTATCGATTCTAATGATCCTCTTGCATCTTATGATTTTTTCTGTGAAACTCTTTCAATGCTAAAATCACAGTGTATTCCAAAATTGTCTAAAACATCCGAATATAGAACTAGACCCCCAACTCCATGGTGGAATGAAAGGTGTAAGCTTAGTGTGATTAAATCAAAAGAGGCATTAAAATTTTATAGACGTTTCCCTACAATTGAAAATTTCATAAATTATAAAAAAATTGATGCTATCAAAAAAAGAATAATTGCAGAAGAGAAAAAGAATGGTTGGAGAACTCTTTGTAATAGTTTTAACAGAACTACACCTATTTCAACTATTTGGAATAATATTAAAATGTTTAAAAGAATAAAACCAAGCAACAAATCATTTTGTGATACATTTATTGTTCCATTTTTAAACAAATTATCTGATAATTCTTCTAACGATACCGAACACCTTAATAATATCTTCAATTTAAATAATAATAACAGTTATTCTTCACACTTATTACAACCTTTTACATGGTACGAATTTTTGACTAGTCTCGAATCACGTAGAAATACTTCACCTGGTTTGGATGACTTTCCATATATTCTTATAACTAAATTGAACATTACTCCCAAAAAGTTATTTTTAGATATTGTTAATGCACTATGGATGAAACAATTAATTCCACAGTCATGGAAAACTCAATGTGTGATTCCAGTCCTTAAAGTTGATAAGCCACCTGATGAATGTGATTCCTATAGGCCTATATCATTATCCTCTTGTTTAGGTAAAATTTTTGAAAGTATGTTAAAGCTTCGTTTAGACCATTTTATTGAATCTAATAATATTTTACCAAATATTCAGTATGGCTTTAGACGTGGCAGGAGCTGTGCTGAAAGCTTCATTTCTCTTATAACAGACCTGAAAAATGCAAAACCATATAAAAGTGTAGCATGTGCCTTTCTTGATATTCAAGGTGCATTTGACAACATTCAACCAGGAGTTCTTATTCATATACTATCTGGCTTAGGTATACCTGGCTTATTGTGTAAATGGATTCATAATTTTCTGACCAATAGGACACTTTATGTTAAATATAATAATACATTACATGGACCAAGAACTGCTTCTAAAGGCACAATGCAAGGGGCCATTTTGTCCCCTTTGTTATATAATCTCTATACATGTGAAATTTGTAAATATGTAAATACCAACTGTGTAAATATTCTCCAATTTGCAGATGATCTAGTTTTATATAGTATAGACTACAATGTGGACTCTGCTATTAAGAATGTAAATATAGCCTTAAGCAATATAAAAACTTATTATAATGATAAACTTCTGTTAAAAATAAACCCGAGAAAAAGCAATGCCATGATATTTAGTAAAGATTTACCATCTACTGCAGTTATGATTGACAACCAAGTTATACCGGAAGTCAACCAACATAAATTCCTTGGAGTTCTTATTGATAAAAAATTGTCATTTGAACCTCATATTGAACATGTTATATCTAAATCATTAAAAGGATTAAATGTTATTAAATGTCTAGCTGGAGTTACATGGGGGGCCGATCCCATAACTCTTTCGGTTTTGTACAAAGCTATTGTTAGAAGTCACTTTGACTATAGTTGTATAGCTTATGTAAATTGTAAAAATGTAAATAAATTAGACATTATACAGAACAAAGCTTTAAGGATCATATCTGGGGCAATGTGTTCTACACCTATCAGAGCCATGGAAGTGGAAACCGTAATAATGCCACTATCACTTAGGAGATTACTTTTAATAGAGAGATTCTTTATAAAATTGCTTTCTTCAAACAATATGCAAGTGATAAATAAAATAATACCACAATCAGCTTTGGCAACATATTGTGATCTGCAGATAGGTACATCCTCTAAGTTGTCCGATATTCTATTCTACTTACAAAATAAATATCATAGATTACAAAAGAAATCATTATGGCCCTTTTATTCAAATCACTTTCTTATTCAGATGAATGAAATTAGGATTATTGAAAGTCTAATTTTCAATAATCAAGACCTACTAGCCTTTTTAGATGAGCATCACTATTACACTTTATATACAGATGGCAGTAAATCAAACTTATATGTTAGAAGCTCTGTTTATGACCCCCAGATCAAATTCTCGCAAAGCTTTGTTCTTGATAATGCATGTAGCATATTTACAGCAGAGGCGTATGCAGTCCTAGAGGCTCTTAAGCGAATTTTTACTGTAAATAACTATAATTATTTTCTCATTTTAACCGATTCTCTTAGTTTGATTAAAAGTTTAGAATGTCATAAAGTTCATTACAAGATTAATTACATTCTGTATAGTATTAGAGAGCTTGTACATAGGTTACTTCTGAAAGGAATTGAAGTTTCTTTTATGTGGATACCATCACACAAAGGTATCACTGGAAACGAAATAGCTGATAGGACTGCACATGATGGGATCAATTCTATGGACGTGAGTTCCTTAATATCTGTACCTTTTACTGATTATTATACTGAAATACGGAAGGATATTTATCAATTGTGGAATAAATTGTGGAAACAAGATCAACAAAATAAAGGCAAATGGTATGGAAGCATACAAGAGAAGATACCTTCTAAGCCATGGTATGCAACGCTGAAAATAGCCAGCCGTGACTTTATCACCACAATAAATCGCCTGCGATTTGGCCACCACAAAACACCAGCTCATTTGGGAAAACTGAAGATAATATCTGATAGTATGTGCCCGTATTGTAATACTGCTACCGGTGACATATATCATTTGATATTTGAATGCTGTCAATTTAGTATTCAACGGCTTTTATTAGCAAGCGAACTCTGTGAAATAAGTGAAAATGTAAATAATGTCTCCCGCCGCCTAGAAGACTACTTGAAAAATCCCAAGAATTTTCCTATACTATTCAAATATGTGAAAGCCACTATAATAAACATTTAGTTATAGAATCAGGAATAGACGAAGACGTGGCTTAAAGGACCAGCATCCAAGCCATAAAATTAAAAAAAAAAAAAAAAAGATTATTTTCGCGCAAATTTGTTTTAGTTTTCTTTAATTCATTCTCTACAATGGCTCGTAATTGCAATGAAAATGATGATGATAAGATTGATCCCGCGTCTGTAACAGCTAATGTGAAAAGTAGTATTAAACAAGTGAGTATCCTCAATAAAAATAATTTCGCAATTTCAATGTTGATTATTGATTAGAAACGCTGTTTTAGGAAGTCATCAAAGATCTTCTCAATGGTTCATTCCAAGACAACAAAACCAAGCTGGGCAATGATGCGTTATCATTAGTGGTAGAAGTGGCAAAATGTCTTGTCACCGAAACATGCCTTAGGGCATCAAACCAGGCGCTGCGAGAAAGTTGTGACAGAGTCGAGCTGGAGCATGTCGAGAAATGCCTTCCACAACTGGTCAGAATATATTTATTATTGTTTATCACTGCTTATCAAAAATACTACCTCTGGGTGTGTGATGTTTTGTGTCAGTGAGTAAGGTTTTACGACTCTTACCCCCTTATTAATAAACTTAGTATAAGCTTGGATTTGTTTACTTCATGTTTTGTCTCTGTTCATTGAATGACAAATGGCATTTGAGTGATAGGAACAAAAGATGGTGTAACTAGTCAAAGCTTAGTCCGCGTTTATTAATAAATAAACCAATGTTTATTAAACTTTTTTATTAAGAGTAAAGATTGAAAGACAGAAGACTGATTATAAAATTTCAAATAATTTGCTTTATCACTACTCTTTATTTTACTAGTATTAATAATTGGACTTGCAACGAATATTTGGTATTCGGCCTATTGGGCTGCTTTTATTATATTCAGCCGAATACCAAATATCGACATATTATTCGGCTTAATACTGAATACTTAAATAATATATTTTGTCATAGAAAAATAATTGGTAAAATGAAAAATTAAAATCTATTGATTATGTATATATGCATATTTTCATTTCTGTTATATAACCATTTAAGTAGTCATTGGTACATAACACAGGTATATAATCATCTTCTGAATTGGAAAAATGGTATTCTATGTATTTGAATTATTGTGGTAATCAAAATTTAGAAGGGTAAGGTTCTCATTTCTTTTATAATCATTTATTAAGTAGTCATTGGTACATAAAACAGGTACATTATTTAATCATTTTCTGTATTAAACTAGTTAACAGTTTTTAATTCATTCAGTCATGTGATGAATGGTTACATAATAGCAATAATTTAAAGTTTACGCGCCGTTTTTGGCCATATCTCAAAAGTTGTTTTTTTCATTTAGCTGCATTTTAGCTTGAGGACGGCAGATTAGAACAAAACAAAGGAGCGCGAAACAATCACATCTGTACAAGTTTTTGGTGCTAAAATCCAGCTGAATACTTTGGCCTAATATTCGGCTATTTGGTCAGGGGCCTCGCCGAATATTCGGTATACTGCTGAATATACTATTCATTGCAAGTCAAATTATAATGCATCCAAAGTTTAAGTTTAGAAATGGCTACAGTTTTGGTCATTTTAATGACACATTTTTTAAACTATGATTTTATAAGCATATAAAATCCGACCTGATGAAAAGCCCTTTTTATGGTTTGTTTACTTTTGTCTCAGAGGAAGTTGAATGGACTTTAGTGATACTGTAGGGTATCACTAGCAAGTAAAGGTAAAGGCAACCATAAGCTTTGCCACCATTTTGAGTTTAAAACAGCAATCATGCCATCTCATCATCGAAGACAGAAAACACTATGAAATTATACTTGGACTTGTAGATAGAGAATCTACCCCTAATTCTGACCTATTTTATGTTTTTTATTTACAGATGTTGGACTTCCCCTAAAGAATAATTTGACGTTCAGAATGTACCTTCCATTAAATCAATAGCCAAGACAATGGCTGAGAATCCTGTTTACTTATTAAATTAAATGTGCTTAAGCAAGGTAAATCTTGAGCAATAATTTAATGTCACTGGTGGTAGTTACAGAAATTGATCTTAAAATCACCCTGATGATTACATTTCTAATTAAAATTTTGTTCCACCCCTATTAGCAAAAATGCCAGCAAAAATACTAAGGATTACTGATATTCTATAAAAATGTGCACTCTTTTTATAGTAGTAAGAATAGATGTGGCTGGTACCACATTGTTTAGTATTTAAGTGCTTTGCTTGTGTAAATTAAGGAAAAGATAATATTCTTATAATGAGAATGTTAAGCAATTCTTCTGTTTGTTTCAAAATAGGTTTTAGATGCCAGATCCGCCTCCTTAAGTAATGGTTGACTTTTTACTTTTATAATGCATAAATAAAGCGAAAACTTTTCTAGTACTTATTTTAACATAACGGATGTTTTACTATAATTTTACTAAAATTAAACATTTAATTATGAACAATTACTCTATATCCAACTTTACTAGATGATTTTAACTTCTAAATTATGGTGAAAATTCACAAGGTCATACCCATTCATTGTAGGTATTATTGTTACATGTGAAAAATATTAATTATATTTTCCAAAAGTAAGTTGTTAGTTTTATTTATTGAAGAGCAAGGAACTTGTTGTCTTGTTCAAGAGTATCACTCCTCATCTTAGCATTAGGGCTCGCGCATACTGCTCCCGTGACAGCTGCAGAGTCCGTACTCTGTAATGCGGTCATTACAAAATTGCGCCAAAACACAAGGAGTCGTTGGTAAGTTGCAGTTGTACATCGGGGCATCGCGACATGTCCATTAAGTGCGCCTTCCAACAGTTCCAACGCATACTGAGACGGGATACATCAAAACAAAAATACGCCTGTAGTTAGCGATAGTTCACACAAAATACACGAGACGTAGGAACATTTTTATTATGTGTTGCAGTACGGCCCGCCATAATGTGCGCGAACCTTTACACAGCTACAATCTATTTATTTAGGCAAACCGCGGGAAAGGAAATGTGCTGTTCGACGGCCTGTGTTGTCGGGGGCGCGGCCGCGCCGCGCAGGGTTGCCAAACGTATGACAACTCTTAACGTTTGAGATTTAGCGTTCGAGATTTCTATTTACCTCGTATCATGTAGACTGCTAAATCTCAAACGTTACGAGTTCTCATACGTTTGGCAAACATGCGCGGCGGGGCTGCGCCCGCAACAATACAGGGTGTCGGACAGCACCTAAACAGAGTTGGCTTGGAATCAGGCTGCCAAGTGAATTGACATTTACCAAGCAAGATGTTCATAAGTGGCTCGTAGGCGCACCATTGCGCCACTGAGCTTTTAGTGGCATATCCCCTCGCTGCTGTAGCGATAATAGTGCGTATAAAATTGAAGGAAAAATCCATCTTCAGTCTCCCCCATATTGAGACCATATGTTCGGCAATGAGGATAGGAGAGGTATCTTGTTTCTATTTGCTTACACATATTTTCTTTCTTCATTTAACACTAGCGGGTGTTCCTCGTCTTCGTCGGCATGTAAAAATTGCTTTCTCATACAAAATTCCACCGCTTATACCTTTGAACCTTTCACCATCTTTAGATAAAAACAAATGTGCTTTCCCAGGACTGAAACTATCACTATAACAAATTTTATTTAAATCGGTTCTTCGGTTTAAGTGTAAGTGTAAGAGGTAACAGACATTTTCTCATTTATAATATTAGTATGGATTGTTTAACCTTATGCGAAAAATGATTTGCATTTATATTGAAAAACCGAGAATAGAACCTTGAAGCAACGATCTTTACGTATGATCCCTTTAAGAAAATAAAAATCACACGTTCCACACCGCGCCATGAATCTGTTTCTGTTTTGTACCAGTCTCGGTTTAATTAAAAGGAAAAAAATAACGTTAAAGAAAACAAGCATACAATCAGACTTTCGTCGCTTTTATTAGACAAAGTATTTTTATAGTCTGTCCATAAAGTATTATACATGAAGAAATATACATAATTATTCTACTATTTTCGTTACTCCAATAAAAAACAGACAGCACTTCCATAATGAATACTTAGTTTTGATAAAAATACATTTCTCCTTAAAACTTGTTGCTATTCTTTGTGATGGGACTGTTACAGATTTCTGGTCTGCCTTATTGTTTTTTTTTAAATTTTATATGTAATAAAAATATAAATCCCAAATGGAATAATAATATTACAATAGCTACTATGCGATTCAAATAGGAATAGGAAAGCCAATGACCTCCATCTGTCAAATGTCGCTTGAAAGTACGGTTTGCTAAAAAATCGTGGTATACTTTTTTTTAGCACTAGGCTAATCTTAGAATTAATACTAAATATTTGTAAACAGAAGGAAATAAATCTTAATATGTAACGTATAGAAAATGAGTCCTGGAAAAGGGAAGTATCATAACATTAGTTTTATTATTTAAATACAGATAAAAAACGACCGTTTCTATTTTAAATAAAGTTGTCGTTTTAAAACCTACAATAATCGATATTTTATTTAATAGCCGAAAGCAGCAGTGATGATGATAACTGCTCCGACGGTAGTGAAGAAATGAGCGGAATTAAAGAGTTAGATTCTGATTAATGTTGTTTCCCACTCAGTCTCTAATATTATTATTTATTTATAAAGACGGAGTGAGAAAAAGCATTACAAAATATTTTTATTATTAACAATCTGATATTTTTTCTCACTTAATCTTGGTAAATAAGTTCTATTAAAGAAAAACTTTTTTGCTCACTCTACCTGGTTTGAATTGATAGCTATGACGTCACAATATGGCGCCCAGTCGGTCCTATTCTTAGTTGAATCGCACTATACATTGCTTACAAGTAAACATACCTTCCAGCAAAAAAAAATCAATTGTGTACGATTAGGTTATTATAACAGTTTTGAAGCAATTTCCAGGATTTATTTGATATCATATCAATTAAATACATACGAAGGAGAAACTACGAAATTATAATTTAAAATAGTTAATATATTTATTGCAGATGAGGGGAAGCAAATCTTGCTTGCTCCATAGCAAGATGATTTTGATTCGATGATCAACAGCAGCTACTTCACGCAAATCAGACCAATATTCTAAGCATCAGTTGTTTAGATTAAATAAAACCCCCTTTTAATTTATTCTAAGATCAGTAATTGTTAATTTTTTGATCAGGAAAAATAATGCTTTATTCTAAAATTATTATGAAACGATATGCAGAATCCTGGAAAATGCCTGCCTAAGGCACCTCGCGCACTACTGGCCGTGGCCAAGTTTGCGGCTACGACCAAGACCGATCGTAAAACGGTCATATTGCTGGTCGTTTCTTTATTTCATTAATAAATAAACTTGTATCAAAACTCAATGCAGAAAACAAAAATCGTATTGAGTTTCGAAATGACATGATATACATATGTTCACGCACAAACTGACCGCATAATACCGAGAATGGCTGGTCGCGGCCTGGCCGCATTGGCAGTCGCAGCTCTAGTGCGCGAGCGCTTATAAAACTATACGTAAGTTGGTCGCAAAGGCCAGTCGTGCGGCCAGGTGCCCAATGTTCATATGGTTTCCCTACTTAATCTGATCGTTACGAGCACTGGCCGTGGTCGTAGCCGTCTAGTGTACGAGATGCCTATTGGTAATAAGCTATTTATTGTCTACAACTACAGCTATTTTACAGCCATTTTACATTTTGAACCATTAAGATGATGGATTTTGATATAAAAAAATATTTTTAAAGGCGGATGTGAACACCTCGATGCCATTTTTACATTTCTTATATTATTTATTAATAACCTATAACGAGCATTAGGATGCCCCTATACCAGTAAATCTTTGTATATTGAAAACGGTTCAGTTTAACCAATTTTCTGTGACGAATCTTCAGCATTCTAAATTGAGATCAAATTAGGCAACTTTTAATCTTTATTTTCATGTGATAAGGCAAACAAGTTTATTGTTTTAAAATCCTTTGGTAATATTATTGTACCAAATAATAGATGCAGTCAAATACCATATAGCAGTAAGAGCCTGTCTGATGTTTAATGAAGACAGGTTGTAAATATATAAAAAAATATAACTGATACAACCATGATCCTAAATCTGCAATTAATATTCATCAATATCTTGATATTCATTATCAACGCAAGGACGTATAAAAAAAGGCGGACAGAATTTCGGCTAAGACAAAAGTGAGGCACCGTAATGGCGGCGGTTATCTATGAGTGAGTGAATGCAGGGTTGCTAGGTTAGCCAATTTTTTACCAATAAAACACAGTAAAAAGATCAAAATATTTTAATTGTTCAAAATTTTACCCGACTGCGGTGGATAATGTTTTTCGAGCGTGTATGCATGTATGTATGCCCAATAATAAGGCGCCAAAATGAAACCTTTAGAAAAAAAATGCTTATAACCCGTCAAGCGAGGTATCAAAGTAAAGGGTCTTAAAAGAATGCAGTGGATCCCCGGTAGTCCGACAAACATTTTGCAGGGCAGTGTCGAACTATCGAATTTGTCGGATTATAGAGTACTGCCTAAGACCCCCTATAGTCCGATTTTTTTTACAAAAGAGTACCTTGTAATCCGACAAATTACAGATCCAATGATAAGATTACAAAACATACTTTGTTATGTATGTCAAATTGAGTAAATTAAACAACACAATAGAAAGATTATGTTTTATTATAAAAGTAACGTCAAATGCTATAGAATTTACAAAAAAATATAAAAAACAATACCCTACGCGTCGAGCACAATTGTGATGGTGCGTACAAGTTGTAACTTGTTCAATCGTGAATTAGCGAATACTTGTATGTAATAGACGATGTCGGATTATAGGGGGTGCCGCATTAGCCAGGGGCCGGATTACCGGGGCTCCACTGTATTTAGAAAATAGGTATGCAAATCGTGTACTTAAAAAAAAATCGTGTTGCACTCGGGGACTGCCGCGGTAAAGCTATTGCATAGCATTATTTGTCAACTTATGCAATAATACTATTTATTTATGCAGTATTTTTTTTCTTTGATATTAATTCAAGTTTTTTCTCTGATATTAATAGATGGCGAGGCAGGCCTTATGATATTTTATTGGGCAAGCACAGCAAACAACAGCATTGCCCGGCGCCAAAAAACTTCCACATGCTCCACAGTTTACCACCTTTAGTCCAAAAATTATAATTATAAAGTCTAAATAAAAGGGAGACAAATAAAAATAAGAACAGATGCTGGGGTCTAAAACAAATATATAAAAAATGGAAAAAAAATATAATAAAAAATAAAACACGAGTGCGGGATTTGAACCGACGACCGCGGTGATGCGTCGAACATTGGTCCCGTGGCAAAAATTTAACACACTGCACCGTTTCGATCGATACTGGAAAGGCGAAAATTGTGTTCATACGCACTGTTTTTAAGTTGGCATTGATCGAAATGTTTTGTTTAAATATTATCGTTAGTAATATTATTTATCGTTGAAAATATTTTAAAACTTTTGTTTCATTGTAGGTTTTTTTAAATAATCAAAGTTAATTCAAACTATTATATTTAACAAATATTGACTTTTTTTATATTCCACTTTTTTTTCAACACTGAACTTAGCGCACTTTGCTGGTGCATTTGAAAACTAATTCACGTTCCAATTAATCATCAGCATAATTCGGCATTGGTAGCCACTGAGTCGCATTATGCTCTGTAATTGGAAAACTAACATGAAGTCTGTTTTTATTTTTGTATGAAAAAGTTTATATTTTCCACTTTTCATAAGCCAGAGTAAATCACCTAAATATGCCTGGCCAGGCCTGCATTCTTTTTTATATTTCTTAAATTAACAAAATATGCATTGAGTACTGTTTGTAATTGAGGAGTTCCATTGTTTCCCTCCGAAAATACTCATCAGCTCTGCACTTAATTAATACAGCCATCTCGCTAATAAACTGATTCAAACAAAAAAATAATCATCAAAATCGGGCCACGAATCTCGGAGATATGCACGAACAACAATTGAAAAAAAAAATAACAAATATGACGTATAGAACCTCTTTCTTTTTGAAGTCGGTTAAAATTTTTAATTTACCTTTTGAGGTACTGCATGCGTAACAACACGCCGGAGTCCTCTTTTAGTAGTATATAAGTCTCCAGCTTCAAAATGGATACTGCAAATGACACTATATTTATTTGGAATACATTGATCATCTCCGTTACAATTCCTAATAACTTGGATCCAGTCATTTCTCCATTCTACATTTTCTTTACGGAATCTGATAAAAAAGAATAACAAATAATAGATTGAAGCTAATGTCACCCCAATTTCCCATATTTTAGGTAATATGGTTACGTGAACATTGACAACACTGGACTTTAGATTAATTATTTTGTGCTTAGAATGAAAATTGATTTCGATTTCTGAAAACTAGAAAAAAAGTGATTATATTGTTCATTTACCTATGAAACGTGATTCCTGGATTTTTTTTCTTTCGGTCACTACGGTTTTTACACCATTTTACCACGCAAGACATCTTGTTTTAACTTATTTTTATCTCCACTTAACGTATCGGCTGCTTTGACGTTTGCACGCGTAATGGCTGACTATGGTGTGAATGTGTGTGTGCCGGCTTGTACATATAGCGACCTGGCCGACTCTGAGCGACACAGTTTGTTGTTTACCGGGACTCTGTCCGCCTTTTTTTATACGTCCATGTATCAACGCATCATGCCTATCGCATTTCAATCATTGACATATAAAAACAAGTAGAGAATAAACGTTAAACAGAATATTTGCATGATGAATTTCTTTGACGACCTCCTTGGCCGAGTGGTTTGTACGCCGGGTTTCATGGTGTCGCCGACTCGAGAGGTCCCAGGGTTCGAATCCCGGTGGGGGCAGATGTTTGTGTGATGAACACGAGCATTTGTACTCCAGTCATGGATGTTTAATATGTATTTCTATATAAATATACTTATATATGTAAAGTATATGTATTCTATCCGTTACCCTAGTATCCCATAACACAAGCCTTACAGTGCTTACTTTGGGGCTAGGCTAATTGGTGTGAGTGTTGGAAATATTTATTTATTTATTTATTTATTTATTAGTAATTTAATGTATAGACAGCAACTCACAGCTAAGGTTACTCGACACTGTCAAATTTGTCAAACAGACTGAGCTTTATTTCGCTATACATAAGATTGACAATGTATTGACAAGATATGCCATTTTTACGTAATTCGCTGTGTCTGTACTGGAAATTATACTACAGCTTTTCAACACGCCAGACGTAATCAATGAATAAGTTAAAATAATCTGTTATGTAAAGTATGAAATCAATTCTTCTTTCCTATAGGATGCTTTTTGACAGTTTTATTTCTTCAATTTGTTATTTTACTATATAAAAATATGGTACTCCTGCCAAGTGATTAATTACTTACTTCTATCAGATAAATCCATAATACAGTTAACTTAATTTCTACTCTACATACATGGGGAATTTATGGATTGCCCACTAGATCTCAATATATATATAATTAGGGAAATGAAAGTCACATAATCTGGCACCCAACATGGGGGCCCCACTGCATAATCGATCAACTGCTGTGGCTGTAACTTACACGAGATATAAAAAAAACATATATTTGGTTCTCCTTTAAAAGGCCAAATCGTGAAACCTGCAAAGGTTCAGACTTCTTAAGACATAGAATTTAGCAAGTCTTGTCTAATTTCAAGTCTAAGTTATTATTTTTATTACACAGAATTTGACACTTACACCAAACGTTACTAGTGTTACATTAACTTACGTTCCGTTATCGCCTTTTCACTAAAATAACAACGAGCACAATATTAGCACCTCATTAACATAAGGATACTTTATTATAGGTATTATTTTACGTTTTAATGGATATTGGACGACGATAATACAGACTGATAGAGCATTTAAACTTCTGATAATAATAATCAATTTCATCATTCAAGTGTCAAGTTGTTATTCAAGTTGATTCTAAAATGTAGATTTCAATTTTGGGTTAAAGTAAACTACAATTTCATTTATGTGTCACACATAATGTGAATATGTCAGGTAAAAGCACTCTTTCAATTCTATTATTTATGCAGACGCACTTAAACATAAGTTTTAATAATACATTATGAAGTCACATAAGGCATACAATTCCTAATGCCCACACGCTAAAACATACCTAGATCTATTAGTTAACTGACATACAGGGTGGTCCAATTAGTGACGTCAACAATTTTTTTTAGATTCCTCGCACCTGGGGGTATCCGAAAATACCCCATGTATGTTCCGCGATTTTTCTTAGTTTTCGAGTTATAATTATTATTGTGTATTTTTAATGATTTCTGCCAACGAGGTTTCAAAAATTCATATCTTTTTCGTAGTAGGTATTTTGCCGTCTTTTTTTGTGACATAACTGTCTTGACTGTTGTTTTAATAAAAAAAAATAACTCAGCTTCCTGAAATTACCTAAAGTAACTCAAAAAGCGTTTGAAAGTTGGAACTTTAGTTTTTAGTAGGATTTACTCAAACTGTAACTTCAATTTAAAAATACAAAAAGGAGTTTCCATAGCTTCGGGCTACAGAAGTCATAAATTAAAAATAGGGAAGATGCAAATATAATATTTATGAAAATTTTATGATTAAAATGTTAAAAAAATATAAAAGAAAGGCCACTGCAACGTTTTTATTTTACATAATGTTGTTTTTTAACAATAATTACGAATTAAAAATGACTTGAAAAAAACGTAATTTAAAACACCAATCAGAGGTTTAGTGACGTCACTCCTGTGACGTCACAACTTATTTGAGATTATGGTTATAAAAGTGAATATTATTTTATGGGAATATTAATGACGTTTTTTTAATAAAAATGTAAGTTAGGTTTATCAAAGCAGACTCCAGGAAATTACCAAGAGTTAGTGTTGACATGGTTGTAACTTTTTTTGTCCAATGTGCAGAGTTTTCAAGTGTAGAAATTAAAGGGACTAAATTACTACGGTAGGTATAAATCATAGTTGTTAAACTTTGTATTTTATTCAGCGGCTTCTACACATTTTCAGCTCAACAAGAGAATCTTACGGCGTAAACGCATTCGGCTATGTCCAAATTAAAAGAGATGGAGAATTATGTACAGTAAAAAGTCGAGTTACTCCGGAGCATAAAGTACGTAAAGAAAGTTATCGTGTTACAGTTATTTTGAATGAAACGCAAAGCTTGGTTCAGTCCTGCCAATGTGAAGATTGTGCTACACATTTTTAATCTTTATCCAATTTTTGACGTCGTTCTCCAACTGTAAAATTAAAAATATATTATAGACAGGTTTGCGTTTATACGTACAAGCAGATTAATTAAGCATATTATTATAACAATAGTATATTCGCCGACTTACGTCAAAGTGATCTTCACAGCATCGAATAATGGTTTTTGGAGAATAATTGTCATTTCTCTTCGCAGCTAGAAACCACTTCTTTCTCAATTTTGGGTCAATTAAATTAATTCAATCAAAAATCAAAAACCATTTATTTGGATACTTTGTTGAAGTAGATTGACACAAAACATGAGTCAACAGGGCTTTTTTTCGGAATATTAGTGGTATTGTTATGATCACATGATGTTGATGGATAGTCCATTGTAAATTTTTACAAAAAAATATCTCGAGTCGAAAAAATATGCAAAAGTATGAAAATTGAAAGCCAGCGACGAACAAGTACGACCAGTGATAGACAGGAGTGACGTCATCGGAACCATAGGTCCGTTTTCGCGCAAAATTTAAACTGTCAATTTAAAACTGCATTTTTTCCGATAAATTACAATGTTTTAATTTTTTAATATATCTGTGGTTTATTCTACATGGAATTCTTTAAAATGAAAACAAAAATAAAAATATTGCATCTTCTCTATTCCGCATGCTTCTAAACTACCAAAAATCATAAAAAAAGTTTTACTTAATCAGCCTATTTTTGTTGTAATCGGCCTTCGAAGACGGATAGGCTAAAAATCATCGAAACACGATTAAAGCATTTAAAATTATTTTATCTACTTTTTATCACTGTTATGGTAAATTATTAAACTTAAAAATGTAATTTCAAATTAAATTTAATTGAAATTCCTGTAAGAAAACTTTAGCATGTGGAATTTTATAATAATTTCGGTTTACCACTAAGATTTAAAATGGGAACAAGAATTGAGACAAAAACTTACAGAAGCGGAAAGAAAAATAAAGCAAGAATATTCAAGTAGCTTCATACAATTAAAACATAACTTTTTTGAGTAACTTTAAGTAATTTCGAGAAGCTGAGTTATTTTTTTTATTAAAACAACATTCAAGACAATAATGTCAAAAAAAGACTGCAAAATACCTACTACTACTAAAAATACACAACAAAAATTATTTAATTCGAAAATTAAGAAAAATCGCGGAACATACATGGCGTATTTTCGGATACCCCAGGTGCGAGGAATCTAAAAAAAATTGTTGACGTCACTAATTGGACCACCCTGTACATAACTAGACACTGTCATTTTCATAATCGACTGATAACAACGCATTAGAAATAATATGGAACACGAACTGGGCTAAAAAGTGGTTCCACGCAAACTGCGATCAAGTGAGCGAAATAATTCGACCAACACGCAATCATGGGGTTGGTGGGGATTTCCCTTTAACATGCAGATATTTGATATGTCAAAATATTTTTTTTTGTCTGTGTGCTGTTTGTTGCGTTAGTTTTGAAGTTTAGTTGTATAAGTTTGGATCCATGCTTTAGCTGCCTTTGTTAGAGAGTTGCTTTCAATATCATTTCTAATTCGTTGACTGATAATGACAATAAACAAATGATAAACATTTTATAATGGTCCTAAAAACAGTACCAAAGATAATCGCTTAAATACACTCGACTGCAAATAAACTGGGCCACTTGCTACCACGGAACTCGTTTTGATTTTCTCAAAAAGTACAAAACTTACAAATATCAAAATTATGACTACAGAAACTGCATTTCGTGGTGATTAAATTGAACTAGAATTATTGAGATTAATCAATAAATTAAATTTTTATTAAAAAAAAGTCAAGGAAGAATCGTTTTCCAATTGTGGTATTGGGAAGTATCTAACGTAACAAAAATACTCACGTCTGAGAAAACTATGGAGAAAAACTAAGGAAATGATAAGAAGTATCAGACTATATTCATTTTATAAAAAAGAACGATAATCGCGACTTTATTAAAAGATTAGCAAATTGTTAGCATTGCTGTTCTTGCTCGATTACAAAGTAAGTTGACAGTACTTTAGAATATTTTTTTACTCATATTAATAATTATGAAACACACTTTCTGTAAATATAGCTTTAATAGTTGTAAGTTTTATACTTTTTGAAAAATTGAATTAGAGTTCCAAGGTACTAGCGGTTGGCCCAGTTTATTTGCAGTCGAGTGTATATTAAAACGGCTATATGTAGTTGCTAGTTCCCGATGTCCTATAATGTTTTAACTCTAGAGGCATTACGATCGCGTCGGATAGCGTTAAAAAGTTTCAATGTCTCACTCACCGGAGGTTAAGGCTGCATTTCCAACAGAGATGTGCGAGATAGATGAGCGAAACGAGGATGTAGCGAGCTCTTTAAAGAAAACCGAGACAAGGTAAATGAAACGATTCTATTGGTTCTTTACAAACACAGCCTCGCTTGTTTTGTATGTACAAAAACCTAAGCTCATTCCACCAGAGCTGTGCTGACCGAAGCGAAGTAAATGAAGCGATTCTATTAGTCATTTACAATCGCATCCCTCTTTTTTTATATGTAGGATAGATAAGGGGTTTCCACCAGACCTATTCTATTGGTCCTTTACAAACACATCCCCCACATGTTTTGTATGTAGAAAAACCTGGCTCCGCTAAGCCGTTTCCACCAGAGCTGTGTAATAACCGAAGCGAGGTAAATGAAACGATTCTATTAGTTCATGCCAAACACATCCTCACACGTCTCTGAAACTCAGTCTATTGCAGGGCCACTGCGCCGGATCGATCACAGTTTTAATTAAGAATAGGTCCATCTCATCGTTGCACATGACTTCAATGAATTCGTCGTCCTCGTATCCTTGCAACGTCCGGTCTGGCAGTCTCTACTAAGGGATTTCCACCAGATCTGTGCTGTCGGCGCGGTAAATGAAGCTATTCTATTGGTCCTTTACAAACACATCCCTCACATGACACATGTTTTGTATGTAGAAAAACCTGGCTCTGCTAAGCCGTTTCCACCAGAGCTGTGTTAACCGAAGCGAGGTAAATGAAACGATTCTATTGGTCCATGCCAAACACATCCTCGCACGTCTCTCAAACTCAGTCTATTGCAGGGCCACTGCGCCGGATCGATCACAGTTTGAATTAAGAATAGGTCCATCTCATCGTTGCACATGACTTCAAGGAATTGGTCGTCCTCGTATCCTGGCACCGTCCGGTCTGGCAACGCCGGGAGGGGGGAGAGGTCGCGCGGAGGAAGGGAGGGGGGTGTTAGTAGCAATTCTGTTTTCCTTAGAGTTTAGTTTTATTTAGTTATCCACATATTATCATCCTTCACAAACACTTTCTTCGCTACGCATACTCGCACATAGAAACACAGCCTATTGCAAAGCCACCGCGCCGGTTCGATCACAGTTTGAACTTAGAATAGGTCCATCTCATCGTTGCACATGACTTCGAGGAAGTCATCATCCTCGTATCCTTGCAACGTCCGGTCTGGCAGCGGTGGGAGGGGGGATAGAGGTCGCGCGGGGGAAGGGGGCGCGTCAGTGTGAGCGTCAGTGTCGCTCGAGCAGTCGCGCGCGTCGGTCGCCGGCGACGGGGGCGGGTTCGAACCGTGCTCGGATTGTACTGTTGCCTCGCCGCGAGATAATAACGAAGGTAATTCCGAATCTGTGAATAAAGGAGGATATCAAAACTGAGGTTCTTTAATATCCTTTTGATAGGAATCTTTTAATTCAAGAGAATAATTTTCTTATTAGAGTAAGTTTGCTTCATTACTTAAATTAGGTACCTACTGTTTTCTCGCAAATGTGTTGAAAAACGTTGTATGATATTCATGCGGAATTATAATACTTGTGAATATGGTAAGCCCTCGACTTCGTCTCGTGTCTACTCGTTTGTAATAACCAACTTACTGCACTAATATCATATATAACTATTATAATTAATTACCTGTGAGGCTTTGTTCGGCTTGCTCCATGGCCTTCTGACGGGAATTCGCTCGAGATTTCTTGATCATCCGCGCGGTCTCTTTGCAGTCCTCGTTGCATATCTGCTAATGTATGGCAGATTTGCTATGCTTTCAACAAAAAGAACTTCTCCAATTACCTGTGAGGCTTTGCTTGAATTACTCCATGGCCTTCTGTCGGGAATTCGCTCGAGATTTCTTGATCTTCCGTGCGGTCTCTTTGCAGTCCACGTTGAATATCTGCTAATGAATGGTAGATTTGCTATGCTTTCAACAAAAAGAACTTCTCCAATTACCTGTGAGGCTTTGTTTGAGTTGCTCAATAACCTTCTGACGGGTGTTTGCTCGAGATTTCTTGATCATCCGCGCGGTCTCTTTGCAGTCCTCGTTGAATATCTACTAATGTATGGCAGATTTGATATGTTTTCAACATAAAGAACTTGTCCAAATACCTGTGAGGCTTTGTTTGAGTTGCTCCATAACCTTCTGACGGGTATTCGCTCGAGATTTCTTGATCTTCCGCGCGGTTTCTTTGCGGTCCTCGTTGAATATCTGCGTCACCATCTCCTGGGACACGTCGTCGTCGCGCTTCAACAAGAAGAAGAACACTCCGCCCGCGGTACGACGCCGCGTTCCATTCTAGATAAAAACCATTTATTCCCATCAAGTACAGCACACAAGTTCAAGATGCAAATCGTTAGTGGTCCCTGCTTATTTCATCCGGCCCAAAAGCTGGCTGAAATGAGCAGGGAGAAGTCCCACATACCTTCTTTTCACTATTTCGGTGGTTGAAGGATGTGTATAGTCCAGGAAATGAAGCTAAAAAAAGGTAAATTTAAAAAATCAAAAAACCAGACTGCTTAATTAGATTATTATATCTTATATTGAGATGCAGAATTAGATATTCAAGAATACATAATATTTTTCAACAGTGGGTCCCGACTGTTAAAGTAGCTTTGTTCCTTATTAACAGAATTATAGACTACTGGACTTGTTTTTTTCTTTTCAGTTTTTATTTGAAGTATAATTAAGCAGTCGGGTTTTTTGATTTTTTAAATTTACCTTTTTTATTTCACACTTTTTTGTTACTTAGTATTTTAAGACGGTATATACCGTAGTCTTGTTACTTCAGTAAGGGAATTAATATCGCTGGAATTATTAAGTACCTTGCGTCGGTCTAAAAGATTGATTTATTAAGACATATAAAGACTTTACCAGCGGGGTCAAGGCTACAGATGGGCCTCAATTTTCGCAAAAATGTGTGAAGTTAAATCAAGTCGTTACATAAATATCTCTAATCTAATCTAAATGTAAATTTTATAGTAAACTAGCACTTACTCAAAAAGTCATCTTTTGTTTATGTTTTTTTTAATAGTTTAGCAGTAAATATAAAATTCATTTACTTTTATTCGTCGACTATTTAAAATTGGCAGTGGCTGCATTGTCATGTCACTGCCGGATGTCTAAGATTAAATTCAGTGTCAATCCCTAGTCTCATAATTTCTTTTAAAGCGTTCACATTTAACAGGTCAAAGACTTTGTGTTCAACCCTTTTTTATTGGTAGTGTAAAGCTCGAATGAAGAGTACTCCCAGTAGTGCAATCATGGCAATTATTTTCCAAATTTTTTTTTGTTTAAAAAAATACCGAATAACATATCACTGTTAAGCACAAATGCTAAGTAACTTTTACAAATATAATCAAATAAATACTTATCTTATCCTAACTATCTATACTAATATTATAAAGAGGCAAGATTTGTATGTTTGTAACAAATAATCTGTCAAACTACTGAACCGGTTTCAAATATTAATTCATCATAAGGTAGCTACATTATTTATTATAACATTTTTCTTTATTTAAATACATTTTGTCCGAGTGACATAGGCTATATTTTATCCCGATAAATAAATTTCGCCCATATTGTATGGGCGAAATTTGGGCCCGGGTGGATCACTAGTAAGTTTATAATATTATAGATGCGAAAGTGAGTTTGTTTGTTGCGCTTCCGTGCCCTAATAGCTAAATCGAATATAATGAATTCCCATATAGAAGTAGATGGGAACTTGGTTCTTAGCTACAACATCGCAATACTTATAGGCGTAGGGTGATGAAAGGGGTGATTTACCTATAAAAATCTACATTATTTACTTTGAATTTTGCAGATATATTACAAAACCAATATTATCGCGAGCTGATTAATAAATACAGGGATTCCAATAAGTATGTACTTACTAGCGAAAAATGGGTTATTTGTCACTATATTAAGTAAACCTTTTTTGTAACATTAAGTAATATCGTTAAAAAAATGAAAAACAGTAAAATTCTGAGTTTTTCATTAAAATTCAATAATCATAAATACCTATTATGATAATATATTTTTCATCATTTAATAAGAAGGAACTGTATCACAGTTTTATTTGATAGTACTTCGTTTAGGATCAGATACTGCGAATACCCCATTTTTTTTCTTTTACATATTACACCGCGCCACGGTAATAATATCTATACAGTATTCTATCTTCATACAAACGGCTCTTGGTCTGAGACAAACGGTCGGAAAGCGAGTCATACCTACGCCACTCGAGTTCGATGGGCTCTCGGCGGGCACCCAGTCGCGAATGCGCCGCCGCGCCGCAACGACGACCGAACGGTCTGAATTGTTTTTTATGCAGTTAGCCGTGCTTAAACGTGCGTTTTTTATTGTAAATATTTGATTGAATTAAGTAGATACCTACATAATTTAGTATGGTACTCTTCAATAGCACACCCAGAGATACCATTTTTTAAATTACCTGAAATATTGGAAAGGTAAGACTATAGAATATTTTTATATACCTATCTACGTACGTAATTTGTTTCTAATATTTGGGTATTTCGATTTTTCCATCGGGCAAAATATCTGGAATAATATATAAATAAGTGGTTAGGGTGAAAAAAGAGACAAACGAGTAATCTACCTACACTCGCGTTAAAAACAAAACTACATAATAGGTAGGTAGTTCTAGACTAGTGTATTTACTTACTTAACTACATACATTACTGAATAACTAAACTACATACATTATTGAATTAAATTGAATATCATTATGAAATAATTTACGAGAGTAGTAAATGGTAGGTATTGTAGTGATCGGATCTGTGGTGTATACTGGCAGGATATAAGGTAATTTGGAAAAGAGACGGATTGTTGCCAGGAATTCATAGCTGGAAAATAAAAAATAGGGATATTTGTGCGGAGTTTAAAAAACAATATTTTGTTTATTGATAATAATAATGTAATTTCTTGAAAATAAAAGTGTTTCAATGACAATAATTAATTTGCATGAAACGATCCCTACAGTACCTACCTAGTAAGATTTACCTACACTGTAGGTAATTTCCTTACCCGACTGCGACATGACTTACAAATAAATAGGTATAACTTGTATGTTTAAAATAATATTCTTTTATTGATTTATGTAAGAATAAAAATCAGCAGTCGGGTTTTTTACAAGCTTTTAATTAACTTGCAATATAGGTAGGTATATATAACTTTGTTTGTTCGGGTGGAATCTTGAAACTCAATTTTGAAGCAGATATCTTCTACCGGTTGAGCTGAAATTTTGTATATACATACACGTTTTGATTAAAAAGCACGGTTAGCTGTGTGACGTCATTCTAAATCCAACATGGCGAAATAGTTATTTTTAATGCATTCCTACGATATGGGTATAATGGGCTAGAACGGACAATCTTTTACATATAAAATAAAATATTTACAATCACAAAACTATAAAGAAACTCAATAGGCTAGTTTACTCATGTCGAATTGTATTAAATAAATGTTTATTTCTTAAAGTATTTGGTCTAAGGAACCTAAATATATCGATTTCACTTCATAAAAACAGAAGATTGCTGTAGAAATTTAATTTTAAAAAATATTTTTTAGTCTATATTTTTTTAAACACTAAAAACGCTGTTCGCCACATCCGCAATGATTTTGACGTCTCTTGTGGTAAACAACTAAATGTCTAAACGTGTTAGGGTTCATCCATAAAGTACGTCACACTAATTTCATGAGTTTTTGAGCCCCCCCCCCCGTCCTTGTCACAGGTGGTCACATTTCTGAGACCCCCCCCTCCCTAGTGTGACGTCACATGTTTTGCAATTTAACATCGAAAAATTATTAAATTAAAACAGCAGTTCCGAAATTAGTTTTATTTCCATTTAAATTAAGTACTTTTTTATGAAATAAACATAATATCAAATATTTGAAACAATAACAAAAAAATAAACTAATGAATATAAAGAAAAAGAAACTCAATCATCTTCAGTCCATGGACTTTGAACCCAGTCCTTTAAATTATTTATAACTGGCATGGGAGTCACTTCACAGTTCACTTCGTTTTTCACGTCAGGAACATTTGTGGTGTCAACGTCTTTTTCATCCAACCATAAGGCATCATCATTAATATCCAAACAAAGAATTTCTCTGGCACGCCTAGCTGCTATTCTTTGAGGGCGTATCTTTGCAATGGGAACTTCATCTTGCTTAATCTTATGAAGTTGTTTGTGTTGGTTAGTGCCTTTATATGATGCAAAATATAGACCACAGAAGCCGCAAGATCGCTTACACAAGTATCCCTCAACACTAGGGCAGTAACTATCATACGGTACTTGCTTTAAATGCGATGACGCGCTCAGTTTTAAAGATAATTTAAGTAATAGTGGAGCGAATTTACCTTCGATATCATCCTTTTCTGTTGTTATATACCCGCTTGACGTCTGTTTAATTAAAACAGGTGGTGACAAAAAACCCTCTTGTAGTAGTCGCCGAAGGCTAGATCGTTGCACACCACAGCACGAAACCACTTCACATTTTACTATTTGCAGTAAATATTGTGATTCCCGGACATGATTTGCGTACCAAATCGCATCACGTTTCAATGCCTTAGCCTGTTCAACATCCAGTCTAGTTTCTGTAGGCATAATATATTTGGCAATCACAGGATATCCATCAATGACCAATTGGCTCCAAATATTACTCAGTACTGTGCCTGCACTCTCAAAGTTTCGTTTTTCCAAGTCCAGGTCAGTAGTTTTATTACTGGAATCGAGATGTGAACCGAAATTATCGTGTTTTAATACAACACCAGTAAGTTCACGACTAAGAGGTGCCATTCGTCGTTCTACTCTGTTAAAGGCACTTCTTCCTGGGGCATTAGTGGCAATGTAAACAGCATCCAAATCAAAATCTTTAAAATGTTGTATAGCTGAAATTATAACTCGCTCGTATCTTGGATTTTCGTCGGGACCACCATCGCAAGTAAAAATAAATACGGGTTTTACAAAACCTTCTCGAGTTTTCATGAAGTTCTCGAAGGCCGATATTTCAGTAAGTTTGTGTATATCTGTGGCATGAGTCTCTGCATTAGAGGACGAATGCTTTCCACTGCGAATTGCTACATATGTAGGCCCGGAATGTGTCACAGCTTCAGGTTTTCCTTCACCATCTTTCTTTACTACAATACCTGCATAAACAGAGGGAATAAGTTTATGTTTTTCCGCAACCACGAAATCATGATCCGGTAATTTTACACGATAATCAAGGTGCATTAATATTGGTGCTTGAGCGTTTGCTGCTGTAATACCTAATGGCACGCGTGCTTTGTCATCCATCGATAAAAAGAAAACTTGTTCAGGGCCCAAAATTGAAGCTAACGATTCAAGGTTTCTTATCGTCGCAGTACAAAATGGACCATCTTGATGTTTCGTATGTAGCGTAGAGTCGGGTTTGCATAGTTTGACAGGAACAGTTACGACATGTCTTTTTCCTTCCTCTGTATTGACTCGTCTGGGCAGAAGTCTCAAGTATAACCCTGATCGACTGATAGTATATCCCAGTTTACAAAGTTCGGCTTGTAAGTCGTCTAATGTTTTACAGCACCTTATAGCTTCAGTGCGACGTCGATCATCAGCTGCGCCACCAAAAACTGCAAGTTCCTTTATGACTCCAAGTAAACCGGATTGTGTTTCTTCTATTCTAGGCCGACCAAAAGTATCTCGAAGTTTTAGTGCTGTGGCTAAATCGGTATTTTTTTCGCAAAGTTCTACAATTTTTCGTTTTTTAAAATCACGACTTTTTTTCTGTCTTTCTTCTGCGCTAATCTTTCGCTTTAATATATTTTTTTCCTGCTGAATATTTTTCTTTAAAGTTGAGATTTTTTTTATTGCTTCATTTGAGGCTATACCAGCATCGCGTGCTAACAACAAGCTATTGAGTTCAGATTCTAAAACTACAATTTTATTCCATGAAGCACTCTGACTAGGCGTTGGTTTAGGTATTGTTTGAAGCTGACTTTCACTTGACGGTATATTAACCATATCAGTGTCTTCTGGTAGTGGTGTCTGACCTTCGTTAGTATTTACCTGCAAATTATATGTTATATTGTAATAAAATTCCAATTAATATTATTATATCGTTACTTTTTATACCGCGGTCTTGAAAAGCACCATATTAGAATTACTTGTATGAAGTCCTATGAAACCGTAGGTGTAAAAAAAAAACACATAATCGTAGTACACGCGGGCAAAACTACGAGCGGAAAGCTAGTCTTAAATAATTATTAGTACCTAATGCGGCGCGTGCGATGCGATTCAAGTCCGCGTCCATCTTTGACTCCTGAGCGCGATAATTAAGGATTGTAATTAAATTCGTAATAACTTACTTGTACTTTTCCCTCCTTTTCCCGCTCTAGTTTTATTCGTGATGTTGACGCCGAAGGAATTTTCGAAAAAAAATTCATTAGTGTCGCTTTTTTTTTCGTCATTTGTATCTGCAGCTCTTTGATTTTCAATTCCACATCACCTTCGATATTGTCACTACTTTTCAAAATTTTCCATAAGGTATTAACTTCTTCCTGTATATGCTGTTTTTTTTTATCAGCGTAAGTCGCACTGTATGTTTCGTATAATCTACGGTAAAGATTACCTAAATCTATCTTTTTATTCATTTTGAACTTGATTTATTAAACTATGTTTATATCCACAAAATAGCACAACTAAAAAAACGACGTCGATCACTCAGCGAAAGCAAATTGTCGAATGAAAATATAGAAACAAAAACATTACCTACGCGAGGTGCGGTGCGTTTGGCGGCATTAGTCAAAGGGCTCGTCGGCGATCGGCACGCGTCAGAAGCGGCTATGAACTTGTCAACAAAACAATTTAAACCGTATTGCCCTAAAGATAGAGTTGGACATATTTTTTAGTTTAATTAATATTTCAAATTACGCGATTAGTACCTCTAGATTTTGAAATGTGATGTCACGAAACTTAGGACCCCTCCCACCCCTTGTCACACCATGTCACACTTTGTCGACCCCCTCCCCCCCCCTTTACGTGTGACGTACTTTATGGATGAACCCTTACTGTAGGTGGATTCTTTCGTCTGACTAAATTTATCATAAAAACACTTTTAACTTTAGAAAAAATTCCGATTACTGTTTTTTTTGAAAAACTAATTATGGATGCGGGCTTTGTGAAAACAGAAAGCACAAATCTGCCAAGAATTGACGTATTCATGGTTGGTGAATTTATTTCACTAAACCCCGATTTCTGCTCTGCGGAGCAGAGAAACGACAAGGCATCTATGTAAGTACAGTGTATTTAGTATTACAATGTAGTAATAAACATAAAACTGATACAACATATGAATAAGTGTAATAAAGTTGCGTAGGTTAATTTCTTTCGGCACTTTTAATTCACAACTTTCCTGGAATCTTCAAGGATGTGTTTTTATATTCTCGTACAATACAATAATGATAATTACTTTATTTTTCGGGGTATTTATTAGAAATCATCTTTTGTTTATTATAAAGTCAGTTATTTTCTTACGAGTTTTTGTTTATTTACCTTACTCTATGTGTTTACTGCAGTTAACGTCATAGCATAGATAATATATAGACTAAAATGGCCGATAGCGTTTTTGTATGTCCATGAAAAATCTATTTTAAAAAAAAAAGATTTGTAGCTTTTTAGGTCTCAAAAAAATACAATACATTTTTTTTCGGTCTAATAGAACATTTATTAACCATTTAAAACCTTTTTCCAAAAAGGGTCAACTAGCCTATTAAAAGCGTAAGTGGTTAATATACAACTATAAAGCGTTATAGATCCTAAACAATCATATAAAATGAAAAATGGTGTTAGGAACCTAAATATGATTTTTGATTATCTAGACAGTGATATCCCACTCGACATATTTTGTCAACTTATTTTTTTTTACTTCGTCACAATATGGCGCCTAATTTTGCCCATATTGAATTTTGATTACTATCATATCTTTAGTAGCACTCCCATGATTGAGACGAATCGATTGATGTATGAATCATCAAAATCGGTCCAGGCGTTTGGTCTCTAGTGTGCCACAAAGGAACAAACATACATATATAGACTGTTAAACACATAACCCTGTCTGCGCGTCGCGCTTCGCGCTCTTGCATTGCATTGCGCAGCCGGGTAATTAAACACATAACCCTGTCTGCGCGTCGCGCTTCGCGCTCTTGCATTGCATTGCGCAGCCGGGTAAAAAAAATGGTAAAACCTCGCAATTTTTTCGTCCAGCACCAATTCGTAAAAAAATGGGATTAGGCTTATTTCACCCTCTAGTTCATTTTTCTATATTGTGCCATTGTACGCTTTTTGTTTTTTAGGGGTGAAAACTACCCCTTATTATCAAAATTATAAAATTATTTTAAAAACCTACATATGGGTAAAAATAGTTAAAAAATTATTGTTTCATGCTTTAGGATACAATTTTATAATCTTTCAACCTAAACTTAAACACATTGATTTTTTTTTTCGAAATCGGTTTTCTCTTTAATCTCCAATTTTTCTAATAATGCATATTTTTCTCGTTATTTCGCTGCAATTAAATCTTCCAATTTATTCATTTGACGAAAAAAGGTAAGCATTAATTTGATTTATCTTAGTTCATATATGTCATAGAAAAATTATAAAAAACGCATTGTATTCGTTTTTTTAAAAGCTACAATTTGACTCTCTACATTTTTTTTGATAAAATGCATATTGTTAGAGTTATTCGCAAAAAAACATTTAAAACAGTCGATTTTTTCGTCAAAAATCTGTTACTTTCAACTTTGAAATATTAGTTTTACGAAAAAAACGTATATAACATTTTTTTCTAAGAATTACTTTTTCTGTCGACTCCTACAGTTAAAATGTAATAAAAAAATTAATTTTCATTTCCTGGACTAGTAAGGAATTTCTCAGACAAAAAAAAACGTAAGTGGACCGGTCCGGTCACCCCTTCTTTGCCCCAGGGCCCCTTATACCTCTACATTAATATGAAAATGTGTGCCGTAACAAAAGAAAAAGGCAAAAACTCAACGAGAATTGCTCTGAGAGCAAAGAAAATGAACTGGTTTTCAGTTCTGCCATCTAAAATGAATATGGAGGTGGACTGATCAATATTTATCATACAACTAAGCAAATGCCTAGCACCATTTTCGATAATTGTGTCATTTGCAATGTTCATACATCCTCAGTCTATTAATTCCCCATCTATGGAATAGGGAAATTGGGCCATAACCTACCATGTGGGCACAGTCCTACCGGCCTATTCGCTAAGTTTTTTGACATTTACAATGTGTAACTAGAGAGAAAATTGCATAATGCTTTTCAGAACAAGTATCTTAGTAGCATTATATATAAGCAGTAGTGGATCACTAAAAAGCTTGGTGATTATCACTTCCATCTGTCTGAAGCAGTTAGCAAACAGGCCTACAGATTGATGGGTACTAAAAACTGCAGATGTAGTGTTCATTATTACTATTTACAATGATACCTCCACTTAAACATTGCTTATGTATTTACCATTACAAGCATGCCACCATCAGCTTCAACCTTCTGTGTTGCTCTGTAAAGGTCCATAGCTTTGTTTGCTCCTAAGAGTTGAACAATCCTTCCTGAAAGATAATATTATAATACAGTTAAGCAACGGCTGCAATAGCCACCACAGTAACTTCAGAACATTAACTTAGAAGCTAAAGTTACCACCAATTATAATATGTTCTAAAAAAATACAATAGTATAAATTTTCATTGCTATTAATTGCTAACTAGCAACATCGTCCATGTCAACTTTAGTTTTTTGAAAATAGCTCAGGAACCTCACCTATTTTTTAAGATAAAACTTATGCTACGTCTCAAGGCAGGTAATAAACTATATGAGTGATAAATTTCATCCAAATCCATTCAGGGGTTATTGTGTGGTTAAGTAACAAATATACAAACTTTCGCCTTATAATATTAGTAGGATTAGCAGGATGTTTTAGTTGTTAGTGTGCCTACTAATAATAACAACAGATGAAACTTATTACAAAGGCCAAATTATAGTGTGAAGACAACACAGGCACATTGTCAGTCTTTTCAGTTACATAGTCCACAAAGCTACTTTGTTTTTTAATAAACTTTTAGGTACTATCTGAAAACAAATTGTAGTAATTTTCTGGTTTTTTGTCTGATCTTGTCAAATTTTAGCCTGCCGATATTGAAAAGAATAATTAATTGTAAAGATTATTGACTACAAAATATGACCATTGTGTGTGACATTAAAACTCCAAAAATTTATGATATAAAATTTTAAAAGCTAATACATAATGTTGAAACACTATACACCCTATTAACTAATGCACACGAAGGATGGCACGTGTCAAACGAACCCTCCTTTGCAGACCACCGCAGGATATGTTTCCAATTACAATACAGACAAACAGACCTGTTCCATATCGCAACCCTCGAAAAACAGATATAGCAAGGTACGTAGAACTAATAACTAAAACACTAAGCGAGATGCAAATACATGATGAAATCCCTGACTTAAACAACATAGAAACAAACGTACAGTTCTACACTTCAGCACTTCTCAAAAGCTACGAACTGACGTGTCCTACCATCGTACCGAAAGGCCTGGGTAAAAGTTCCTGGTGGAGGCCAGAACTTCAGAAACTACGTAAGGAACTCAGGACACTTTTCAATCGAGCGAAAAACACCAGAACCAATGAGGACTGGGACAGATATAAAATAGCACAAAAACACTACAAGAAGCGGATCAGATTCCGGAGTAGAGAAGGATGGCGCGGTTTCTGTAGTAGTGTCAATTCAACAAATAAAGCTGTCAGATTCAAGAAAGTTCTGTCCAAGGACAACTCCAACCTCCTTGGGTCTCTGAAAAGGGAAGACGGCACTTATACAAAAACAGAAGAAGAAGCCAATGCGGTGCTACTGGAAACCCACTTCCCAGGATGCCAACTGGCGCCAGCAGCACCGCAGAAAAGGCAGATTACTCTGGCGCCATGGAAGTCAGGATATACACGGATGGCTCCAAAACCAGCAGTGGCACTGGAGCCGGTGTCTTCTCAAACGACCTGAATATAAAAATATCTACAACCTTAGGCAAACAAAGTACAATCTTCCAGGCGGAATGTATTGGCATTACCAGAGCGGCACAGGCTGTTGCAGCCAGAGATATCAGAGAGTATAATAACATCAAAATTATCTCTGACAGTGCATCCGTGCTTCAAGCCCTACGTAGCAACACAATAAACTCTGTCCTAGTAATGGAGTGCCACAAGGCACTTCAATCCATTGCGGTTAGCAACACGGTAACTCTGCAATGGATAAAAGGACACAGCAGCTCAATTGGAAACGACGCAGCAGACGAACTGGCTAAGAGGGGAGCAGACACAAAGGTGTATGGTCCGGAGCCTTTGCTGCCCATACCTCAGGCCCAAATTAAAACGTGGCTGCGTGAAATAACTCATAAAACACACTTGACGGAGTGGAAAATAGGTGAAGGATGCCGGCGGTAAATAAAAGTTTTGCCCGCACCCTTACCAGACTAAATAGGGACAAACTTCGCAGGATTATAGGATCCCTGACTGGTCATTGTCCCCTAAACAAACACCTATATACAATAGGAGTTACAGACAGCCCCCTATGCAGAGGATGCATGGAGGCAGAAGAAACGCCACAGCATGTCATCATGGAATGCAGGAGTGTGGCCGACCAACGGGCACGACTTCTCCAGTCACCAGAATCGTTTCTGGAAGCTTGCAGCAGTCTACCAAGGCTGCTTTCCTTCTGGACCGATATAGGCTGGCTGGAGTAAGCAGGCATGTTTTGAGACACACACAATGGTCCAATAATTAGGACTAAGTGCGGAAACCGCCCTGAAGAACTAACTAACTAATGCACACTAAGAATGACAAAGACCCCTATACAGTGGATACATGGAAGCAGAAGAAATGCCAAATTATGGCCTCATGAACAGCAGGCGTGTGGCCGACCAACTGGCACAACTTTTCCAGTCGCCAGTATCACTTCCAGAAGCCTACAGCAGTCTCCCAAGGCTACTTTCCTTCTGGACTAAACTAGGTTGGCTGGAGTAAACAGAAATGTCTTGAGACACACACAACAGTCCAATAATTAGGACTAAGTGCTGAAACCGCCCTGGAAAACTAAACTAATGCTGAAACATAAACAGCTTACCAACTAAATCCGTCTTCTCTTCAGCTAGTTTCTCAGCTATGTCAATGGCAATCGACTCGATGGGATCCTGTGATGTTACCAATAAATCTGGTAAGAATTTTGGATTTTGTTTTGCTGCTTGTTCCTGATGACTATTTACTCTCTTGCCAAGTCTAAGTTTGACATTAGACCTATCAGACCTTCTCCTTTTATTAGAGGTTCTATCAAGCGTGTCCTTATCATCTGTGAATACTTTCTTAGATATATAGTTGTCATCTAATCTATACTTAATAGTATAATCATAAGATTCTACACCATAATTGCTGCTCTTCTTAGTAACATCACAGCCCACCATATCCTCAGTCAAAAGATCCTCCTAAAACAATAGATTATAAATCTATAAAATGATGTTATAAAAATATGTATTTATTACTCTATGCCACTACACAGACAAAGATTAGAGATCAAGAAACACAGGGATGTTTCATGTTTTGGTTTACTCTTTTGTTCTTGAAAAATATCAGCATCAGTTTAGAAACATAAAAGAGAAAATTACTTTCTAATATTACAGATCATGAGCTTATAACAATTTAAACTTCAATAATGCAATAGGATCTATTCTTTTCTCAATACAAATTTGCCCAATTTTATACCTTAAGTATTATCATGCATTTTTGTGTAGAAAAATATGTAAATATGATCAAAATAATAAATGGAATTTATTGTCCACTTATACCACATATAAATGTTATTCAAACATTTAAATTAATGGCAACACAGATAAAATATTATGACAAATGTGCATCTTTATGTTAATAACAATTAGCTACAGAAATCACCAGATTTATGATAAAACCAATCACAATCAAAGAAATGAATCTAAAGAAAATATAACTAAACATCAAGCAGTTACATGCTTTAAAAATAATAAAAAAAAAATTATAACAAAGAAATGAATTTAAACCAATAGTATTAGCTGTCATCTGACAGTCAACAACAAGTTAATAGTAATTTTAATTGAATTTGCTTGAGAATTTGATGAGTGCACCTTTTTAGGTATAATATTAGATGTTTTTTGAGTAAAAAAACATCTAATATTATACCTAACCAAAACCAAAAATCTAAGGTGTGCTTTATATAGCCCTATTGGTTAATTTAGAATGGAAACCTAATCAACAGTTGATTGGAAGAAATTCTATAGTATTTTTTACAATAATATCTCACCTCTAAAGTCTTACACCAAACATTATATTTATTTTTTTTGTCGGACTGTGTGACAGACACCTGTGGCTGGGGTCGCAATGGTCTCAGCTTTGTTCGCTTGGGCCGCCGTCGTGGCTCATCGTCCGAATCGGAGCCCGAGGACTCCGGCCACGAAAGTTCATCACTCTGTTCATCTTGGATTTGCATATGCACCAGAGAAGGCGGATTGAAAGCCTCCGGTCGTGTAAGAGGTATGTACGTACCCTCTTCCACATCCGAATCTTCCAACTGAAAGGCACACGACACATTAACATTGTCAGTGGATGGATAACATCCAAATGTCATGACGAGATAGTATCCCTCTAATAGTTTATTATATTTCCCAAACAAAACAGCAATTCGCATTACTATATTGTTTAGCTAAAAATAATAAAAACAACGATTTATTTATGAAAAATCGCCCAAATAAACAAGTAAAACTCTCTGCGTAAAAGTTGCGTTCTAACCTCTCCTTCTTCCCTTTCGTGAGAGACCTCGACATCCAACTCTCCTTCTGTAGTGGACATCATAATGGGAAGATAAAATGTTGGCTAAAAAGTAGAAGGTCATCAATTTTTTTAATAAAACACGGGTATTCCGCCTTTTACAAAATATTTAATAGTGCAGAGAGCTGTCAGTACGAAGTAGCTGTCAATTAATGTTTTTTTTTTAATATTCTCCTTTTTTTATTTATACGCCAAGAATAAATAACATACATCCTCAAAAGCTACTGTCTATATTCTTACTTTATATCCTTTATTTTAAAATTTATTTATTTATTAAAATGAAGTGAAACTTCTTTACACTCGCTTGACTTGAGGAGTAAGCTGCTAAACGCGTTACGATAAGTGTGATCGGGTGAAGCGAATGGGAGTTGAGTGAGGGATATAAGCAAGAGAAAAGAGTGCGCGCGCACATTTTCTTTCTCTCTTTCTCTTATAGCTAGTAAATGAAATATGTATATGTACATACATGTATATATTGTATACATCTATATACAGATAGAGCTAAAGAAGTTTCGCTTCAGTCGGGTGGTGATTGATAAGCACACTCGTTTGTTGTTTTTAGAAATCTGTCACAAATTTCAGTAAGGCAACTTTCTCAGATTATATGATTAGGAATTAGCACCACATTAAAAAAAACAATGGTGTCGATTTTGGCATGATTATATTTTACTTATATTATATTTATTTTGAAAATTATTTACTGAATATTTCGTGGCTTTTGTGTATTTATTGTTTCCTACTTTTACATTATGTTATGGAAGTTGACCTCAATAAATGTATAAAAACAGGGAGAAAAAAGCAGCCTATGTTTCTTGCCGGTTCTTATCAGTATACAAGATCTCCCGCCGTAGATGTGCGAACCGACGGCGTAGCTTTCGACTTTTATTATGTGCTTGTAAATGCCTAAACGGAATAAATGAATATTGATTTTTTTGAATTTTAACATCTGAAATATTTTTTTATAATTAAAACTTGAATTTTATTTTAAATAATATATCATCGATATGCCCTTGAGTTACTTTAACTTTAATATTTTAATAATGATTTATTGAAGTTAATAAGCACCAGCCTTTATCATAATATGCACATGCAGACGAATAATGAAAAGGTTTGTGAAATTTACTAAGCCATTTCTTATTGCTGTCCTTGCGACTAACGATAATAAATAAATAAAACATTTCGATCAATGCCAACTTAAAGAAAAAACACTTGTTAATTTTCTGTCACTGAGTTGGTACGATTGCACGCATCACACGAAAACATTACTTTTGAGAGTGCTCGATTGTGCGAAGCGTTGCTGTAGTTGAAACATTCAACGTTAAGCATTATGCCGCTTAATGCGCTCTAGTGCTGCAATTGGAAAACTACCATGAATGAATATTCTTTATTGCAGTATTTAACAAAATATATACAACATAAAACTCAAGGAACACAAACACAAAAGGCGGCTTTATTGCTAAGGTAGCAATCTCTACCAGGCAACCTTTGGCTAAATGAAATCATACCATAAAAAAAGAAGAAACTGCGGGCTAGTGCATTTTAAAAATAAAATAAAATAGACGTAAATGTAAGAATATAAAAATAGTAAATATATAAGGAAGCTATAAAATATAATACAAAGAAAGTAACAGACAAAAAGAAAAAGATCAGGCAGAGTCCAGCTTGAGGAAATATTCCTTAATTTTAATGGAAAGGAGTCCCTCGTCTGTGCACGTTTGATATCCAGAGGTAAAGAGTTCCACAATTTTACAGCTCTTACATAGAATGACTTGGCTACGGAATCAGTGGAGTGGGGTGGGATAGCTAAGGATAGGTTATGAGAAGACCGAAGATTGCGGACAGGATTAAAAGAATGAAAAGTGAAACGCTCCTTAAGATAGAGAGGAGTGTGTGGATGAAAAAGGATAGAATAAAGGCAGTGGCGGATTTACAAATTTGCCGCTAATAGGCTATTAAATTTTTGCCTCCCTTACTGACCTTTGAAATTCAATACGCTAGTTCACAATTATATTTATTCTGAAATTGCAACTTTATGATTTGTGTTCTATCGTCCACATTACGTCGGCTTTTCCCCGTTAGTTTAAAAAAATACTAAATTTAAATTGTAATTAATATTGAAACGCTAATGGAATATTTTAAAAAATCATGATCGCATAAGTACATACCTATATTTTACAGTGCGTTTAGTAATCTTTTATATACGGATTACGGACGTAAGAGTGTTGAGTATACTGTGCATTACTAAAATATTAAAATTTTTGTCACTCGTTTTTTCTGTGTAGATTTTGGGCCAAATTTGGCAAATTTGCCCTAGGCTAGGCTGGTAGGCTGGCTACTGAGCCTACTGGTAAATCCGCCACTGGCAGTCTCTTTTACGAGAAATGGGTAGCCATTGAAGTTGGGAACGATAATGTGAGATATGGTCGTACTTACGCAGACCGAAGATGAATCGGATACATAAATTCTGCAGACGCTCGAGTTTATTAAGAAGAACAACACTAAGATCAGAGTAACACGCATCGGCGTAGTCAAGCAACGGGAGAAGAAGGGACTGTGCAAGAGAAACTTTAGTCTTGATCGGCAACAGGTTTTTCAGGCGTTTCAGCGAGCCATACGCGCCAAATACCCTCTTACTAATTTCACCAACATGATGGCTCCAAGACAAGTTATTGTCAAACAGGACACCAAGATTTTTTACCCTGTCCTGGAGTGGTATGTGGATACCGTTTAGCAAGATCGGTGGCAGAGCGCTTTTGTTGATTCTGGCATTATACCAATAGCTTCCAATAATTATAGCCTGAGTTTTGCGCGGATTAACCAACAGACCGTGTCGCCGACTCCAGTCAGATATGCTCCAGATCGTTGTTGGTAACTGCGATGGCTGTAGGTAGTCCATCTATAGTAGGTTGAGTGTATATTTGGAGATCGTCTGCATACATATGATAGGAAGAAGAGAGAGGAAGAGTTATTGAATTTATGAATATAGAGAAGAGAAGAGGAGACAAAACGCCACCCTGCGTAACGCCGGCTGTTGTATCGCACCACGATGAAAAATATCCATCCACGCATATGCGCTGCCGCCGCCCATGCAGGTAACTATGAAGCCAATCAATCACTGGTGGAGATACATTGAGAGAAACCACCATTGCCAATAAGATATCAAAATCAACCATATTAAATGCGTTACTAAAATCTAACAGCGTTAATACAGTGAGCTGCCGATTTTCCATACCCACACGTATATCATCAGCGATCTTGACAAGCGCAGTAGTCGTACTATGACCGGGACGGAAACCGGATTGAAATGGATTTAGAAGATTATTCATGGAATGAAATCTACTTAACTGTTGATGGACTAATTTTTCGAGGACTTTAGAAAGGAAAGGCAATATTGAAATAGGACGATAATCACAGAAGGAATCAGGTTTGGATTTCTTAGGTAAAGGAATAATATTAGCTTCTTTCCAAGCCGAAGGATAAACAAATGACGATATGGATTTATTAAGGATTTTCGTAATTACAGGAGTGAGGATATCTAGAAGAGGAATGATCATATTACGACTAATGCAGTCGCTACCCACGGCATTGGACATGCTTTCACCACAGCAAATAAAACAACATCGATACAAAGTATCGACTAAAGACAACCTACATCCGCCATGTTTGCTCCCCGATTTGTTTATTTAAGTAAATACGCGAAGTACATGCTTGTGTCATTTCCATATGATTCCTTATTCAGAGGTTATTGTTCATCTTTCAATGGTGACATTTACCGTCATTAATTTCCATAATTTCAGAATTTATCTGAGTTGAAAAACTAATGTTAATATTCCTTTTCTCATTGGATAAAAGCTAAAAATATAAATTAAATACTAATCTAAAATTTGTATTTTATGTGAATTTAAGGATCATATTAATTTTTATCAACTAGGAGTCACTCAATATTAAAGAGATCTGAGGAAGGATATCATTTTTATGTATGCAGTTTTAAATTATATAAATAATATAGTATTTAGTATAACTCAATTCTTCTGCAATTTTATAAATAGACTTAGATTCTAAAGTTTTTTTAAATACTTACACTTTCTTGTTCAAACCGTAAGTTTCTTCAATCACAGTTTCAAACCCGCAATAACAAAACGAAAAAAAAAATAGAAATTACACCCTTTTCTCCGTTACATGTTTTATTTTTCCATTAATTTGAGTTTTTATTAAGAAGAGATACTAAGTGCTACCACGCATAACTGCGGATTCGCATCGCATTGCAAATATCTGCGAGCTCGCACGAATACACCGCAAGAACTTTCAATTTGATTCGCATCGCACATTTCTAAGATATTACGTCACACTTAAAGACATCATCTTAGTCTGCTCTGAGACATCTCTTGCACGATCATTTTTGTAGATATGGTGATAATAAACCCAAAAGCGTATCAATAAAGATATGCTCATTCTAAAATAATTAAAAGAAAACTTTTTCTGTGTTCTCAAACCATAGTATTTTCGAGTAAATTAGATTCCATCTGCGTTCATTATCGTAATAAATGGATGAGAACCCAAAATCTTCGTTTTCTTCTATATCTATGTAACATTAACATCAGTGCAACAATCTTTTTGCGATCCATGTCACTATTACTAAAACACGCCTAATGCGACTGACTACCGTTGAAGGTATGGTCACCAAATCTTTGCCGCTCGAAATCGCATTGCAGCAATTCGCATCGCAAGTTCCTGCGATGCGAAGTCGCATCGCAGTTTTGAGTGGGAGCCCATAAGCAATACAAAGTTCCGCATCCTCTCTCAATGTATATCAGGTAGCTACTCAGGAGCGCACCCGACCTCACTAGCGCATACTGCGCATACCTTAAGGGGCTATAAGGCTATAAGGGGCGAGCCGCCAGCTGGATGCACAGTACCTATTTATTATGGCAATTATTATTGTTTTAAAATAAACAGCCATGGGGGGGGGGAAGAAGAGTACTTTATAGATTTCACACACAGGCGCACTGCCGGGTGTCAGCGCAACCCTGCTGTATGTTGCTATAAAGCGTGCTATCACAAACCACTGAATGATTTTTATGCAGTTTATAACAGAAGGAATTCTTAATAATGTTCGGGAACAAAAACCCAAATTCTTAATTGAAGTATAGCAAGGGCAGGTCACTAGTAAGTGTAATGTTAAAAACAAAGGTTGTATAAATTATGGAATGTTCTCATATTTTACAATATTGTAGGGCAGCGTTTGAGGCTGTAAGTAAAATTATTATTCAGCCCGTCGGCCATGCGGAATCTGTTTTAGACTTTAGAACAGCAAGGCTTCCTCGGTTTAAACCAGAAGGCATTGATGATTTTGACCCTCGGGATCACAGGGAACCCAAATGTCCCATCAGGTAATAGGGGAAACCACCCAATCATTGGCACTCGTCCTATTAATGGCACTTTTGAGTTTAATTCGAAAAAACAAGGAGGCAATAGATTATTTAAGGTCGTTACATATTAAAAAGAAAAACCTAGTATGTTTTCGAAATTTGAAAATTGGCAGCATTATTCCTATAATCTATTGTTTCCTGGTTTTTTCGAACTAAACTCAAAAGTGCCAATAATAGAAAGAGTGCCAATGATTGGGTAGTTTCCCCTAAGCTCAGAATAATTTTATGTGTTAAAAAAATCTGATCACTTACAATTGTAAAGGATTTAATGAAGTTCTATAAAAATAATCAAGAAAGGAAAGTTACAAATTACAATAAGCTGTATTGTCTCAATATGCTTTGTCTTTACCTAAAAGAATTTAACAATAAAATTCCATGGAGGTTAGAGAGAAGTAGAACGATCGCTACGTACTAAAGCATTAGCCCGCCTTTCCCTGAAAATTTATAGAATTTATAGTTCATTTTTCAGCCACCAGCCGCGCTGCCGTCGGTAAGTAGTATCTGTGAAGTTAGCTGTTTATGAGTACAAGTAGATGAAGTTAGTTGAATACTGTACAAATTTTCTTCGCGGCATTGGTCATTTCATATTAGCCCGATTTTATTGAGACAACTTAGCGATCGCAGCGCCTCACTTATTTTGTCCATATTTCTGGGACACTATTTTCTACAGCGATCGTTCTCCTTCTCTCTAACCTCCATGGGAAATTCTATGCAGACACCGATAATAGAGCAGTTCGTAGTCGATATCGACAAGCAATCTTGTTTTTTGTGACTCACACTTTTCATACGAAAAAGGTTAAGGTTTTAAAACAAAAGTTTTTTTAGTTAATATTTTTACAAAATCTGCCAGCAGTAATATTTGCTCTTATCGAATATCACAAAAATCTGTTTTGAAATTTGAATATATATTAATATAGAAGTGATTACTAAGTATTACATTTACCTTTATAGCAATTGGATGGCGTACTTCAACCTGATCCGCACGGGTTTCGGCGCAGGAATGCTTGGCTTACCATTAGCAATGAGCCAGGCTGGAATAATCCTGGGCACATTTCTTATGATAATTATAGGGTTACTCATCACCCACATGCACCATACATTGGTAACATTTTTTATTGGTGTTCAAGAGTGTTTTTTTTTAATTAGCTTACTCTCTTGAAAATGTATCTATAATCGCTTTTACTTTTAGTGGTAATTAACTGTTAAAAATAATATGATTTCAGCTTAATTGTTTAAATGAAATCAGTCGTCAGCTAAGAATACCCCACGTGTCCTATCGGTATGGCTTTCGAATTGCTTTGCTTCACGGACCAGCAGTCTGTCAATTCATTGGTAAACGGGGACCGTGTGTACTGCCTTTTTATACTATTGATAGATATAATTCTCTTTCTGTATTCCTAATACCTACTGAAAAAAATATTAATACAGGGCTATCATCACCACGTTTATGTTGTTAAGCCAATTGGGGATTTGCACTGTGTTTGTTGCATTCACTTCTGACAGCTTGAAAGATGTTAGTATCTAGCGATTTATATTGTGCTAACTTATTACTTTCTACTCAGATATTTTATTTCTTTGTTGTGTGTTTTTCACCTTTCATTTATTGTAAACTTATATTGTGTTGAGATAATGAAACACAAGCATTGAGATAAATTTCCTCAGTGAAAGTGGAAGGTAAAGAATGCGATTTTATTAGATCATTGGGCGTTTAGTAGAATTATAAAAAAAAAAAATATTACTAATATTCATTTTTGTTTGAATAAAGCTAATGGACTGGGAAAGCGCAAACCCTGCTTTACTTGCGCTCTTGGTACCATATTTATTGTTAGAATATTTTATGAAGACATTGAAGATAATCAGCTACATATCTTTACTCGGTACCTATAGTTATGTTTTATTTATAACTAAGACATTGTCAGATGTAATAGGCAAGTAATAGCAGTACCACAATTTCTTTTTTTTTATTCTAGGTAATGTACTGAATTTAATTGGTTTGATCCTGGTATTCTACCATATATTTAAAGACCCACGCAAAGATTTTACCACAGTTGTCCATAATGCGATGTCACTATTGTTTGCTTTTGGTATAATGCTCTTTAATATGAGCGCAATCAGTGTGGTAAGTCATTGAAAGTGATGTAGTTCATTTCATTACAAAACAAGACTTTAAGATCCATATCATAAGTCCACGTGCATCTTCATTCTCCCTTCAACTCTTATCACTATACCTTTGATATGATGATTGAAAGATATGTAGAAAATTCATAGATATATAGAAAATTCATTCACAATTAACGATTAAGATAAGTATCTTTCAAACTTATCATTATGAAAATGAAAGGAAGCGTCATGGCGCGTCATATTCATACAACAATAGCACGAAGATCAGACACCATCAATGAGTTATTTGTTGGAATTTACAGTAATGTATTTCTTTTATTGTAAAATATTTACAGGTCCTAACTTTAGATAAGGCGTTAAAAAATCCTAAGATTTTAACGAAGAAGTTAGGAGTACTTAATATCGGCATGCTTGTCCCAACCGTTGTGGCGACTATTTTTAGTGTCCTCGGTTACTGGGCTTTTGGAACAATGGAGGAAAATATATTAAGATCACTTCCTTACGATGATAAGTGCGTATTAACTGATCATGTATATTATATCAAACCATACTTTGATATAATAAATAAATTTCATTACATTCTCTTTAGCTTATATTTTTGAATTCAACATTTTATGTGTCGTCTTCCAACTTCTGTTTGCTTTTAAATTTTATTCCATAATAGTTGGTCTTTACCTTCTATTTTCTTTACAGCGTAAGTATAGTCGCCATAGGTATTTACTTATTGGCGGTGGCTTTTGCATACCCGATCCAGTGCTATCCAGCTATTCAGATAATATTGGAAACCGTTAAAAATAGAGACATGTTGGATCCACCGTCTGAATCTTCATTAAAGATCATTGAAACAATCAGCAGGCCTTGTTTTGTTCTTTTGTCTTGTAAGTGTATTTAGAAATGATATGAAAGTTTGAGTTCTATTTATCTATTCATATGACCTGTTCTAATTATTCCCATTCATTAGCTAATATTTAGTGTTAATTTTCTTTAAATAGGACTTTGCAATAAAGTACAAGGTACTAACTACGCTTTCGGGTGCGATAAAAGTAACATTTTATTATCATTTCAGTTGCAGTTTGTTATCTAGCGCCATTTCAAGCGCCAATAGTAGCATTTGTTGGTCATCTTTGTACTACAATGTTGGCATTGGTGTTTCCAGCTTTAATGGAATTATGTATAAGATATCCTGATGACTATGGAAGCTACAAAATATATCTGCTCAAAGACCTCTGTATCATATTAGGAGGTATTTTCACATGGACCTGTGGAGTAGTATTAAGTGGCTACTTAATTTATATTAGGGTACTTTCGTTGAGCTCGCCTAATGCCACTGACTAATAAATATATAACGTAGACATTTAAAAGTAACTCAAATGAATTAAATTAGATATCATAGAAGACGAACCTTTTTATTTCACTGAAACGACTAATGCAAAACAAAGACCACCCGTTCCAAAAGGCTATTTTGATAGCCTCCAAAGCAAGTCTTTGAATACTTCATGTGGCCTGTCACCACATGACCGAAGTTGAAACCTATTCTGCTTTGGGCTTTGCGATTTATTCACCGCAATGCGACCAAGGTTTATGAATGTGGATAACATTCGAACTAATGCCACCGTCTTTGTAAACGAAATATTTTGTAAGTCATTTACGTAGACAGTGGCATAAATATCTTGGTTTTACTGTAGCAGCCTATTTGAAATGCATTTTAATTCTTCGATTTTACTCTTTGTTATCTCTAAGCTTATATTAACCCCTGGGATAAGTTCCAAAATTTAATTATCTACTGCTTTTCCGTACTTCGAAAGGCACGTTAAGTCGTTTGTCCAGTTTACATCTGCTGTTAGCACCTACTAATGCGCACTGGGCTGGCATTGTAAGTCATGGCCCAATCTTCCTTTTCCAACCAGAAGGAAGGCCAGTGCCCTTTCATCACACAAACACACCACACATAAGCCTATTAATCATATCACATCATAAGCCTATTAATGCAACCACTTCAGGGCCACAGATCTGGCCTTAAAATGGGGGCATTAATAGCTTAAGATGATGATGAATCACGGAGTACCCCCACTAGAGTCCGCATCACGCAAATTTTGTTTGGAATCAAAATCGCCAAAGTCGGCGGCGTGCAGGGAGATCAGCCGCGTTGTGATTGGACACGTCAAGGTCAGATGATATACTCAGTGCAGCGAAGTGATGAGGGTAAGATCGATTTTAGAAAATATCGATATTTTCTATCGATAAATAAAGGACACCCGGCATTATGTGCCAAAGTTGTATACTTTTTTAATTTTTTTATCTATGTTTCATAATTGGGTAACGTAGTCTGGCAATATTTGTCATCAGCAGCTAGCTGTCAATTTTGGAAACCTATGAAATAAATAAAACACGTAATGTTACTGTATTTTGATTCTCGCATCAGTCTGTAAGATATCATCTTAAATATCTCTTTAAAGATTTAGCTCGTTGCTATTCTCGTGAAAGGCACATGCGATATACAGACTTAATGAATTTAATATTAATACGGTGACGTCCGTGGCTCTTGACTAAGCACACGCAAAATAACCTAAGTATAACCAAATTATTGATTTTGAAGGAACTTGGTAAATACTTATCAAATTTTATGCTAGCTACCACCCGCGACTTCATCCACGTTAACTTTAGTTTTTTGAAAATCCTAAAGAAACCTGTCATTTTTCCGTTACAAAAAGTATTCTATACAACGATATTTTATACCCTAGATACGACAACATGTACAAAATCGTGGCCGAAACGTGACCAAAAGGTACATTTGACGATTCACAGAGGTCCGTAAGATGATCGCGTGGTCAAAAACAATATAATGCATTATTTAAAAATTGAAAGTCACCTTTAATGCATACGGCATAAGCTCTTAATTAAAACGTATGCATCAAAGATTTATGGCAGTTCAAAATGCAAGTTCCTAAAATTTTACGACTTATTGTTATATGCGAAAGAAAATAGACCTTATTTTTTTTAACTTTTCGCGCTCAATTCTGAATGTGCTGTTAGCAATTATAGCAGGTACAGACCGCGAAGAAAAAAGACGGCTATAGGGCGACGTATAACCGACCATGCTTTTGAGTATCACAAATATGTTATATTAAATCAGTTTATAGTAAGTATTACAATAAAATTTGCTTCAAATGCGTTAAATTTATAATAATAATAAAAACGTTTATTTGGCTCAAATTATATAAATAACTTATTGTATTACATAAAGATGACTATGTACCAAATAAAAAAACAACACTTTACGTACTATAGTATTTTTTCGCATTTTTACGGAGCTCTGCGGCATTTTGACTTTTCATCGGTCCGCGCGTGACTGTAAACCAAGAAGTGCTTGAATAAAGTTTAAGCACTTCTTGATTGGGACACATTTTGAGCGCTCGTGGTGTATCTAGGGTATTTAATATCGTTAATTCTATGTCTTTATCTAGGTCATAAAGTATGCGCACTTAATTTCATACAAATCGGTTTAATCGTGTAATAGTAACAAACATCCATACAAATTTTCGGGTTTAAAATTTTAGTACGATATGATTAAAAACTGTTGGTTGTATACTCATGATATCTGTTATTGTATACGATGAAATAAATAGTTTTTATTTATTTTTTCTATTTCCGTAGCTGACAAACTTATCGATAAACTTACGGGTACAGACATGAGCTGCGTCAAGTCACTAGCAATACACATGCCGGTGTGAGAGCGGAATATCATATATGATGTAGCGCATGCGAGAAAGGGATAGTGTTAAAAGACATCAACGCGTTCACCAAAAAATAAATACAATTAAAAGCAATTTCATATAAGAGTATTTTTGTCTTTTTGTAATGCATTTAAACTTACCGGTGAAAAGTAATACCATCTTTTTGAAGACTGGAAGTTTTACTCCACTTTCCACATAATTTAATTGCACAGTACGGCATTTTTTCTAGATTTTTAACGCAAAAACGAGAGAAGCATTTCTGCTAACGCTCGGCTTCGGAATGAAACGATGTATAGCGACGTCTGTGGGCGTGCCTCACGCATACGTAATATACTACTTAAGCTTGGCGTAAGCGCTTGCCCTTGTATGCGGACTCTAGTGGGGGTGCTCCATGTGATGAATTCATAGCATTACTTGAAAAACTGACTTTCATCTATCTACCTACTTTTTTGCGTACAAAATGCTTATTGCAAATCAAACTGTTGCCGTACACCTCATTGCATCTTACAGTTTAATGTTAGATTAAATCAAAAAGCCCTTTTTTGAATTTCAGAGTTTAGTGCATAAATAATTAAAAAATCAAATTGCGAGCTGCTTTTAGATTTTTTTATATTTTTCTTTACAGTCAATGCTTTAAAGTCATTTGTGTCATATGCCGAGCTATTCAGAAAAACAAATTATTTAGATATTATAATTATAATAACTTTCACAATGGGTGTAATTCAGCAAAAGGGTACTGTAATGAAATAGAACCAATAAAAACAATTATTGGTTCTATTTCATTACAGTACCCAAAGGTACATTGGACGATCAACGGAGCTCTGTAAGATGATCACCTTCAATACACTCTGCTTATGGATGGGTCAAAGAGTTATGACAGTCCGAGGTTTAAGCTCGTAAAATTTTACGACTTATTGCTATATACGGAGTATAGACCTTATTTCTTTATTACTATTACGCGTAATTCTAAATGCGCTGTTAGCAATTTAGCAGATACGGACTGCGAAGAAAAGAGACGGCTATATTATCGATCATGCATTTGAATATCACATTTTTTTTTATTAAATCAGTTTATAGTAAGTATTAAAACAAAATTTGCTTGAAATGCGTTAAATTAACAAACATTGATTAGATACCTGTCGAAAAAACGTCATTTTACATACGCGACATAAATACTTATAGTATTTATTTCGCATTTTTTCATGGAGCTCAGCGGCGCGGCGTGTTGACTTTTCAACGGTCCGCGCGTGACTGTGAACCAAGAACTTGTGTTCAAGCACTTCTTGATAGGGACACATTTTGAGCGCACGTGGTGTATCTAGGGTATTTAATATCGTTGGGTTATGTGCCTGAAATGCAAGATGTCACTGCTGCATCTTGCACTTCAGGCACTGTGCTCATAACCGAAAAACTGCTACCTGAATCGCTTAGTCCACGCGGATGAAGTCACGGGCAAAAACTAGTACTTATCAATACGAATAAAATTGTATACAAAATTATATAATATAAAAATATTTTTCAATAACATTACAATGTTGCCAATTCTGACGTGATTCTCTAAACTCAAAACTAAATTTAACATCAGTCTCTCCTTTACATTCTGTATAAAGAATGACAAGGATATACTGCTGTCAAATTTAAGTTTAGGTTTAGAGAATCATGCTAGAATCGACACCAACGCATTGTAAAAATATTGTGTTTGAAATACATAATGAAAAAAAGGTTTTACATTTCTAAATCTATTGGAAGTAAATCTTTTATCTAGGTATATTTTCGATCAATAATTCTATAGATAACGGGTTGCATAGAAAGTCAAAGGTAAAAACTGTTCGCGTAAACTTATGCAGCTACATTCGATTGAACAAAGATAAATGTATTATAACAGTTTAAGTTGAACCAAGTAACAATTATCTCGCAAAACAATAAGGTTCCAAATAACAAAAATTTATTTCGCACATACGATATTTTATCTATTAAAACGAACTCTTGTTTCTTTTATAAATTACTGATACTTGGAAAAAAAACGATAAAGGTGAAAAAAGGAAAATGTGAAATCAACCCCTTATGACCCACAAAATCAAATATTTTAGGGCAGCGAGTTACTTCGTTTTATATTAACCGAACTAGGTAATAATTTTTATTATTTTTAAAGCATGTAACTGCTTGATGTTTAAATCTAAAGAAAATATAACTAGAAAAAATTCCACGCGGACCAGGCAGCAGACGGGACACGAACCCGCACCCTTCGCAATCCGGGCGAATGCACTGACCAATTATGCTACCGCGGCCCTCACGGACCGCGTCGAAATTCTTTCTAGCTATTCTTAAGCTGCAAGGCAGCGCCATCTCTTCGCATTATAGGTAAACCCACAATGTCAAATGAATACTTTTACAAGTATTAAACATTTGAAAGAAGAAATAGCAATTATAGTTATAATTTTTATTATTTTTAATGCATGTAACTGCTTGATGTTTAAATCTAAAGAAAATATAACTAGAAAAAAATCCACGCGGACCAGGCAGCAGACGGGACTCGAACCCGCACCCTTCGCAATCCGGGCGAGTGCACTGACCAATTATGCTACCGCGGCCCTCACGGACCGCGTCGAAATTCTTTCTAGTTATTCTTAAGCTGCAAGGCAGCGCC